GCAGAGACCGCGCCTGCGCTCCTGCGCTCCTTCCCAGCGAGGCTTCACCGATCACCGGCTGCGGCTCCATCCCCGGCTCGGCGTCCCCACAGGCCGGTGCTGACAAGTCGCTCCAGCCGCCCGCGAATGGGGAAGTGAACGAAGAGAGAGAAAGAGCGAGAGAGAGAGCGAGAGAGAGAGAGAGAGAAAAAAGAGAGAGAGAGACGCTGCCGTCTTCATTAAAAAATAAAATAAAATTAAAAAAAGAAGAGAAGCCGTGCGAGGAAGTTGAGGAGTGACGGGGAAGCTGCGCGCCGCGCCGGACCGGACGCCTCCACGGAGAGACTCATCCGACAGGTCCTGTTGTTGAGAAGCTGTCCCCCCTCCTCCTCCCCCCTACAACCCCCCCTCCCCCAAAAAAAAACCGAGCGCATAGTGATGGAGAGAAAGGTATGGATGCTACCATTTGTTTTATCGCCTCATCCGCGCTGCTCGCGCCGCGCATCCCGCATCAGAACTGTTCCTATTCCCTCTTCTTTATCCGGTGGGCGCGTTGCCAGTCGGATTAGTGCGCACCGGAGTTTTATTCTGTTTCTCTTTCTGTCGGTGCGCGCCTCGTTTAGCTGTAATTTACTGTGCTTTTTTTAAATATTATAAATAAATAAATAAATACAGCGGGATTATTTTTTCACCTCGAGGTGGATTTGGGATTATTCCGGTGCGCCGCTGCATGGTGCAGCATGTACCGGGCGGACGTGGTGAGCAGGGGGGTGGGTGTGGGGGGGGGATGCTGCGGTCGGTGATATCTGAGGGGACCGTGAGGGCCACTGTAGCCTGTCCGCATCATCACACGGCTCACTGTATGGGTGCACCTCCTACACCCCCTCCACCTCCACCCCTCCACCCCCCGTTTTCCAGCCGACGCAGACACACCAGCGCGGCTTGTTAACCTTGTCTGGTGCGGGAAAGAGACACTTGAGGAGTATTGGACGGGATGCACGGTGGAGAGAGAGAGAGAGAGAGAGAGAGAGAGAGGGGGGGGGGGGGGGGGTTCATGCCTTTAATTCATTCGCAGCCCTCCCTCCCTCTTGATTCAGGGGCTCACACACGGATATAATGGTTGTTGCCCCCCTCTTGAGGGTGCATGTGTGTGTTTTGGAGCTCGCAGGGGAAGTTTCTGCTGCGGGCAGAAGGAGAGGAATTTGAGGGGTGTCCAGTAAACGACAGATCTAGTTTTGCTGATCCAGAGGAAAATGTGGAGGTTTTATGCGCCAGCTGTAGTCTGCATTATATAACTTCCTATTTAACTGCCCCCCCCGAGGAGCCTCGACGTCCACGCAGAGAAGCCGTGGAACTCTGCAAAAAGAATAGGTCGACATTTTGGGGGAGTTTCTGCAGAGTTTAGCTAGCCTGGTTAGCACAGTGAGTGGAAACGGCTAGCCTGGCTAACCTCTAGCAAGCTGAATATAACAACATGTTTTATATCTCATGACACAAACCACATACTGTATTATGGCAACATGGCGTGGAACCAAAAGTTATGATGCCAATTGGTGACATAGAGGATTATTTTATTGGGCCAACTGTTTCCACTCTCTCCTAGTCTTTGGGCAAAGCTAAGCTAACCGGCTGCTAACAGTAGCTACATGTTTAGCACATAAATAAGAGTGTAATCCATCTTCTCTTCAAACTAGCCAAGGAGGAGAAAAAAGTCAGTTTACTTGATTAAATTAGTGTATATAGCTAACAATATATTCTCCTGGAGTTTAGTTAGCCTGGCGAGCTCAGTGTAGCATACAGAATGTACGGAAACACAAAATAACTAACCTGGCTAACCCAAATAACTAAAAATACCAATGTATGATGCTATGTGGTGATATACTGGGTTATTTCTGGCTTAATGCACCTAGAAAAGGCTCATTTTATGTATCCCAAGAAAGGGAAATGCCTTTTCCTTTCTACTGCATTGCATTCAGGGAAGGTTTCTTGTGCACACACGATCATCTCATTATTCTTGCTTCCAGTCAGTGAAACTAAAAGCTTCAAGAGACTGAGGATGCTGCAAACTTTTTTGACGAGGCCTTTATCCTAAAATCTTCTGTAAATGCTGCATTCTTGGCACACTTGAAAGGCTTTCTCGGATTTCCTCCATCTCTCTCTCTCTCTGTGTGTGTCTCATCTCGGCTCTGGTTTGTTGTACTGGCCTGTTGAGATATGGAGGCCTTGGTAGCTCAGCTGCTCGCTGATTCCAAAGTTCGACGCGCACGCTGGGACGCTTCTTTGTTTCCCACCTCGGTCTTGGCCGCAGAGAGCGCTTGTACCCTTTCAGCGATGCCGGCACAAACTCACAAAAACGGGATTAAAACAGCTTAATTAAAAAAAAAAAAAAATCTAAAGTCTTCCCCGACCCGGCAGCTCGGCACAGAGCTTCCCTTCGGCGAAGAAGAAAGGGGGGTGTGGGGGGGGACATGTTAGAATGCAAGGGGACAGCTCCAGAGGACTGATGGGGGATCAGAGGAACAGCTCCTTTTACAGGCCGCGGAATGCATGACCTGACTTTTTAAGGAGAGCTGCGCTGGACCCCCCCCCCCCCTCACATAAACGCCCCCGTCACTCTGCTCGGTCATGTTGAATATTTAGTTTGGGTGACTAATCGAGGTCAATCAATGTGTTTTGCTGAGTGGTTGAGCTCATTGAGTTTTGTGTGAGTCTGCACAACTTCACCTCCCCCCACACACCCACACACACTGTTTCTGCTGCAGCAGTGAGATTGATCGGAGGCTGTACGCATTTGGATTTGTCTCCTACACACATGAGCTGGACGTCCAATCAAACGTCCCCCCGGCTCTGTGCTCCCTGTGAGTCGCGGGGACAAACGGACAATGGGGCACTTCCTTTCTTTTTGCCTGGCGAGGAATGTGCTGGCTCAGTCTGCTGCTTGTTACCCCGGAAACCGACATCTGACATGATATGAAAATCAAATATTTTTCATGTTTTGGACAGTTTGTCACCTTTTAGCTCTCATTTGCCAAATATTATGAGGCTTTTATATAATTTGGAGCAATGTAATACCCAGAGTGCTGCAGCCTCTGAATGCAGCTTGTGCGCTGCATTCAGGGGCTGCAGCACTCGTTACACAGACATACTGTGTACTTAAGTAGCTGCAATACTGAAGATGAATTTCATACTGTTTGCTATGAACACCACTTTCATGCAGCCGTCTGAACCTCCACTGACTCATCTCCTCAGAGAGAATGTAGCTTTAAAAAAAAAAGCTTTTAAATTTGAGAGCTTTGTAACCTAATTAACATGCTGCCTGTCTTTTTTTTTCTTCTTTTAAATCACCGGTATCCGGCCTGAAGCATATCGGTGGGGTTTCTCTTTTAGTTGCATATTAATCCCATCCGGGGAGTTGGCTGTCTGGTGAGATTGTACAAACCGTCTGGGTCCTGACGGTGCCACAGTTCAGCTGGTTGACCCACTTAGACGTTAACGCTCGATACTGCACTGACGGCTTCAGTGCGATGAAACACAAGCTGCAGTGACGTATGATGCCTCATTCTCGCAGTTTGGGGTTTGCTTCATAATCGTCAAAATTTGTGTTTGCACATCAACAAAATCATTTCAAAAAGACAAATTATCCAGGCCAGGTCTTCGTCACAATGCCACCAACAAAAAATAGCATTATCGGTTTATCAGATTGGCGTAGTCTTAAAATGGGTCTTTTTATCTATCAGACGTTATTAAATTGAAGGTCTATTAACAAAATAGTGATTGATTATTTTTTTTCTGCTGATTAATAATATTTGTTTCTCTTTATCATTGTGTTTGAAAAATTAGCTGCTGTGAGATTGTGGAATAGGAACCATGTGTTTGAGTGAAACCTCTTTGGTTTTATTTTGCCATTTATATCACAAGAGAAGTGTGAAGTTACGGGGACAAAGATTTCTGTCGTCCATCAGTCTTTTTATTTTCGTGCTTTTTCATGCTGATGTACTTCCGGTAAACACGTTGGATGAATTCAGTTCTACAGATCTGTGCGATCTTCAGTGATTGTTGACAGAATTCTCGGCAGATGGCCGACACATTATTTTTTTATAGATATATAGATGTATTTTCCTCTCTTATTTTCTGGTCCTGGTCTGCATGCGGCCCTGCAGAGAGCCTCCTTCTCTCGGCTCTCTCTCCCATCCTGCAGAGATCAGAGCGAATGCAGAGTAGGAAAGGAGGGAGAGGGTCATGGTGGAATTATTCCTCCAGCTTTTTCTCTCTTTTTTTTTTTTTTCAATCCCCTGGAATTTCATGTGGTAGCTGGGTCCGTTTTATTCATGCGAAGTGACAGTTTTTTTTTACTGTATACTTGTGTCGAAGTTGACCTCGTGGATTTCACGACCGTCTTAAAAAGAAAACCCTGGGATTTCTTTCTGGCTTTTACAGTTGCGGCTATTGAATGGCTCCTGGCTCGGTCCCCCCGGCCTCTGCTCCCGTTTCTAAGGCCTCTGCAGTCGGCTGGAGCAAACAGAAGAACGCCCGAGGCAGGTGAAGCTCCGGGCCTCGGTTCTGCCGCGCTGCTCGCTGGGGGAAAACTGGGCTCATTACCGCCTCGCTCCATCTGCTCGAACAATGCACCCCCCCCTTTTTTTTCATTTTTAGACCTGAACCCTAAACGGTGTCTGGATATAAGACGCTTTGTTCCAAACTACCCCTGAAATCCGAGGTCTGCTACCCCCAAACTCTGCAGCGTCTCACTCCAGGTGCCCGGCGCGGCACCGCCGCTTTGTGCCAAACCGGTGTATTGTGCCGAAACACTTTGATCACCGACTAGCAGCAGATGCCCTTTTATCTTCAGGCACCAGGGGAGAGCTCTCTCTCTCTCTCTCTCTCCGTAGGTTCCTCTTCACTACACATGCCGAGCTGCCAGAAATTGGCCCCTGAATGTACTTCTCTTCTTTAATCGCCCCCCCCGGGGGAAGGTGCGGGCCTGCGTGCTTTTTGTCCCAACCTTTGAAGGCCGGCCGACGGCCACTGAGTAGCTTTTCGCCGGGAGCCGAGGCCTCAAAGCAGCTTGAGCCGGGTTTTGTGTGCAGCTCTTAAACAGAAGAAAGAGAAGTATAAAAAAAAATAAAAAGGGGAGAAGAAGAGAGGGGCCCAGCGGCGGGAAGGGATCCGGCTTTACTCCGGGCCTTCAGCACAGTCCACTCCCCCCCCCCCCAGTGCACCCCTTCTGTCTGTGACAATACCGTTGACGAGGGCAGGTTCCTGGTTCTGGAATGTAAACGCTTCACATCGCCACCGCTTACGTTTTTCACTCTCCTTCTCTGTTGTTTTTTTCCTCATGGTGAAGAGCAGCAGTCGACGTATGGATTTTTTCCTCCTTCCTGTCTGGCCTATTTGGCTAAAGAGAGCTAAACAATCGAATGTGTTTATCTCCAACGAGCTTTTCTTACTAATAATGAACTTCATTACGTGTAATTCAGGGGGAAATAGAAGAAAAAGTCCAACTTTAATGATTCTCAATTGATTTACACCTAATTGCTGATTGATATTTCAACCACTTTGGAATCTCAATTGAATGCGGACCATCCTTTCATTACACCAGCTGTTTTTTATTCGATGTAAGTATATTCATGCGTATTCCCTGTTTTTTGTTTTGCTTATCGCCGAATACTGATTACATATTTGGGATTTGCACCAACCCAGTCAGCTCAGGATCTGTGGTTTCTGGGGTAGATTATCAGGCACATTAATAACCTTCCAACGTTGAACAGGCCAAGACATTCATTTATTGATCAAGAAAGTAAAACATGATGAGATTGGGTCGTTTCTGACGTTTCTTCAGAGGCGTGTTAGACTCTGAAGTAAAGAGGCATTGAGCTGGATAGTTTGCATACCTTATTGTAGATAACGTGTGTCTCTCTGTCTCCCTCTTGCGGCCTGATAAGGTAGCGATGAATTAAATACAGCCTAAAGAAGACGCCTTTGAAGGCTACATTCTGTGAGCAGTGAGAGAGTTTTGCTCCCAGCGGCACGTTGAGTGTTTGGTGCTCTACGATCAGCCAGGATCCGAACATGGATCAGAAACACAGTCTCCTTTCCTGCTCCCTCTGTTGGTCAGTAATAAAATACCCCCGCCTCCCCCCATCTGCTCCACATTGGGACATTACCATTTGGTGAGACTGACTGGCTTTGGTGAGCGAGACTGTGGGGGTCCTGCAGGGGGGTTCTCCCTCCGCCGACGGCTCTCTTTTGCATCGCCCGAGCCTCTTTGTTACCGTTGAGCCCACGTGGGGGTCGCGGGGGGGGCACTGGCCCAAAAAAACCCGCATGGATACGCTCGTCGGGTTGGTTTTATGACCTTGCAGCAACTGCGCGCGTCGTGACGATTATATTCAAAGCTTATTTCATGTGTTATTTAAAACAAGATTAGTTTAATGCGTAGTGGGCGGAAACGTGTTTTGATCACGTGACTAAAGGGGGGACACGGAGGGATTGAGGCGCTTCGGGTTCCTTATGTTCCTCTGAGCCTTGTGGACTAATGACAGCGGCAGTACAGTCCTCTCACCACCAGGTGTCCCCACAAAGCAAGCTAAGGCCAGCACGTGGAGAGAGGGGGGGCCCTTTAGCTCATTGATTAAGTTGATTCTAATAACCAGAAGCGTGTGAAAGAATATGAAGGACACACATTTTGATCTTTTCTTCCTGCTTCTCCTTTTTAGATGTAACTTTTCCGTCAGGGAATCTGCGTCTTTACGTCCTTAGATAGTAATGGATAACATGCAGGCCGGAAAAACAGCCTGAGGGGCCCCTGAGGGACGGTGCGTCCTCCAGAAGGTCACGACCTCTGGGCCTTGATGTCCCAGGACCGCTAAGCAGCTGTCCACACAATAACGACAGAGATTCTCTCTCAGAGTTTATTAGAAGAAGAACGTCCATTTTTAATGAACACACACCCCGGTTCTTTCCGTCACCTTTTCAGGGGGCAATTGCCTTATTTTGGCACCTGGTTTTCTGGCGTTTTTTTTCACGCCGGCAGAACAGACGAAGAGGAAACAATAAAGGGGTAATATCCCATCGTGTGTCACAAAGTCAAGCCCCCCCCCCCCCTTTGAATCTGCCGCACGCCACCTCCTTTGTCATTCAAATAACCTCATGAATATTTCACTCCCCTCTTCTGACGGGAAGAAGGGAGGAAGAGAACCGACAGAGACATGAAAGACTCCTTATCTTCTCTGCATACGTCAGACTCCTCTGGTGGGGTTTTAGTCGGAGTAATGACCTGTGTGGCGACGTGTGTAGTGGTACTGGAAACGTTATAGCACCAATGCACCAAAGTGTGGGCATGTATTTTCACTCCTCGCGGTCCTAAGAACACGCGTCCAGGGACACAGTCACCTCACAGTTTGTGTGCATCCTCCGGGCCGACCAGTGGGTGAAAGGTCAAGAGCCACTGAGGCCAGTGGAGGAAACACTGAACCACTGAGGGATCCACTGTGGGAACCACTGAGGGAACCACTGAGGGATCCGATGAGGGATCCGATGAGGGATCCACTGAGGGAACCACTGAGGGAACCAATTAGTGCACCGGCTGAGGGCGGAAACACAGGAAGCGAAGGTGCCTGTGACGTGGCCCTTCAGAGGACAACTGCCCCGGCTCGAGGGGAGTTAAGGAATCGACCCGCCCCACCTCCCCCCATCATGTGTCAGTATGTGCTGGTGCACATGTTAGCGAGGTGGAGCGTGGCTCCTTTAAGAGCAAAATGTCCTTTTTTCCCTTTTTTTTTGAGAATGAGCACAGACTTCAGAGCAGGTCGGTCTCCAGGGTGGTGTTGGTGGTGGTGTTGTTGGGGGTGGGGGGGGGGGTTGAAACCTCCCCAGCCCCCGTTTAGGACCAAACGGCAGCCCTCTCCGAGCCGCATGCCCTTATCTACCAATGGAATGCAACAGCTGTGCGGGGGCGCGCCACGGTGGGCTGGCTGAAACCCCCCTGCCAGACCCCCACACAGCCCCCCACCACCTCCATGCGACGTGCACGGCTCCTGAAAGGCAGCTCAACTAAAAAGTGAGCCAGACACACAGTGAGACACTCGGCTCTCTGCTGCACATTCAAAATAGAGTCAGAGGGAGGGAAGAGAGAGAGGGAGGGGGGGGGGAGAGAGAGAGAGGGAGTCAGGGACACGCAGCGCTGCGAGGGAGAGCACAAAGAGAAGGAAAGTGGAGCAGGGGAGGGGAACAGGAGGCAGAGGGAGAAGGGAAAGACAAAAGGAGGAGAGGGGGAGAGGACGCGGCGCCGATCGGAGGGGACCGAGCAAATGGCCACGGAGGAGACGGCGGGGGGAGCCAGGAAAGCCACCAAGAGCAAACTGTTTGAGTTCCTGGTCCATGGAGTGGTGAGTGCCGCTGTCCGTCGTCCCCGTGACGGGGAGCTGGCGTGCATCTGTGCGCGCGCCCGCCCGCCCGCGTGCGTGCGTGTGTGAGTGAGTGTGCATGAGTCGGCGCAGCGGCGGCGGTCTGTGTGTGAGAGATATCTGGGTAAAGCCATGTGAAGGTTATTTCCAGCCCCCCCCCCCCCCCCCCCTCCCCTCCCTCTTAAAGGTCAGGAGGAGTCTGCATGTCGCAGCTCTGCATCTGCTCTGTGAGTCAAAGTGCAAACAATGGTGGAGAAAATACACGTTAGAAACTTCTCGAGGTGACGTCTTGTCGTGTTTTGGTTTCCTGTGTCAGACGGACGCCTAGTAATATGATTTTATCGAAGTTCTTTCGGCTGGAAACGACTCTTGAGCAGATGTCGCTCGATGTCGGTTTCCTTTCACTCTATTCTCGTTCTTCACGCTAAACAACTGGCGGGCTTTTGGGCCCCTGGATGTTCTATGACGGTCGGCTGTTTTATTGTGGGATCATTCCCCTGAGCAGCCCCCCCCCCCACGATGAATCCATCACAGCTTCACTCTCAAACTTTCCCCCCCGAACTCAACTCCACCTCTGCACTGCTCCTCAAAACTTGGAATCACCTCCTGACCTCCGAAGGTTTAAAAAGACTTCTGCGGGCGGCTTCGCCGTGTGCCGGCGTGGTGACACCGGGTACGTTTACCCCCTGAAACCAGACGGGCTGTGCTCCCTCCGTCATTCCAGGAAACCACGCAGCAGGTGATTGATGAGCCGGACGAGTCCGTCCTCTCGTCCTCTCAACAGACCAATTAACCTTGACGAGCTTCCGCCGCAAGCCAAATATTTCCCTTCGCTTTATATATTCGCTATATATTATATATTTTTGTCCCCTCTTTCTCTCTGCCACGTTTCACGATGTAAAACTCTTGTTATAAGAGTTGCGGCAGGTTTCCTGCTTGTGTGCACTGCAGAATGGAGAAATATTTATACGGGGGGGGGGGGGGGGGGGGCGTTAGGCGCAGTTTGCTCGCTTGTGGCTGAAGCTTTTAAACTCGCAGAAGTACACGTGTGTAGATGTATTCACACACACGCTCATATTTATATACGTGCACACATTGTTGTGGTTACCGAAGGTCGTGGTGTTCCTGCCTCCCAGCGTCAGTGTGTGTGTGTGTGTGTTGTGGGGGGGGGTGGTGTTTGGCCCGAGGTCTGCTTTGAGGACCCATGGGTGGGCTGAAGGCCCCGACTGAGGTCTCCTTCTCCCCTCGTTATCTCCCCCTCCCTCGCCGCTGTGTTACTCCCCTGGCTCCTCCGTGCGGAGGTCAGCGAGGGCCAGCGGCGATGAGAAGCAGCAGCGGCGGCGGCCTGCGTGGGAAACCCCAGATAAGCCGAGGCGGCGGCGGCGGCGTCATCGGTGAAACGGCGGCCGTGGCCCGCGGGACGCCGGGAAACGGCAAACGTCCTCGCGGCGCTGAAAAGTGAAACGGCTTCGACCGCCGCTTGTCTTCTTGAAACACGGCGTTCCTCGGGCCGCGCCCCTCATCTTTGAAACTGCTTTCTACTAAAGGAAGAAAAATCAAGCATGAAAAGAATTTGTTCCATTCACCTTCGGCGCGATGAGTATGTCAAAAATCATCACAACTTCTCCTTGAGGCTTCGCACTGATTTACAACATTAGGTCCATAAATAAGGAGACATCTGGAGAAGGAACTGAGATTTATTCATTGATAAGCTGCATTATACACGAGTAATCTTGTTCATAAACTGCGTCTAAAACAGCGCAGTAACGCAATAAAACGGATCCTCCCGTGAACGTCCGACGCTTCGCGTAAGCTGCAAGCTTGAGCGTCCAGAGACGCCAGCGCGCCCCCTCAGATGTGCGTCCACATGGCGGAGCTCCCGGCAGCGCGTTGGACTCGGATTAGAAAGTATTTATGGGAAACTTGTTCTCTGTAGCTGTTATCTGGAAGGCTCAGATTCTCCAGACGGACTCTTGTAACACAACTCTCTGCTGGCCGTTTAGGTTTTTTTGGGGGGGGCGGGGCGGCGGGGGGGGTTATTGTCCAACTGGAGTCCGTTAAAGCTCCGCAAGCTGATATCACCGGAGCAGGAGGCCCTCGACCATGTGTTGGCTTATCCCCTCCCGCTCGGAGACCCTTCTCAGTTGCTTTGCCCCCCCAGACCTCGAGTCTGTGGAGCATCTGAAGATCAGAGATGGTGTGTGTGTGTGTGTGTGTGTTTGGTGTCACGCCTCGTGCATTTCCGCTGTCCCTCCAACATTTACACCTTCTGTTGCAAACCGAGGCGGGCGGTTTGTTGTTGGTCTGATACAAAGAACTGTTTTTATTTTTATAAGAATAGAGAAGTGGAAGAGGAAGAAAAGGCTCGGCAACGTTTAATGGTTTCAACTGTCTGTCCTTTGTAGAATATTTATAGTTTGATATTAACTGAGGAGCTGTCAATGATTGTCATATTTTTGGATCAATTTGCTCTCCGCAGTAGATTTACTTTAGTAGCGTTTTGAGGATCTTGTACTAAATGCTTGTGCTACTTTTACTCTGCTACATTCGTCTGGAAGGTTTTATGTGCAAACTGCTCAAAGATGTAGAGTAATCTGACGTCGCCGTCCTCGTGTCCCCCGAGTCCTTTTGATTTGGCTGTTATGACTCAATTAAATTCAAAATGATAGAAACTCAAGTAACACAAACGCTTCAGTCCCAGCTTCACTAACGTGACTCATTTCTGGGATTTTTAATTTCAAAAGGTCAGTTCTTCACACACGCACACACACAGACACACACAGACAGACACACACACACTCTGGGCTCTTGTTCAAAGGATTTGTTTCCATCCGTTGAAGCCCGATCGGATCCGACACAGTAAACCGAGGCAGCTGTCGCGTCGCGGGAGTGAAAAGCACAGGTGAGAGTTCCACAGTTGTTCCTCGCCGTCAAGCCGGCAGCGGGAGACTGTGTGCTCGGACACGGCGCGTATTCTTTGGGTTGTGCGTGTGTGCGTTCTCCGTCCGTCAGACAACAAAAAGAGCAAAGTGAAATGGGAACAGGGCCACGCTGCTTACGCTCAACGCAGCTGTTCTTTTTTGTCTTTCTCTGTTTAAAGGGGAAGCGAATCGGGCCTCGTCCCGGCGCCCGGGTCCATTTTTCCAACGTGTCGCTTCCGAGTCTCACGCAACAGATCCCTCATTCACGACCTCTGCGACACAGCTTCCCTCATGTTTGCTGCTGCACGTGGGAACAGATTCAAAACACCCGATATCTCGCGAGTCGGCGTCACAAGTTTGCTCAGCGTGCTCGTTGGTGTTTACCAACCTGGCTGCTGTTTGATTAGAGTAATGTTACCAAAGACTCCGACGGGAGCAGAGCTGACGGACGAGAGGAGGCCCGGGTCACGATGTCATACTTTGTCCCAATAAGACGAGCTTCTCCTCGGGCCTCCGCGAGCCCATCAGAAGGAAGCAAAGTTGATCGAACCCACGTGTGACCCGTCCTCTGTCTCTCTCTCTCTCTCTCTCTCTCCCCCCCCCTCCCACAGCGTCCCGGCATGCCGTCCGGAGCGAGGATGCCCCACCAGGGAGCTCCCATGGGCCCCCCCGGCCCACCGTACGGAGGGAGCCCGGCGGTGCGGCCCGGCCTGCCCTCCACCGTGATGGAGCCCAGCCGCAAGAGGCCCGCCCCCTCCCAGCAGGTCCAGCAGCAGCAGCAGCAGCAGCAGGCCGTCCAGGGGCGGGCCAGGAAGTGAGTGTGCCGACCCGCCGCCGCACGGTTCGCGAGATCACTAACAGGCTGTGGTTGCTCTTGGAACTTGACGAGCCGGGCTGGAAACAAGTCGTGGCGCTGGTGGATGAAACCTTTTTAAAACAAATCTTCTGATCAAAACAGCTCCAGATTTAAACTTGTGCTTTTAGATAATCATTAGCGTTATAAAAAGTGTTTCATCATTTCAGTCATAACCGTGATTGTGAGCTTTAAAGTTCATGTTAGTTTAGCGTGTTAGCGTGCTAACATTTGGTGATGATGGCTCCAGATGGAAAGAATAGTTGTCCTTTTAATCAGACAAAACCAATGGAAGTTAAGCATTCTCCCCATTGTTTAAGAGCAGCATCTCCACTAAACAGCAGAGACAATGAAATCGATGGTAACTTGCAGCACCTCCGGTACCAGACACCCACAGCCGATTCCACGGTGTGATCTCCGAGGATCCGACCCGCGAGAGTGTGAGACGACGACCCCTCGCGTGTCTCCGACTCTCTCCCAGCGCCCCCTGTTCCGATTGCACCCTTTGCCTTGCTCTTTGCATCCTCTCCTCACAACAACAACAACAACAAAAACAAGCGTGACTGAGTGCGTCTCTTTGTCTCATCCATGTGGCGTCCACGCTGCCGTCTGCAGGCGTTCAGGCCCTCGTTCCTCTATCTGTTGTCTGCTGTTTGACAGCGGATCTGATCACTAGTACCCAGACACACACTCACACACGCACACACGCGTGCGCATGCAGTGGACGGAGTGTGTGACAGGTACGGTCACCGGGGAGGGGGGGGGGGGGGGGATCAATACGTGCACTCAGTCTCTCGCTTTCATTCTCTCGGTATCTGCAGCGCGATTGATCCACTTACAATTAAGCGGGCTTGTCGAACAGGTCCGGTGGGGGTGGGGGGGGGGGGGGGGTGTTGTGTTGCGCCGTGGGGCCTCAACCCCCCCCCTCCTAGAGCTGATCGATGGGCCAGGGTGACCCGTCCAGGTGTCTCTGTGTGTGTGTGTGTGTGTGTGTGTGTGTGTCCTCTGGCAAACAATCAATGCGCCGGCCAGCTCAGGCACTCTCTCCTGCCTTCCAATAAGAAACGGGGGCCCGGTATTTTTTTTTTTTTTTTTGTTGGGGGGGGGGGGGGGGGCTGGCGGGTGTCTGCAGTGTCATTGAGACCTCGTGGCTGCGGTGACTTTCGCTCTGCAGAACGAGCGCTGCTATAAATAGGATTTTTTTTTTTAGTAACCTGCGACTTGCATGAACCAAATCGACAGCGATTTCTCATCATCAGATCAAAAGAAAGTACGCGTGAGATCTCGGTGTGGAGGCTTTTATTTCCGTGGTCTCGTGGCAGGAACCGCTCGGGACAGCTGGTGATAAATGTGCATAACGTTTCAGCTGCCTGTTCATGGGTCGATGCCAAGTGGAGAGAAATCTACTCCTCAGGACAAATGTTTGTAAAAGCTGCGAACAAGCTGCTTATTGTCGCCGCTCTTCCGTAGCGTCTTTGTGTCACACGGTGCAGTGAAAACTGTCGACTTGTTTCGGTTTCCTTCTCTTGATGACAGTTTGTTACAAAGTGTGTAACCAAACCCGCCGGTGATGTCAAAGTGCACGAGAAATGTAACCACCGGAGTGACTTTTATCTGGTGTTAAGTTACTCAGGAACAATCCGCTCTTTCTTTTGTTGAGAGACTCGGTTCCACACATTTCCTCCCTCGGGTCGGTTCCCATGTAATGCATCTTATGTTTCCAATGAAAATGCATTATTTATAAAGCCCAGTGGTTTAATAATAATATAATAAAGCAGGTTTCTTGTTGCTGAGCCGGGGAACTGAGCGGAAAAGTTGCGCAACTTTGCGCACGTGCGTGTTGTTGTCCCCTGCACGCCACTTCCCAAGGAGGCCCGTTGCCCCCAACCCCCCACCACCTCCACACCGGGACAAAAAACCAGCTCCCTTTGGTGGCGTCTTGTTTATGGTGTTTCCTGTTCTGGTGGAGAAACAATATATATTTGGGTTCCACCGAGAGCCTTGTTGAATGAAACGTTTCTTCGATAGAGCAGAACCCCCCCCCCCCCACTGTTTTTTAGAAGTTGGCAACACACTAAACGGACCCTTGAAACCTTAACACCCACACAACACATTCAGACACACAAACAGCCCCTCCGCCCCCCCCTCTCCCCCCCTTGACGTCGGGCTTGAGTGTGTGTCTCTCGCCACAACTCTAATCGGACAACCTTCGAATCCTCACAAACTCTTAGGAAGCCGGGCGGATTCCCCGGAGCCAATGAGATCCCGGGGAGGCCGATGGACATGAGAGAGCCCCAATCTGATCCCAAGCTCGGATCCAAGTAGGAGTTTGTTCTGCTGCATGTCCATTTTTCTCACGTTGGAGGACCCCGCCCCCCCCCCCCCCTCCCCGCCCGCCCGGGCCTTTTCGCCCCGAGTCCGGCCCTCCCTGAATGAGTTCTTTTGGCCAACCGTAGAGTTTAGGCCTGCAGGTTGAGTCCCTGGGATGTAGTGGTGCATGCTTTGCACTGAAGCATGGCATGCTGGGAACCGTTTGTTTCAGCCGGGACAGAAACGTAAACCAGAGTCCGACCCCTCTTCCAGGATCAGTTTAAAAACGGCGGATTGCTGTGATGCAGATGTGTGTTTTCCTTTGCAATGCATCCGGGGATCTTTAAACTCTCCCTGCAGCAGGTTTGTCTCGGTATTTGGCATGCAACGAAATCCCCCCCCACAAACAGGAACAGGCATTATGTTGTCCACAGAAAACGTCGGGCTTTCGCTATCGTTGGACGACACGATGATCCCTCATGAACAATATATACCAAGATTTCTCTGCATTATTCATAACGTAAATCAAATACTTGAGGGAAGCTGTGCGTTAAATTATGTTACTAACAAATGTGTTCTCAGTCCGTCCACGGTGAGTACGAGAGAGAAACGAAATGTTCAAAATGTTCTTCTCACACAGCGGAAAACTTTCAAGAATGAAAACATCTCCACGCACGCACACACACACACACACACATTCCCCTCCGCGAACAACCATTCCTAAAAGCTGCTGCAGACTGCGACTGTGTGTGTGTGTGTGTGTGTGTGTGTGTGCGCGCATTGTATACATGCAGATAAGAGGTGTGGCAGAGATGTGACACTTTTTGGGCTGTTTGAGGTTCTCATCTCCTGCAGACTGCTGCATTTCAGATACAACAAACACACACACACACGCACAGACACACACAGCTGGGATGCTGGGGTGCTGGATATGGCCCAGCATTTTAGCAGATGGCCTGGGTGCTACGCTATCAGTCACCATAGTAACATGCTCTCTTTTTCCTCTTTCCCTCTGTCTTTCTCTCCCTCTCTCCAGTGCTAAGAGAAGGAAAATGGCAGACAAGATTCTTCCGCAAAGGGTGAGGCTGCATCTTTCTACCTTTTGTTGATGCATTGTTGTTTTTTTCCTCCTTCAATGTCTGTGAGTGTGTGTGTGTGTGTGTGTTATTATCTTTGTTGTGTAGAAAAAGAGAAGGGAACAGATCACGGCGGTGGTTTTGATGTCAGGGGTTCGTGGAAGGCGCAGAGGGCCAGATGATTAAGTGTTATGTCCTCATGGGCGGCGATGTTATTTGGACGGTGGCTCGTCGTTTTTTTTTTTTTTTTTCGAGGGTAGCGAGCGGGATGTGGCGAGGCAGAATTGCCACAGGTGAGTATTAGCCGGCAGAGGTTTGTGATTTTCCGGGGGCCCCCGGGGAACAGCCACGCCGGCGTCCCGTGCCGGCACACCGGCGGCTCTCGCGCCGAAACAGCGGAGGTCTGGAGCGCACGAGCCTGGTCTTTGGCGCGCGTCTTATCCCCTTAACGCGACCCAGACGGCGAGATGGCGGGGTAGGCACGGCCCCCCGGGGGCGCCACTCCACTGTAATGAGTCAGGGAGCAGGAATGTCTGCCACTCTCTGCCCGTCACTCCGGCCCGGTGAAAGACGGGGAGACAGAGATAAAGAAGGAAGGGGAACAATGGAGGCGGCCATTTAGAGAGAAACATGAAAGAGGGAGGAAGAGGGAGGGAGGAGAAGGCGAGAGAGACTGTGTGTGTGTGTGTGTGTGTGTGTGTGTGTGTGTGTGTGTGTGTGTGTGTGTGTGTGTGTGTGTGTGTGTGTGTGTTTGGTAAGCAAGCAGCAGCAGCAGCAGCCCTTGATGCTCTGAGGACTTTCATCGGTGGTTCATATGGTAATGTGCGAGTCCCGGCTGGTTGGCTGCACACTCTGCATCTCATTTCCATCTCCCGGTGTCCTGAGGATGTTGTGGACCGCGAGTATGAACGACACACCGGGAAGTAGTTTAGGAGGAAAAGCGAAGTCTCGTTTGGGGCAAACGTAACACGCAATTAATTATTATCCTCATGCTGGACTTGTTTTGGATAATCAGTAATCTCGTGAGCCTTTTTTGGTACATAAACGCTGATCCCGGAGAGACGAGGCGGGAGGCCTTCGTGGCTCATTGTGAGCTTCTTAAACCAACACTAAGCCAGCAGGGGGTCACCAGCCGCCGTGCACTGTTAACTGCTTCTGTTTCATCACATTCCATGAAACCATCTTCACTGGAACCCCTGAAGCACAAAGACCGACCCGACTCCGTTTAAGCCTTTAAGTGACATCCAGGTAGTGCACGTGAAGACCGTGTCGTCTTCCTCATCTGATCTGAGATCTGGGGACTGTCTCCCCTCCGAGCAGATCCGTGAGCTGGTCCCGGAGTCTCAGGCCTACATGGACCTGCTGGCGTTTGAGCGCAAACTGGACCAGACCATCATGCGCAAACGCGTGGACATCCAGGAAGCGCTGAAGAGGCCGATGAAGGTAAGGGGACGCGTCGGGAGCCGGTGAGAGACGGACAAAAGGGTTCATGGACATAAAAATGAATTTCAACGAGCCGGCGCTTAAGGTTTTAATGAGATGTCCGTTGAATTTGTGGTGTTTGTTTTGTGCCCTTGTGTCAGCAGCAGAAGCGTAAACTGAGGCTTTACATTTCCAACACCTTCAACCCGGCCAGGCCCGACGCCGACGACTCCGACGGCAGCATTGCATCGTGGGAACTGCGAGTGGAGGGGAAGTTGCTAGATGATGTGAGTTTTTTTTAATCTAAAATACACCATTATATAGTTAATTTATTGTCCCTCGGATACGGAGTTTAACCCACAGGGGATTCACGCATGAAATAACTTTCGCTGCTGCAGGGGGGTCATTAAAAATCTCGACCTCCTCATTTAGCGCCGAGGCGCGCTGCCCGGGGTCGTTTCTGTCCAGCGGCCGCACGCGCTGATTATTATGTGCTCAACTTTTTTACATTACATTACATTATATTACATTACATGTCATTTAGCTGACGCTTTTATCCAAAGCGACTTAAAATAAGTGCATTTCAACCATAGGGTACAAACTCCAAAGTGCAAGAAACAAGAAAGTGCTACAATTTGTTGTTCTTTAGTCGAGGTAGAGTCTGAAGAGGTGTGTCTTTAGTTTGCGGCGGAAGATGTGAAGGCTCTCTGTGCTCCTGGTGTCTTCAGAGAGCTCGTTCCACCATTTCGACAGAAAAGAGTCGAGATCTGGTCGAGTGTTTTGCTCTCAGTGACGGAGGGACGAGCAGTTTTGCAGATGCAGAGCGGAAAGAAAAGAAAAGTATCGTCTGGCCCGGGAACAGGAAAACGAACGACTGCTGTTGTGAAGACGGCGGTCGTTCACTAAGATGTTCTGAGCACGCCGAGCAGCGAGGACGTCATCTCGCAACGGGAGCGCTTAGGTTTCTCAGACCTCAAATATTTCTGGCCGCGTCTCGGGAGGAAGTGGACCCTGAGAAAGCTCCTCCCACTCACCCTCCTCGCGGTTATTTAACGCCGATTTAAGACGTGGCGAACAGACGTTTGCCGCTGCACTTGTGCGCCTAATTTAGACATCAGCTAACAGCCCTTCTCCCCCCCCTCCCCCTCTGTCACCCCCCACTCCCTGTCTGCTCCACAGCCGGGGAAGCAGAAGAAGAAGTTCTCTTCGTTTTTTAAGAGCCTGGTGATCGAGCTGGACAAAGACCTCTACGGTCCTGACAACCACCTGGTGGAGGTTAGTTCAAACATGGCCGCCGCACGCCGACCACAGAGGAAGAGGCTCGTTTTAGAGCCGCGCCGACTTTGTCACCATGACGATCGCCGGGTTTCAGAAGTGAATGAATGTCGGGCTGCAAATGTCATCAGTTAGCTGCACCTCTTTGCCTTTGGATTCTACTCGTTTTATTTTAAATTTATTTGAAAATCAACACTTTCTTCTCAAACAGGAACAATTGTCGCTATTACTTTTAGCATTTTTATCTTTCATACTTTAAGAAATACTCATTCAAATGAACGGGCGGAATGTTCACAATTGAAACATTCTCAAATTTGTCCTACTCGTTCATGCTTTCAGAAAAGTTACAGATCTTTCATACCTTCATGTGTATTATTTATATTTTCAAACCCATTAAAACTGTGTTTGAAGCTCAGTGATTTTTTTTTAAATGTCCTGGACGGATCCAGAGTCTTTTTTTCTCTGTGACACTGTAGTATTTCGGGGATGGGATCGGGAAGAAACAGGGCTTAGCCGTGACAGAGGAGTCACACAGCAGTTACCATGGCAACCTTTGTTACCGTAACATAATGAGATTTATTTCCGCTGTTTAAAAAATGAAGCCGGAGCCAGAAGACCTTTTTGGCTCATCATCCCGAGACCCGTAAAAAGACAGAAATCAGATTTAACATAGAAAATATCACGTTCTGATCGGTGAGCTTTTCCGGGGCAGCAGGTGAGACGTGACGTGGCAGGTGAAGCTAATTGCACTAACGAGGGCCCAGCTGCGTTAGCTCCCACACAGGTGTTTGTGATAAGTGGCCTGATCTGACGTTCTGTTAGAGCTCATTCCGCTACAGCGTTCATGGTCTTATTTGACCTCTTCAGCATTCACATCTGGAGGCCTTGCTCGTCACGTGCTGCGTTGGTGCATCCATTTGAGATTTCACATCCATTACTATTACAGCTTTTGTACATGCGGCTGGATTCGGTGAATCGGACCCTTCAACAACGAGGTCGGGGTCTGCATACTGTTATTATGTCGCGCCTGTTAAAGTCTCCAGCTTTATTCACCTTCAGCCAACCCGCTGCTTTTTTCCTCCGCTTTGAATTTACACAAAATAAAACGCAGAGTGGTGGACGGCCAGCTCTCTCATTTTTTTTAATAACTTGCTTCTCTGAGACAAAGGAAAAGAAAAGCTTTATTTTCCCAAAACTGTACAAGTTGGAGAAATATATTAATATATATAAATATTTTCTAATTAAAAACAAATCACTCGCTGCCCTTCACTTTATCTCCTCACAAAATGTATTGACTTTTCGAGCTTTTTTGAGCTTTCGAGCACCAAAGCGAAAATTATTGCTCCTCAAGGTTCCTCCTTTTATAAAAGGGTGTTTTTGGCGAGGCACTAAGCGTCTTCACTTGAATACATTCCCATCAAATAGTTTTTCTCTTATACCTTAAGGTAAAATTGGTAATCCGCTGCACTGTGATTCCTTAAAGTCACTTCCTAGGTTTCATCCTTTCAGTTTCAAGGTAAAATGGAGACTTAAAAAAAGCCTTTATTCCGCAGTCAGCGCCACACGGTTAACCTCTTGCTCTCTTAGGTTTTCTCAGTTCAATGCACGTGGCTGGTCTGCAGATATTTAACCTCTCAACGAACCGCAGGCAATGCGTTCAAGATCATGACGGTTAGACACACGTGCACTCAATGAGTCTGGTGCATTTATTAACGTGCCAAATCTCGAGCTGCTTGATTAAAGCCCCTAAAAAGTTCAGGTAATTCTCTATAACATTAAATATGAATGAAAGAACTTCACGAATGATGTATTATATGTTATATAAGGATGTAATACAACGTGCACGATGAATAACTGATTAATGATCTACACCGTGTTTAATTCAAACGGTAAACACAGATATGTGGATGTTTGTTTCACACTGTTTAAATGTGTGAAACCACCAGGCGATGTGTGATTTTAAAAAGACCATTCAGCCTGAATAAACCACCTCAGTTTGGGGTGTGTAGTCACTCTGCGGCGGTTCGCTTTTTCAGTGGCACCGCACGCCCACCACCCAGGAGACGGACGGCTTCCAGGTGAAGAGGCCCGGCGACGTGAGCGTGCGCTGCACCCTGCTGCTGATGCTGGACTACCAGGTGAGGGCGCCGCGCCTGCAGGTGGCCGGTTGTACAAAAAGTGCTGTAATGCGGTTTTATACATACATACATATATATATATATGGTCTCCTCAGCCTCCCCAGTTTAAACTGGACCCTCGCCTGGCTCGCCTGCTCGGCATTCACACCCAGACCCGGTCCTGCATCATCCAGGCCCTCTGGCAGTACGTCAAGACCAACAAGCTGCAGGACTCCCACGACAAGGAGTACATCAACTGTGACAAGTACTTCCAACAAGTACGGGACTCTCTGTGTGGCATGAACATGAGCTGTGAAGGAAATCTCTGTGTCTGCACGCCTCCATGTTTGTTTTAGTCAATTTAACCTAGCAGCATTTACTAATGCAGCCCGTGTTTTTGGCACCGTGTGTTGTTAACAGACTGTTCCCTCCTCTGCAGATCTTTGACGGCCCTCGGCTGAAGTTCTCCGAGATCCCCCAGCGCCTCACCAACCTCCTCTTGCCCCCCGACCCCATCGTCATCAACCACGTCATCAGGTACATTCCTGGTTCCCTGCAGATGAACTATGGTTCCAGCGAGAAGGAATTACATGCAAACCGCACGGGGCCTTTGAGGATATATGTCCAGTAACGATTATCAGCATCTGCGTGAACGAACCTTTGCTCTCCGTCAGCGTGGATCCAAACGACCAGAAGAAGACGGCCTGCTACGACATCGACGTGGAGGTGGAGGATCCCCTGAAGGGCCAGATGAGCAGCTTCCTCCTCTCCACCGCCAACCAGCAGGAGATCGCCTCCCTGGACAACAAGGTGAGATCCCCGGCACTGACCAGTAACAGTGACGTGAACACAGACGATTTTCTTGCTGTATTGTAACCGTTGCTCTTTCAGATCCATGAGACCATCGAGTCCATCAACCAGCTGAAGATCCAGAGGGACTTCATGCTCAGTTTCTCCAGAGATCCCAAGGGCTACATCCAGGACTGGCTCAAATCCCAGAGCCGAGATCTTAAGGTTTGATGTTTATATTTATTCATTCACACACTCGTTCCATTTAGCAATTTGAAGAAACCATCTGGCGGCCTTTATTTGGAGTAAGGGGAAGATCTGCATGCTTCCTGTCACGTATGACATCACTGTTGGTTGCTATCCATGGCTGTAACTCATGGATTCCTCCTCGTAGCTAATGACGGACGTGGTCGGGAACCCCGAAGAGGAGAGGAGGGCGGCGTTTTACCACGAGCCCTGGTCCCAGGAGGCCGTCAGCCGCTACTTCTACTGCAAGGTGAGGCGACGTCTTTTTAACACCCGCCTCCTCCCGGCTCCGCCTCCAGACGCCCCGCTGACGCGCGTCTTCTCCTTCTCGCAGATCCAGCAGCGGAGACAGGAGCTGGAGCAGGCCTTGGCGGTCCGCAACACCTAAGTCCAGGAGGCCGCCGTTCACCGCACGCGTTCGGGTCGAGGCCCTCTGGACCGCCGGCGTCCTCAGACAGACCCGACCGCCCGATCAACTAGACCTCCTCTTCGTCGCCACCCTCTTCATCGCCACCCTCTGCTTGGTTTTTCTTTTGTAAATACGTCACAGAGACGAAACTCCAGAACCGGCTGCTGGAAGAGTTTCCCACTTCATGTTTCCTGTTTCCCTGCTCTGAAATGGTTTGATTGTTTGATTGTAGGAGCGACAGTGTGTGTGTGTTTTTTTTTTTAGTTTGTTCTCATTAGGAGGGTGTGTTTTTTTTGGGGGGGGGAGGGTGGAGTTGAGATTACGGTTTGACACAGGAATCAATTCGATCTACAACCCAAAAGAGTTGTCGCTTTCATTCACATTCAGGTTGGAGTGAATCGCTTCCAACCGCCAACGTGTCTCATTCTTGTGTTATTTGCCAGCACACAGTGTTACACAAAGTAAACCGAAGTGTTACCACATTACTATCACAACTAGAATAGAGTTTTAATGGATCATCATGATAACAATAATAGCCTTTTCTTCCCTTGATCGTAGTAAAACGCGCTGGGGCTGAAGCCTCTTGTCTGAGTCGCTCACTGCCTCTTTGTGTTACGTTGCGTGTTTTGTGTGCTGAAGGTCTTACCAAAGGTTGCAACAAGAAGAAGAGAACACGATCACTGAAAAATAAAAGAAGTTGGCACAAATCTGCACCTGGGGTTTGCCACTGATTGCAAAAACGTTTCCTCGTGAGGTGGTGGTAAAGAACTCCAAACAATCTGGGTAGTTTTCGGAGGGGATTCAGTCCCAAACGGTTGCCTTTTATTGCCAATTAGGCCTCAGGTTTTTGTAAAGAAACTGTAAACTGTTCTTGCAATGAACACTGAACCCCAGGTCTGCAGGATTCTGTCCACTTCTACAAGTTTATGTTCAATGAAGAAGAAAAAGTTTTTCTTGTTCATTCTAGAGATGTGAATGTACATACGTTTGTTTTTTCCCCTTTAAAGGGGTCAACTGTACAGTATTCGACCGACTATTTGTGTGTTTGTTTTGGGGTGAGTTACGTGGTGCATTATGGGAGTTTAAATCAGTTTGCAGGAATGTTAGTGTTCCTCTGAGTGCTGTCTCGGGTTGGGGTGACTTATTTTAGGTCCATCCCGTCATCGTGGGAGCGATGAAGACCTCCCCCCGCTTTCATTCTGAGTAACAGATGATGAATTCTCCGCACCGCTCTCCTTTCACACCTTTTTTAGTTTTTTTTTTATGACACTTATGTGTTGTCATGTCGGATGGAAGATTTTTTCTTTTTCTTTTTTTTGGCCGTCTTCTCCGCAGTCACTTTTCTAGCTGGAACCCTTTTGTGGGGGTTCCGTTGCACTGTGCTTGTAAATGTCTCGAGGGGGACCCTCCTCCTCGGGGCGAGACCCCCTCTGATGATCCCGGCAGACGCGAAACGAGCAATGGGACGATGTCGCGATGACCTATGCATGCTCCACGGACATTAATCCATTCATCTGATGAGATAGTGTGTAAATACAAAAAGCTGGCATAGCAGTCTGTGCGACGAGAAAAATAACTTTAGTTGAAATGCCTTCTGGAAACTTTTTTGCCAAAAATGATAAGCCCTACCAGCAACTTACTGTAGGTGTGATTTTTCTTCTCTGTTTTTTCTGAGCTGTGTTTTTCTTACTAGGACTAAGTTATAACTGCACTCATTAGAGGAGAAAGCGTAGGCGTTTGTCTGTGTGTGCCCCACTTCCCCCCCCCCCGGGGCATTTGGGCTTCTACGTCGTCGTTGTCATAGAGTCACCGATTCACTTGCACCCTCTTCTGGAGGAAACTCAAAGCTGCGACTCCTGGCGTGAGCTCAGCGGCGAGCGCCACAGCGTGACAAAAAAAGTGTTAACGCGTCTGCTGTGTCTCCGGTCGCTAAGCCAGAAACATGCTGTGGACATGTCTCGTCCCCGCATGTGTGTGTGTGTGTGTGTGTGTGAAGACGCTCCATCTCTCTGTTGGCGCTGCTGTCCGAGCGTCACCTACAGGGAGATGACAGCATACGTAACACTGTTTATCTGTTCACAGCAGACTTGTTTGGTGATTCTACGAAAATATAAGAAAAAAGAAAAAGGGAAATCAGCTGTGACGACGTGAGACAGCCTGGATGTAAATAAAGAAGCGCTTGCCAAAGTTTGTACATGCCATGATTTCTAAAGCGTCTTTCTTTCACCTTTATGGACACGGCAGGTTCAGAGAGGAAATGATTTCCTGCGCTGCAAAACTTTATACACATTATTGTCTTAAACCTAAAGACGCATTATTCATTTTGTACAAGCTGGGAATTGTGTTTCAACTAAATTGCATTTAAAATACGTGTTTTTAAAAAACATTTCTTAAAAGTAACAAACTGGAAATCAAGGGGGGGGACACAAACATTTCATTTGAATGGCATAAAACACATGTTGAATACTTTAAGTTGAGGCCCAAAGGATAATTCAAGTGTATTAACTAATCTTTTAATAATGGGCAAATGATAAAACTCCCAAACATCCAAAGGGCAACATTACTCAACAATAGATCTTTTTATTATTTTCCACCACAGCAGCGATCCACTGCGTATAAAGCAAATTCAACTCCCCTGAACCAGCTTCCGCTAACGGAACCCTCTGGCGCTCCGTACGGCGAGCCACGTGTTGACCCCGCGCTCGGCCCGTTGCTGGCCGACACGTTTCCCTTCCTCAGGCGGCGGCACACAGGCCCTTTGTTGTTGGCCACCAGGGAGCAGGTGGAGGCCCCGGCGATGTAACGCTGACTGCAGCCATGCCCCCGCCTCAGAAAGAGCCTCTTTCACCCTGCTGCTGCCTACGTTTTTGTGGTTGGGGGGGGCCTCGGCGACGTCGTCTGAGGGGGGCTGTGTGAAGTGAGCCTTTCAGCTTGTTCCTGGGCTCACCGGGTTCACCCTCCCCCCCCCCGTGCCCAAAGACGCCGCACAGGGTGCTCGTGAAAAAAAACAGGGGAGGCCGCTGACTCAACGCGGGGAGCCGAGGCGGTGGAGGAGGGGGGGGGGGGGGGGGGCTGCTGTGGAACAAACTGTTCACTGCCTCCAGGCGCCGGACAGGCAAACCGAAATATCATGTTAATCAGAATACAACGTCAACAAAGGGCCTTTTTATCAGGTGGTCGGTACCTGGAGGGGGGGTCACACACACATCCCACAAACGGCACAGCATGAATGCAATGTCACACTTTAATACCTCTTATAAAGAAAAGAAAAAGGCAGCCGACGGCTTCACTGTGTTTCCAGTATTATTTTAAATATTTTCACTCAGGAAGACGCGAGTCACAACCTCCTGTAATTAGAAAATAGCAAGTATAAATATAGTCCCTCCTGTTAGAAGAACTGCAGGAAAACAGGTAACAGTAGTTCCATTCAGTCGCTCCTCGGTGACTCATCGTGAGTCGAGACGAGACTGAGTCACAGTATGAACAGATGAGTCAGGTCCAAGTGTCCCACTCATGAACTCAGCCAGGACATTTTCAGCTTGAAAAGAGCACGTTTTCGCCGTCGAGACGCTCCGGCTCCGCGCCTCTTCCTGCCAAATACGAGGCTGTGAGTTTTGGTGCGCGGATCGCGAAAGTACCACAATGTAGTTCACGTCTTCCCGCGGCTTTTAGGTGCTGTTGGCCTGCTCCTGTTCAAAAAGGGCCATGGCCAGATGTGAGCGGGACCCCAGGCCCTGCAGGTTGCTGAGGACGCAGCGGTGGTAGATGTCCTCGCTGAACCGCGGGTTGCACGCCCGCCGCACGTACTTCTGGATCAGCGCCGGCTCCACCGCTCTGAACACGTGCAGGCCCGAGTAGCGGACGAATATGTCGTACACGTCCATGTTCTCCAGCAGCTCCTCGTTGTCCAAGATGTCGGCCGCCATCTTGGTCCGTGAGGTCATGTAGTCAGCGTTGTAGAAGCAGGCCTCGTCGAAGACGTGGCGGTCAAAGTGTCCGTCCCGCAGCGACTCCGAGGCGAAGGCGGAGGAGGCGGCGGAGGGCTGCTGGTCGCGGTACATGACGGCGGGGCTGTACTCCTGGAAGTGGATGGGGAAGAACACCTGCCAGTTGCTGATGGCGTTCATTCTGCAGCGATTCAGGAAGTCGGCGTTGATCTCCGTCCACACGCCGGCCAGGAAGAACAGCGTGTCCACGGGGTGCTTCTTCGAGATGATGTCCATGAGCTTCACCTGCGAGGGCACCTCCGTCTTCACGCTGATCCAGGGGATCTTCACGTCTCCGTAGCGCTTCTCCACTTCGCCTATCATGGCCTTAATGCCGGCGAACACGTCCGTCTGGCTCACCCGCTGCGCCTCGAAAGGGTCGTAGATGAACAGGAAGGTGAGCAGCACGTTGTCGTGTGTGTCCAGAGTGTTCATCACAAACATGTCGAGGAAGTTGCCCACAAAGTCCTGATCCTGGGCGGTGACGGGCAGGATGACCTGCACCCGCGTCGCCTCCGTCACGTAGGGCATGGGGATGATCTCGACCGCGCTCAGGGGTCGCAGCAGGTTCACCCGTTTGGCCAGGACCTGGCTGTGGCCCTTCTGGGTGTAGGCCTCCAGCGCCAGGTCCAGCACGTACTCCATGCCGCGCGTGGGATCGAAGCGCCGGTAACCGTTCAGCAGGCGCCGCTTGCGGAAACGCAGCTGGGGCTGGTAGCGCTCGTTGAGGCGCTCCACCGCGACCTCCAGCACCGCGCTGACGTCGGCGCGGTCGGCGCCCCTTATCTCACACTTGGGGGAGCTGTCGATGCACGAGTAGATGTGCTCCTCCGTGAAGTACTCCCAGTTTATCACCTCGAAGCGGGTCCTCGGCTTGAAGGGGGGGTTGATCCCGATGGGCCACGTGACTCCAGCTTTGCCCTCTGGCGTCAGGTCGCTCAGGTTGTTGATCTGCACCTGGGGGAAACGCACACAAAGGTGTCACGCGGGAAATCACAGCTGAAAAGAAACTTGCTGTCTTGTGTGTAAACATCTGCCTCGCGTGGCATGCGTGATTGCGTTGTGGTGCATTTGAAGTTACGTCAGCGCAACGCTGATGAACTGTCCTTGTTACTCAGGAATTTCAAAATGAAGTGGGTGTGGTGGAGAGGGGGGCAAACAGCAGCCAAAGTCAAACACTGAAGAAGAAGTTACCGTTGCGAGAAGGAGATTTTAAGTGTCACAAACCTGCAGCTGTTGTATCTGCAGGTAGGTCCATTCCAGCTCAATCTGGCTGAATCGTTTGTGCAGGCGGTACATGAGGTTGGGCTCTGATATCGGGTGGACTGTGAAGGCAGTTTTAAACTGGATGCTGTCTTCCCGCTCCGGATCTGCGTTTTTACCGAGCTCAAAGTAGCGATAGCTCATCTCCTGTGAGCCACACAAACAAAAAGAAACGTTAGTGTTGAAACATTACACTCATCAAACTACTCTTCTCTTTTATAAAATCCGAGTTCTTCGGGGCGTCCCCTCCCTCTTTACCTGGTACACCTCCACGCAGCTGAGACCCAGGTAGTCGATAATGCAGCGGCCCAGCCACTCGTCGGGTCTCACGCTGAGGATGTCGTTGCGGCAGGTGTCGAGGTGCGGCTGCAGGCGGGCCAGCAGACTGCGGGACAGCAGGTAGCCGTAGCCCCCGTGGCAGTAGCGCGCCTTCTCCTCTCCGCCGATGAACTCCTCCGCCCGGCCCATGTAGAGGTCCTGACCCGCGCTGAGGTGGCCCACCAGCTCCGACAGCCGATCCGCTTGCATGTAGGTGTCATCCTGGGCCAAGAGGAACCAGTCGTAGTCGGAGCCGTAGTGCTGATTGAGGTGGCGGACCGTCTCGTACATCAGCCACACCGGGCGGTCGTCGCCGTGGGCGACCACGGTCATGCCGTGAGGCACCTTGGGGCTGCGCAGGCCCGTGAAGAAGAAGGTGCGGTGGAAGCGGTGGGCGACTGTGCGATTCACCGCCACGGCCAGCGTGTTGAGGGTGGCCCGGGAGGTCAGCACGCCCACCAGCAGTCGCTCCCTGATGCCCAGTTCAGTGTGAATGTAACGAGTCCTGTAGACGCACGGAGACAGGAAATGAATAAGAGGACGTCAAAAGGCAAGGCGAACCTTTTCTCATAACAGTCCTGAATTATACATTTCATCAGGCTAGGAAACGACTCCAATCCAGTAATCAGATGTGTAAGAAGACACGAACACGGAGAACATGACGCAACCGTGGCGTGTGGCGCATGGAGTAGAGAGGGTGCGCCGGGACCGCAGAGTTGGTGGTTGGAGTCCCAGCTGCTCCGTGTCCCGTGTCGAAGTGTCCCCGAGCAGGACGGCGGACCACTAATTGCTACCACACTGTGCGGGACGGGTTAAATACAGAGAACAATTTCCTGTTTGTGTAAAATAATACTTGGCAATAAAAATGCCTTCTTCTTCTTCTTCTGGCTATTTTAATTATTCCCAGAATTAACAGATGTAAATCATCTGGCTTCAAACTGTCTTCCTTTAACCCGTCTGGTGAGGTGTTACGCAATAACATGGGTTAATCACCAATCTGTTGAAGGAAACTGTATCAGTGTTGTTGCGTAAAAGGCTTTTCTGTAGAATTGACGTAACTTTTCACAGCATTATGTATCCCGTCGACCACTGGTGTTATGTGCATTGCTGTGCACATTTCTGCAGTGTCTCGATCCCATTCCCATGACAAAGCCACGACCTTCCCACCCACCTGAGGACCTTCTTGTGCGGCTTGTTGGGGTCCTTGTGATAGGGCACGACGCGAGGCTGGAAGTCTTCATCCCCACCTCCGTCCCTGGAGTCCCTCTGGGCATCCCCTCGGCCCATGTGAAGCCTCCCGTTGGCCAGCTCATCCCCGCACGAGTCGTCGGCGTCCCCCTGCGTCCAGGACACCATCAACAGGCTCAGGCTGCAGCCCAGAGACAGCCCGAGGATGAGGGGCAGAGCGGGCCCTGACCACGCCCAGAAAAGACGAAAAGCGCATTTCTGGCGTTTTTGACCCACATTCGGCGAGGCTCCTCCGGGGGGGGGGGGGGGGGGGGAAAGAATGTGCCACCGAAACGCTCGACTCTTCTTCCCTCTAGATCATCCGGGTGGGAGATCCTGTGTGAGCGGTTTGTTGACACGAAGAGATAATTAGCCCCAAAAAGTCACATAGTGTCCCCGTCTTCAGTCACGGATGTCGCCGTTATGAAGTTTTTAAATCAACCTTTCAAAAACGCGCGTATGTCGGTGTAACTGCAGTGTAACGAACAACAGGTCAGCCGGAGTGACTCGTTGCCAAAGAGACTCTGGGTGTCCGTTGACTTCTGAACTTACCGTTGTCTTAATTGGCTAAACTAATTTTTGGCTAGCATTAACGCTAATAGCTGCTTCTAAAGTCAGCTAACTAATGTAGCAAGACGTGAAGTCGAGCGTTTTAGTCAAACGTTACGTTACTCTAATTAGTACGTAATAAAAAATAATTTAAAAAAATAAAACGATCTCCTTGTCAGAATCTTTGACCGGGACCGTCAACGTTTATGTGTCGGAGGACCAAACATCAAAGAGCAAGCTAGCAAGCTAACGGGCTAGCATCATCGTCTCGGGGCAGATTTGTCTCTCCTTGATCCTTCTGCACGAACGCCGGCTCGAAGGAAAACGTCCCCTCCGTCACCGCGGGTGCGTGTAAAAATCCGCCGCGCACAGCCGTGTGTCGTCCATGTTTCTTCCGTTTCATGACTTCCTCAAAAAAAAAAAAACGAGTGCCACACACACACACGGTGCACACAGGGGATGAACGTTCCTCTCAGGGCGGTTTTACCCTCATCATCACTGAGCCTGCGCTGCTGCAGCATCACCTATGGACGCACTTTAAGAACGTCTCTAAACAGAATACCCGAGAACGTCGTATATGTACAAACGTCTAACAAGGGCCATTGTATGAATCTGTGTGTGATAGTGTTGAAAAGGTGCATCTATATACATTATCAGCGTGGTTATATCACAGTTTTATTGACAGGTTTGCAAGCTAATGTTAAAGTTAATAGATTTGCCTCTGAATTAGTTAGTCCCAAGCAATACATACATTATAACCAATTAAAATATTATATTTTTATTTAGTGAAAGGTACGTTAAAAAGGTTTAGTACCGCAGTCAGAAGAGAAGCGGAGGGGACGTCATGTCGCCCCGCCCCTTTGACCATATATGGTTCGTCTGGCGGTGTTGCGTGCGGCTACATCCACCCGGCAAAATTGGACACGAGACATCAGTGAGCGCCCCGAGACCAGCTTCACGTTATCCAGGTACGAGAGATATTTACCGGGTCTGACAACTACGGGTCGAATGGCTGATATACACAGTTGCGTGTTAAAAATGAAGGACGGGCTTGAAAATTCAATCTTAACCGTCTAATTAGCCGCTTTCGGAGCTTTCCGTGGCAAGTCGGGCCTTGCGTAATGTTAGCTTTAGCCGCTAAGGCCCGTCAGCTGTAACTTGGGTTAGCTAGCTACCGTTGTTAGCTAGAGAGCTAACGTTACCGCAGCGAGCCGCTCGTCAATCAAACTTGTTTAACTTGAGTCTTCGCCGCGTAACCTTATGTGGCATCCCGCCTTTTCAAGGGAACGCTAATCTGTAGGTGCTGTTGTCGATTGTGAATTGCTCTAAAGCGATAAACCGGTAATGGAAGCGCATCCGCCACCGTTAGCTTTTAACAGTTAGGCTAACCGGCTGTTTTAATGTGAGGAAACCAACGTGCAAGCAGGTGGGACCAGAAGGAATCAAAATGCCGCCGGGGTTCGCATTGTCGTCATCGTCGCCGCTGTTTTAACAATTTGTAACGTTAGTCCTTCCATAAAGTCCGATGTAACGGTAGTTGAAGTCAACGTTACACCCGGAGTTCAGTTACCGGCACATTTATGGCGCCGGTTAATCGGCGCGTGTGTGAAGTTTCTCTCAACGCCATTTTTTTGGTAACTATAAGCTAATGTCCTTAGCCGATTTCACCCAGTTTTATACACTGTTCAAACCAGTAAGATGTTATGAAAATGATATCAAATGAAATCCTTTGATCGTTGAGAATGTGTATAATATAATTACACACTACTAGTTCGACGGTAAGGGTGTTCATCTAATTGTGTCCCTTTTACCTCCTGCAGCTGAATAACCCTTTACGACCATGCCATCCGACCTGGCCAAGAAGAAGGCAGCGAAGAAGAAGGAGGCTGCCAAAGCTCGCCAGCGTACCAAGAAAACCGATGAGTTGGAGGATGAAGAACCAGAGACTGAGCTCAATGGAGCACAGAGCAACGGTGGGAGGACTCTTCTTTGATTGAATGTACTGGGCAAAAGTGGTGGTTCACCAGGCTTGTCATTGAAGTGTCTTGACTAAACTTCTGCTTGTTAATAAAAGTTGCAATTATTCAAAATAGGTCCATGTCCAACTTAAAATGTAATGTTGGGCAAATTGATTAACAGGATCCTTTTTAAAAATGTTTATAGGTATTGTCCATTTGACCAAGGAGCTGGATGAATTTGAACTGGCAAAGACGGAAGCACGGGCCGTGACCGGCGTTTTGTCCTCACACCCCAACAGCACTGATGTCCACGTAAGCAGCCTGTCCCTCACCTTCCATGGTCAAGAGCTGCTAGCAGACACGAGCCTGGAGCTCAACTCGGGCAGACGCTATGGTCTCATTGGTCTGAACGGCACAGGTAATTAATGTTCTCCTGACCCATTGTCACTAATTGGTACCTCCTTAGTAGAGATGGGCTAAGTGTTGCAAAGCGTGGCTTTTTTATACCTCTTCCTATGCTGAGCAAAACTAATTTTCCTATTGACTTGTAGGAAAATCCATGCTCTTGTCAGCCATCGGGCACCGTGAGATTCCCATTCCAGAGCACATCGATATTTACCACTTGACCCGGGAGATGGCGCCCAGCGAAAAGACTGCTCTGCAGTGTGTCATGGAGGTGGATGAACAGAGGATTATGCTGGAGAAGGAGGCAGAGAGACTTGCCCATGAGGACGGTGAGTGAAATGTGATGAGCTGAGCAATAACCGCTGGGAGCTTCATCATTTTATCATAGTACATAGTGGTACTTAAGCTGGTGGTTTGAAATGGATGCTTAATGACTCTCGCCCGTACACAGCCGAGTGCGAGAAGCTGATGGAGCTGTACGAGCGTTTGGAGGAGTTGGATGCAGACAAGGCAGAGGTGCGAGCCTCTCGAATTCTCAACGGTTTGGGGTTCACCGCTGCTATGCAGCGGAAGCAACTCAAGGACTTCAGTGGAGGATGGAGGATGCGTGTTGCTCTGGCCAGGTAAAGACAAAACCTTTTTTTGTGAGAATGTGATATCGGAGTTAAATGTACAGCAAAAAAAAATTCACCCTGTGAATCAAATTTGAACGAGTATCCTTCATTTGTCCAGAGCCCTGTTCATCAAGCCCTTCATGCTGTTGCTGGATGAGCCCACCAACCACCTGGATCTGGATGCTTGTGTGTGGTTGGAGGAGGAGCTCAGTTCGTAAGTGTCTTTCCCCACCCCCCCACACTTCTTCAATATATAGAAGTCTGTAGCGGTCAACACACATTGACACTCAAAACCATTGTCCTGCTTCTCGTTGTCAGGTTCAAGCGAATCCTCGTGCTCATCTCTCACTCTCAAGACTTCCTGAATGGTGTGTGCACCAACATCATCCACCTGCATCAGAGGAAACTGAAATACTACACGGTATGAACCCTTGGCTGAAACCACTGAGGAAGCCTTTATGTGTAACAATAAGCGTAACTCATTTGCACGAGGAAAAAACGCCTCTGCATTCTTTGCAACACATTAAGAAGAATCCTAAATGATCTCTGCTGTGTGTGACACCATCATGCTAAAGGGTGGTGGGGTGGGCTGTCATACTTTTTTTACAACCTTTTTGATAACCACGCAAATCTATTTTTGCTTTTAAGGGTAATTACGACCAGTATATCAAGACCAGAGAGGAACTGGAGGAGAACCAAATGAAGCGCTTCAACTGGGAACAGGACCAGATAACACACATGAAGGTAAATTTGATACTGAGGAATATTTTCACTCCAGACTGGATATGTCAATAAAATAAAAAGAAACTCAAAACTCTTGCCGCAGGTCCTATCATAACTTTCGGTTTCACGCGATGCCTTCTCTGACTCTGACGTTTATTACTGCAGTTGCTTTTCACGTTCGCCGAACATCCATTACTTGTTTGGTCAGTATGCGCATAAACGCTTGTACTCATTGTTTTGTTTAAATCCCTCTAGAATTACATTGCCCGGTTTGGACACGGCTCTGCTAAGCTCGCACGACAGGCACAGAGCAAAGAGAAGACGCTGCAGAAGATGGTGGCTTCAGGCCTGACTGAAAAAGTCGTGAATGACAAGGTGATGTATTTATATGGTTCTGAAACTGTTTTTCAGGCTTCTGTAGCAGTGACGCACATTTCGAGATTATGTTACTAATACCTGCCTCTGTCTGCCACAGACTCTGTCATTTTCTTTTCATCCCTGTGGGAAGATTCCTCCTCCGGTTATTATGGTTCAGAACGTGAGCTTCAAGTACAGCGACAACCAGGTGAGTGCGGCTGGCGCTACTGCTGGAAGGGGGCGGAGCTTCATTCCCTGATGTTCGGCGGCATTTCTCAGTCTCACGCTGCTGTTTCCTCTTTTTTTTTAGCCGCACATTTATAAAAACCTGGAGTTTGGTATTGACTTGGACACACGAGTGGCTCTGGTGGGGCCCAATGGAGCCGGGAAGTCCACGCTGCTGAAGCTGCTGATGGGAGAGGTAGGCACAGTTGTTTCCCGCAACAGACTGCAGTTGTCGAGAGTTCTCACGCTTTTATTCTCACTTTCTCTTATGTAGCTCCTACCCACCGATGGCATGATCCGCAAGAACTCCCACGTCAAGATTGGCAGATATCACCAGGTAAAACCCTGAGCCTGTAGAATTGGACCGCTTTAAAGCAGGTGGTGTTTTGGTTGGTGTTGCTCCTCAGGGAGAAACGGAGGACTGTGGCTCTACAAAAGCTCCCTTGTCACTACAGCAGATTTATTGGATAAATGCCATGAGATTACCCAAGGACATTTTGTTTAGGTAGAAAAGAGGGTTGGACTTTAATATAAATAAATAGCTGGGAGCGATTTCAAAGGTGTATATTTACTGTAAAACTAAATGTCTTCTATGGCTCTGCTCATGTCACAGCATCTGACGGAGCAGCTGGAGCTGGACTTGTCTCCGCTGGATTACATGATGAAGTGTTTCCCTGATATCAAAGAAAAAGAGGACATGAGGAAGATCATCGGTCGCTACGGGCTGACCGGAAAACAGCAGGTAGGATTTGTGTAACATGTGTAAATGCTACATTTTCTTGTTCTTTGTCTGCACTCGTCTCTAATTATTCAACGGAAATTCCCTCCAGGTCAGTCCGATCAGGAATTTGTCCGACGGACAGAAGTGCCGGGTGTGTTTTGCCTGGCTGGCCTGGCAGAACCCTCACTTGCTGTTCCTCGACGAGCCCACCAATCACTTGGACATCGAGACGATTGACGCGTTGGGAGACGCCATCAATGAGTTCGAAGGCGGCACCATGCTGGTTAGCCACGACTTCAGACTAATTCAACAGGTAGATACTCCCTCATTTGATGAGCTCAACCTCTGGCCATACAGGTTAAAAACAGGTGCAGGACTTGAGTTTAACTGTCGTCCGTCTTTCCCCAGGTGGCTCAGGAGATTTGGGTGTGCGAGAATCAGACCATCACAAAGTGGAATAAGGACATCCTGGCATACAAGGAGCACTTGAAATCAAAGCTGGCGAAGCAGCAAGCGCATGACATCTAGAGAAACTCCCACTCAGAGCCACTCCATCATCTTGTATCATGGATTCGACCTGCAGGCTCCTGCGACGATCAGCAGGGTTTACGTTGCAGGAAATGTCATTACTAGAACTGAAACAATCTCTTATGCATCTAATCGAACACGTCTGTTGTTCACGTCGTACTGCATTTCCATCTCAGTTTGACAGTGTCACACTCGACCCAATCCCCCTTTTCCACCTCAGGCTGCACTCTGATTGGCTGATTCACCTGAAACATCTCTGTATTTTGGATGCATTCCATTCGGCCATCTTCATAAGTTAAATTTTTTGGAATGTTCTGTTTTATCCCCAAATCATAAGTCATTTTATATTTGAAAGTTGACTTTTTTTTTTCCTGTGTAAAAGAGCAGTTCTTCAACAATTCCTTATTTAACAATGTAATGCAATAAAGGTTTGTCTGAATAAACAGAACATTAAAAACCAGTTGAGTTTCTGAAGAATTTATTATTCAATTTTTACACTTGACGAATACATTGCTTGTATCCAAAAATCAAAAGCCTTTAGGGAAAATAAACTATTTTACATCTCTGTAAACAAGAGGACCAAACTTGATGTGCGTAAAAGTTGCTTTGGATTCTGGCTTGTGAGACCCGAGGCTGCATAGATCCTCCGTCACCTCCACCCGAGTACGCCGCTGCTGCTCACGCTCAAGGAACATCGGAATGGATCAGCTGCTCAAAGTGGCATTTCTTGGCATAACTACAACATATCAACTGAACCCAATGCACTTAAGTGTTTAGCTTACTTGCCGTTTGCACTTAACACATGTGACATCACAAGTTCTGAACTCTTCATTATGAGCTGATACAGTAAAGCAGTTATTTCAGACAGGAATAGTAGTAAGTGCTTGAACTGCTAACAGAATGCATATGTTCAGTTTACCGAAACCCTTTTCTTCTCATTGTCATGTTGCCACAGACCAAGTACTGCAGGTCCAACAAACTAACCAAACGCAACACTATCAGATCAACTTTTCTTGTAACTGGAAACATTTCACAAAACATTTCTCGCTTTAACCAGGAAAAAAAAATAGAGTAGGTTAGTTAATGAAATGTATTTATGAAATAAAAAGAAACTGAGCAAATAGTCACGGTGGCAACAACTATCTGAAACACTATTTGATCATCTTTGAAGTCTGTTTACTATTTACTGGACATATTGTACAATTATTTACAACAATAAATAGACCTAATTCTATTAAACATCCCATTTTTCCCAAGTTAACACAGATGTCACCTTCCCTTACACTCTCCAAAAAAAGATTTTAGTTGAATTGACAATTTGTTATTGAGGTTTTAATTTAAACACCAGGCTGGTAGTCTTACATGCTGCGCTGTGTTACATTTCCAACATTTAATATCTGCTGAAAAAGCTCCAAAGAGGCAAAACGACCGTTTTCTTTAGTCAACGTTATTAATGGACTAGTTTTTAAAACACCAGACTCCGGCTTGGTGGCGCTGTGAGAGTGACAGATGAGCGGCTGAATGCTGTATACACAGTGGAAATATGAGTGTTTCAGTTATGCTGCTTTGGGAGGGAGGGAGAGGGGGGGGGGAGGGTGCCGATGCTCACTGGGCTTCCCACTCCTCGTCGGAGACCTCGTCCGGGGGAATACTGCGAGTGTTGCTGGCCCGGATGCTGCTGATGTTTGTGAAGGAGAGGAGGCTCGCGATGCCCATCAGACTCACGCCGGTGCCGTCCAGGTTCACCTGAGCCAGATTGATGTTTTTTAAGAACTTTAGACCTGAGAGGGGTTAAAAAAAAAAAAAGTGTTAGAAGTACAGAGTTTTCTCACCAGTGTGACAAATCACACGTGTGTCTAGGACCTCACCGTGGTCGGTGATCCGCGTGCGGCTGAGATTAAGCTTCACCAGTTGATTGCAGCGGATCAGAGCTCTCCTCACCACGGTGTCTCCCACCCGAGTGCTCGCTAACCCCAATACCTAAAAAACACCCATCGACATTAGCAGAAATATCTTGCATACCAAAACATTTTAAATGGTTGCTTCTATCAACATTACAAAAAAGGGTTTTCCTCCAAAATGTCTTGTCAAGCACGCCTCTGATGGTGACATCACCTGGAGGTGCGGCAGACAGGTCACGAGCTCGGCTACTCCTCGGCTGGTCACCGCCGTCCGGTCCAGGCAGAGCTCCTGCAGCTCCTGCAGGCCGCGCAGCGAGGGGAGACCCGCGTCCGTCACCTGCGTGTTGCTGAGCGACAGCTTCTTCAGCCTACACAACGCACAAGCAACGCCGGCGTCAGTGCGAACACCCCCTGCTCCCCGTGGTCGTCATAGTGAGACGACCGTTACAATGGCCCCGGGCGTGTTGTGAGAGTGACCTGCTCATGGCGGAGAGCTGGCGGACTCCCTGGTCCGTGACCAGCGTGTAGTCAGTCAGGTCCAGCTCCAGGAGCACAGACAGCCTGGAGAGGAACAGCAAGCCGCCGTCTGTCACCAAGTGACGTCCCGGGAGGGTCAGCTGAGTCAACTTTAGGCCTGGAAGGAAAGTGCAAACCCCCTTTTTACAGTTTGATTCACCAAATGCTCCCGTTTTTTCTGTTTTTTCTTTCCGTCCTCGTACCCGAGACGATCTGCAGGGCGTGATCACCGTCCGCTACGGGGATTCCCGCCACACTGAGGGACGACAGGGCCGGGTGGGTGGCGAGGTGCTCCAGCGAGCTTTCGGTCACGCCGGTCCCGTCCAGGTTGAGGGTCTGCAGGCAGGACAGCTCTGCCAACGCCGTCACGTCGATGACCTGCCGGAACGAGACCCACCAAGACAAAGAAAAGCCTGCTCAGTCCACAGACGACACGGCGCCATTCGCGCGCTCGACGCGCCCGCTGGAGCCAGAGTACCTTCGTCTGCTTGATGCTGAGGAGCCTCAGCTGCGGCACACAGGCGGGCAGCGCCACCAGCGTGGCTTCGGTCACGGCCGTTTGGTTCAGGCTGAGCTGAGAGAGACAGGACGGAGCAGACTGGAGATATAATACCATCCCAGCATCGGTCACTTTGGTCTGGTCCAGGGACAGGAAACACAGGCTCTTTAAACCTTTCAGAGACAGGGAGAAGGAAAAGAAGAGAGAAAACATTTCAGCCCGGAGCGGCTTGTGTTGGGATCGGAGGTTCTCGTAATTGCGTGTGAAGTGGCGTTACACAATCGGTCAGATCCTCTCTGGTAACAATCTGAGCCTCGTTGGCGGGACAGTTACCTGTGATGTGCTGCAGACAGGAGTCGGTCAGCTTGCTGCAGGAGGCCAGGTTGAGGTGCTGGAGTTTGACCAGGCTGGAGACGATCGACAGCCCGGAGTCTGGACAAAACACAGCCGGGACGTTCAAATGAAGCAGAAGTTAACGTCACTGACTAAAAATACACCCCTCCCCCTCAATATTAAATTGCATACCAGTGATGAGAGGCGAGTTGACCAGGCTCAGGTGCTTCAGGGCCGTGAAGGCCCTCAGCTGCCGCAGGAGCTCATTGGTGGAGTAAGGGTAGCAGTTGAGGACAAACTTCTGCAGAGGGCAGCCGAAGAAGAGCTCCAGGGTGCGTGGACGCAGGAGCCTCTCGCGGGACATGTGGTTGAGCAGAAGCTCCGCCAGCTCCGGGGTGAGGCAGGCCAGGCTGCTGCTGTACTGCATGCTGGGAGCTGAGGGGCGTAGCTGAGAGGTTAAACAAAGGCAACCAGGCACGTTGTCCTGGAAAATCTGTGAGGGGAGTAACCGCGGTGGGCCCTCACCCGTCATGAGGTGGACAGTCGCGCGGGTCGCCAAGGCACATAGGGACGGCACGCAGGGGGCCCTGAAGGGTTTTTTAGGGGGTGAGGGTTGTCCCTGGGAGGCCCCGGCGTCTTCTTGCTGTGCAGCTCTTTGAAGACGCTCCACCGCAGCCAGACCCGCAGCTCCAGGAGCCTCCCGACCTCCCGCGTCTTCGGGCTCTGCCGGGAGCTCCTCTGCCGCCTCCCTGAAACACCGACACTGGGTTTTGACGAACACGTACATGAAGCCCCAGGAACTCTGCATTTAATTTTCTTTCTCCAGTCTGCTGTGGCACATTCACAGTTCTCCCACCAGCGCCGTTCTGCCTGGACACCCACCTGAGTCGGTTGCCTTGCTCGGGCCAGTGGTGCCTGGCCTCAAATTCTACACGAATCCTGTTGTCCGGTAAGAAGGGCAGCTGCGGCATTCCTGTGGAAACAGCACAAGTGGTCCCTAACGTTAGAAAAACCCCAGCGGATTCATATAGAGTAAAAGTCACAGGCCGGTCAATACAACAAGCTTTGTCTCAACCCACTTTCTAGATCTCACACCTTTAATCGACATCAGCATCTTTTGTTCTTCTGCCGGGACTGAGCTCTCCTCACTCTCCGGTCTGGCACCTATTGGCAATCCTACCGCACGGCCACATGCTCTGAAAGACTGCATATGATTGGCTGCCGGTGGGGCTCAGCAGGTGGGACCCGGGGTACCGTAGGCTTCACAGAAAGGGGCATTCAGGTTTCCTAATCTTTCTATCACGGGACACGCCTCACTGTGGGAGTCTTCCAACTGCACTCTACACCGGGAAACCTAACGCAACATTAAATATCAAACCGAATCAAAAGGACTCCAAAAAGGTGCGAGCGAGAGGTCACGGGTCATTTGTTTCTGGAACTGAAGGACAGAAGGTTCTACATAGAGCGAGGAGGGAGTGGGTGGGATTGGGTGGGTAATGTAGGAGGGATGCGATGTTCGCAGCGACCTTCCCGGCACAGGGAGCAGTACCGTTAAGCATGTAGGGTGGATCTTCCTCTTGTGGATCTTCCTCTTCCCGTTGCTCCTCGTCCACTTCTATGCCCGCGGCTTCCTCGCCAGGAACCATCCGGTTGCCGCGGCCTGTTCAACGACACCAGGGATGTCACACAATGATGGGATTACAGGTTTAATGTCCAATAAAACCTTTTGACGCCTTGGAATGACATGAAACCCTCCATAGAGGAACCTTAATTAAAAGGTAAAAGCCCACGTAGATAGAAATGGGAGGAGAGAAGTTAACCATGAATCCCATTGTGCGGTTTGGCAATTACAATCAATGATGTTTAAAATGAGGTGTAATTTGTGGAAATTCTTGCAAAAGGAGTAGATGCCAAAAAAGGATAATGATGAAACATTTTTCATTTTTTTGCAAGACCAAAATTTGAATTCAGATCAGACTTCAGCTCCTCCCACTTGTCAACAATGATTTGGACGGCCTACTACTGTAACATCGTACACAACAAATACGCTTTTCTGAATAAGTGAGGTCAGCAAATCTGCTTAAATGATCCTGAATATATACATTTTACACACAATACTTGATACCCACCCCAAAAGTGAGAGGGGCCAGTCAGAGAAGGGCCGACTCCAGGAATCCCGGCGTAATTCACCGCCTCCTCCCACACCTGGTTGGGTAGCGGAGGAGGGAGAACAAGTTCCCCCCCTCCCGTCCCCTCCAGGACCGGTACATGTGGCTGAGGAGACACATCACAGGGTGGGGGCTCCGCTGACGGCGGAGCGGCGGGAATCGCCGGGTCCTGAGGCGTCTCGGGAGGCGTGGTCTGAATACACAGCGCAGCGTTGGGAGTGAGGCCGAGGGAGTGCAGCGAACAAGCCAGCTCCGCCTCCCCGAAGCGTTTCCGCGGAAAACCCTGGAGGAGAGAAAAGGAAGGCAGGGACGGGTGGCGCCCGGCGATGTGCTCCACCACGCTGCGCAGAGGGGCGTCGGCCGGGAAGCGCTCGCGCATGGACTCGCCAGACGGGAGCCGAATCTGCAGCGCAGAAACACGCGAGGTTCAAGAACGACTCCAATTTGTGTCGGCGTCTACAAATCTTCATGGCCTCACCATGAGGACGCAGTTGTTGTCCACATTAGTCCGAGTCTGTCCTCCAAGCTTCTGCCCTTCCCCACTGGGAGCAGACGTCTCTGCGGCAGCGCTGGTCTGCTTTTTCTGCTGCAAACTCCTGCGATCCTCGGCGATCCGCTTCAGCACCGACTCGCGCTCCTGCCAGGCAGAAAAACACACACACACACACACACGCGCACGGCGAGATGTCGGTTCTGAGATTCACACTCTGTTGCGCGTGATCACAGTGCGGCTGAGCTCTTCAGCACAGCTGACCTGTTTCTTTTGTCGTCTCTCTGCTCGAGCCTCCTGTGCAACGCGGTGTCTCTGCTGCTCTTCGAAGTCACTCTTGTCCGGTTTGATGCGGGACTCGACCGGCAGTGGGTCCGGGGACAGGTTCCCTGACTGGGATGGTCTCAGCAACAACGAAGGGGAAGCTGTTTAAGATTTCAAAAGTATTTTTTATAAAAACAATTCATTTTGCACCTTAAACCATTGATTTCTTTAAGTGCTATTGAAAACTAAAAATGTTACACTGGTTCTCTGTGACTCTCTATCCTAAAAAGAAAACTGTTTGGTGTTGTACCTCTGCTGTCAGACGGAGATGTATGCGTCTCTGAAGTGCTCGCCGCCTCCTTGGGGAGGTTAAAAGCAGAAATTGCCGTCTCAGCCGGCTGCGATGTCCGCTTGACCAACTTGTGCCGTGGATATTGACCCTGCAGGAGCCTGACAACCAAAAGAGAGACATAGAATACATTTACTCAACAGGCGTGATCTTATAGACACTGAGTGGGAAATCATTATTTGGGAGAAGAGCTCACCAATCAGCTGCGTCTGACACAGAAAAATGCCCCGCCTGCACGGCCGCCTGGATCTGCTCCTCTGAGAAGCCCATCTCACCGAGGATGAGGAATAACTCCCCGATCGTCTGCAAAACAAACAAAACAAAACTCATCAAAAAATGCATGTCCTAAAAATAGAATGACATTTGTTTGTTTTTTTCTCTTCTTTTACTTTCATCAGCTCTGCTCAACCAATGGCTGCTGGGGTACAGTTTATTTGCTTCCTGATGTCCTTCACAACATCTTTTATTTTAAGATTCCAGTTATCGTTTAAGATGCAATGTAAACATACGCTACCGTTCAAAAGTTTGGGGTCACATCAAAATGTCCCTATTTTTCAAAGAAAAGCACTTTTTTTCTATCTACGAAGGTGTATAGAGGCCATTTCCAGCAACTATCACCTAACATTCAAAGCAGTTATGCTGGTGAAAAGAGCTATACAACTGGCCTTCCTTTGAGCTGGTTGAGTATCTTAGTGGCTTCGATTATTAGAGAACTTTCATGTGAAACTCGCCAGTCTTTTCTTGTTCTTAGAAATGAAGGCTATTGAATGCGTGAAAGTATAACGGTGTGAACTACTCCCTTAGAAAGACAAATCTGAGACTGGCCAATAAAAAGAAAAGATTGATACGGGCAAAATAAGATTGGACAGGGGAAGATTGGACAGAATCAAAGTTTGAGCTGTTTGGATTCACACAGAAGAACATTTGTGAGACGCCGAACAGGTGAAAAGATGCTTTAAATACCCGTGTTTGGCTTTAGTGCACCATCTATTTATTTATCAAAAGCAACGAGGCCCGTTTTTAATTTGCTGTTATCAAATAAATATTAATACATAACATAATAACTGTGTGTTAGCTGTGAACAGGCACGGCTGAGAATATGTAATTGTTGCATTTATCCTTCAAGTCAAATCTTTATTTGCCTTTGTTCGTCATTCAATCTGAGCTGCAGAATCACCCTTAAACCCTCACATTCTAAGTTAGTTTTAGTGCGCAAAGTTCTTATCCATTAATCAGCCTCTATCGGGTCAAATGCACTGATTCACTGAGACGTCGGCGATTGCAAACAAACCAACAGAATACAATCGGACACACAGCTAACGCTGGTGTTGTTGTTGTTATGTCTGTGGCACAGTGAGGGCTGTCAACAAACGACGTTAGCACGGCGGCTAACGGTTAGCCGAAAGGGGAACGATGGCGATGCTGGAGGAGCTAGCGGGCTAACGGCTGCGTGCGCCGCGGCGTCACGTCGGAGGCGGCCCGGCGGGCTCGCGGCTTACCGGAGGGGACGCGGAACTCATCGCGTTGTTTCAACCGTCTACGGGGTGGATATCAAAGTCACGCTGTTATTGAATTACAACTTTTGTTGACTTCCTGGTCGGGTTCTGCAGCGACGCGTTCGCTGTGCTAGCGAAGCCGATGGAGACCGAGAGTGACAGACCATCAACAAGAAACCAGCCTATCAACGCCGCGGAGAAGAAGGGGCTTTTTTTCCCACTGAGTCAGCGCTGCTCAAATCCAGTCCACCCCCCGATGATTGACAGATCCAAACACCAATCGCAGCCCTCACAAGGCGCGTCGTCATCATCGATGACTGCACACATCTGTGTGATATGTGGAGGTTGCTGTTGTTTCGGCCCAGAATAGAGGAACTAGACTGACGTGTGAAGATGAAAGTTAACAGTATGATTTACCAACGTGAGTTATTATCATATAAGTTCATTTGGAAGGAAAGAAAGGATTTATATGATAATTATTATACGCATTGCATTATGGGGACAACCCTTGCTTCAGTAGCAGGAAACCACCAGTAGGGCTCACTGTTACTTTGTGTACGCTGATGTGACTTTTTCATTATGCAGATGAATATAATCAACAAATGGGTGGCATAAACACTTTATTCATTCATATTTTATTCAAAGATACTTCCCCCCTATATACACCAGAAAGCAAAGGTAAATATGATATGACCAGCTGGAGAAAGACAAACACATGTTTAAGTAAAAGTGTCATTATTGTTCTGATCAACATTTGAAAAAGTAAGTTAGTAAAAAATAGAAAGTTAGTTACTTTCACTACCACTGGAATAATATATATACAGTTAATATTAGTATTAATGCATTTTATTACATGAGATGAGGTAATTCTAAACTTGCTACTGAGTGTGACAAGAAGACAGATATCTAAACAACCACATCATTTGACTAACAACATAATCAAATAAGCATGTAGCCTTTTGTTCTGGAATGAATCAATGTTTTCTACGGGTGTTAAAAAATAATATTTATCCTTTTTTCTTAATTAATATGTCCAACTACAGTTAGACGCAGAATACAAACACAGGAAAGGCAGGTAGCGGGAAGGCAGATAAAAGACATAAACAGGCTCAGATCTATAAAGAACAAAAGCCGTCCCTCTCAGGCTCCGGCACAGCTGCTCTTTCATCTGGCAGAGTGTGACTTAAGGGACTAGTGCATTTTCTTTTGGTTTGGATATACCCTTTTTTTAACAACATGTACACGCTACTGCCAAATACATATGGCTATATATACATGCAATATAAACGGACATGCCTTCCGTCATCTATACAAGGAAAAATATTCAACAATTATTCCAGTATATTTGCACTCCTTTGCAGTGAATTGCAGAAAAAGGTTTTAAACATTGAAATACATTTCTGCAAACTGCCAACATAGCCGATAGGGCGAATTCTAGTAATTTCAAACCTAGTATGTGAAATTAATCTTAATTTTCCTTTTCACATTATTAGAAATCACGCTTCTACTATGAGAAAAGAAAGTGTTTAATTGATATTTAATGTTTTCCTGTTTATGTTGCTGGAAGTACTGAACATCATAACGGTAAAAGGTGAACCTTCCTCAGTCTATCATGAGAATGAATCATTTTTCACGCAGGCGCAACCACTTCTCCGGGGGAAATGGTTGCCCGTTACCAGAATTTTAAAAAGTGTAGCCGGAATTCGATTCGTGTTAACTTCATAACCAAGGTATGACGTTGTGTTTGAAATAATCCAAACGCTACATCATGGTGTAATGAATTAACTTTAACCCATTTTAAGCCAAATGAGCTCTTTGTTGAATTTAATAAGTTTTTTGTCGTAAGAACATGCTCGCCTTCGCCAATGCTCATCACGTCGGCATTTATTTTGAAAACTCTACCGGAAGTAGAAGTGTCCATATTACCCTCCTAATGACGCCGGCTGAGCAAGTCACTCGCGAGAGAGTTTGAGGTGAGTACCAGACACCGGTGGGTAAAAATGTCAGAATGGGTTCCGGCCCGGAAGCCCTCGGAGGGACTCGTGAAAACGTTTTGGGGTTTTTTCTGCCACTTTGAGCGGGTTTTATGTTGAAAGCTACGATGCTTCAACCGTTGAGTTCTCTTCCTGCGAAGACAGGCGGCGTTGACAGCTACCAACTGCCACACACACACACACGTGCGCGCGCGCACACACACTCACACACACAGACACACGAGACAGAAAGTGTCCTCCGCCGGTGGACGTCTTCGCTTTGTTCCTCGGCTCGTTCCTCGGGTATCAGACGCGGAGGAAATCCCGTCAAGGTGCTCGAACTGAACTTTTTTCCTCCCGTGTGTCAGTAAGCGACGGCGTCCTTCATCCTAGCAAGCTAACGGTCTCTCCCGCCCGGTAGTAACGGAGCTAGCGGAGAAATGAGCCGACCGGGTCGGCGTTGCGTCTTTTTAAGACCGACGAGGTAACACGCGGCAACGACAACTGTCCCACTTGTCTTGGATTGATCTTCGTAGTCGACGTGAGTTGTGAACAGGAAACCCCGCGTTTCATCCCGTGTTTAGTGCACAATGAAGCACTGTGCAACAAAACATGTCCGCATACAGACAATAAACAGTTGACAGAGATCCAAATAAGTTGATATTAAAGCTCTTAGTTTAGAAGCAGTGATGCTATAAAATGGAAGCACAGGCCACTCATTTCGTTTGTCAAACTGTAACCATCAAATATTCAGTATTGATCATGAATAATGTACTGCATGAAATCCCTGTGGCTCTGTGTGCCATGGACCCGTTAGAAACCCTCTCCAGGACCCTTACAGGTCCCTGCACCTTAGTTTGGGAACCATGGTCCCAGCTTTGTTTCTGTCACATGATTATTAGATCTCAGGACGTGCCCTCTGGCAGCATGGAGGGAGGATGTGTCTCTTCTGCTGACTCACCAGTATCATCGCCATGTGCACTGCAGGTTATTCGAGGAGACGTCTGACTTTGACGCGAAGCCGAGACCCGGCAGAATGAAATGATTATCTCTCTCTAGAGATTGTTAAACCAAAAGTAAATGAAACCGGTACAATCTGAAAATGTGACCATGTTCAATTGGCACTCTCAAGATCGTGGTTCGGCACATAAGGAAGCTCCGTCTTATCTGCGTGATCACGGTCTCTGCTTTCATTTGTTTTCCTTGCCGCAGGTCAACGAGACTTTTTTTTTTTTCCCTCTTAGAAAATACACGTGTAAGCACAAACGCTTGAGCGGGGTGAGCGTCTCCACCTACTTGCCGTGAATTGCTTGGTCATGCAGGAGACCAGGAAGGAAAAGAGGCTTTTTTTTGTGTCACGGCCTCGTGGGTCTCCATGTTTGTTTTACCTTTCCCTTTGCAGATAAACAGACACAGAGCTTTGCTAAACGCACCCGGCATCCGTTGCTCTGCTGTCGCCTACAAAGTTGCATTTGAACACTATTCAGGACACGTTGGAACGTGCGCAGAGAGGCCCACCGTCCTCTCGCTTAAACTCCCCCATGCCGCCTTTGTCGTCTTCGAAAATACAACATCAACTACATGAGACGTAGTCCGGCATCCTCGCTGTTGTCATCCCTCCACATGTCGGTTTCCCAAGATTACATTCTCGTGCCTTTTCTCGTTTTCATGGTTGTGTTGTTTTCCACACAAACCTCATCGCGTCACGTTGTTTCCCAGGAAATTGATAACGGCTAATTTGTGTTTGACCTTTTGGATGATGTTTTTAGGCCTTTTTGTTTCGGGTCTGGGAGCCCGGAACGTATTTTTCTCCCGTCTCACGAGAGTAAATCGAGTTGCTGCAAAAGAACCGGGACAAAGCTCCACAATTACCGTGTTTCTGTGAGAACGTGTCTTTATCTTCTGTGCAGCCGATGCAACCTGAGCAGCCCTGTGAGAAAGTAGCCTGGAGACGCGTTTCTATGTGCACCCTGAACAGCAACATAAGCACACTTATATTTGGGACTGGCCCGTCCTTTACGAGCATCACCGTTTCTTCCTTTTCTCACACGGACAATCACCCGACTCCAGAATTCCCCGTGGCCCTTCAGAGCCGGTTCAGCATCTGTCAGCTCATCGCCTGGGTTTTACCGTTTACACTTTCATTTAAAAAAAAAAAGCGTTAAGAGTTTTAAAAGATCTAATGAATATACAAATATTTTTGCGACTTTATTATCATAAAAAATAAAGCACAAAACGGGTAACTGTCACAGGAATTGTACTTTCATATCTCAAGACTACACTGATGTCCTTCTATCTCTGAGATTACTGATTAACTTTTTATTTTGTATTATTTCATTAGTTTGTCTTTTTTTTTTAGAGGACAGACAAGTAGAATCATTAACATCCAAGCCCCGAACAAAATAGAAAACATAAATAAACCAATTTGATGTTAACTCCTGTCATCATTGTGCTTGATATTATTGACTTTGACCTTTTGTTGACTTGTTGTTTTAGCTCTTCCACCCATTCGCCCCCCCCCCCCCCCCTTCTTTAGTGTGACCGATTTATGTTCCAACTCACTAATATAGCGTATTACCACCAGCTTAAGCCCTTTTCTAGACTGCAGGGAGAAAAAAATGTTCCCTCGTGACATTTGTTTCCATTTCAGGGTGTCTATTGTCGGCCCCCCAGTCCTAACCCTCCTCAAGGTATACAAACACCCGAGTGATGACGCCTTTTCTTTTCTAGCGTACTGGATAATGGACCTTTTTATGTAAGCTGTCAGAATTGAGTTGCCTCTTCAATCCTTCTTCACCCCAAAGACAGGTGCTGTCTTCTGCGAAATGCAGATGGGCCCTCGTTGACTGGAGGGCAGCTGTTACCTCGCTCTGTGAAACCGGCCGTGTTCCAGCGACTGTGTGCACATAACTTAGCACAGTCGTGCCGGAGTGCTGGACCACGCCGCGGTGAAGCCGGCGTGGCCGCTGAGCTGTGTGAAACCGAGCAGGGAGGTAGAGAGACGCCGAATGGGGAGGTGGATGGGTGGCATCTAAACTGCCCGAGCTATTTCGGGCTAAAAAAGAAACACTCGAAGGCAACAGAGGGCGCAGCCATCAACCCGCACCGCCGGCAAATCCCCATAGAGGTCCACGGACGGGGCAGCTATCGGTGTTGTACACGGCTACATCGAGGTCACTCTTTGCAATACAAAGACCGACTTTGCACAGGAGCCCCGGGTGGTGTTCTGGTGAGTACTCTGCTGCTGACACGATACCCCGCTGGCTTTAACGTGAGCAGTTTGTCCTGAGTGTGTTTCCTTAATGTTAGGAATAAAGCCTGGCAGACTTATTTAGCACTTCCTGGGAGAGAATAATAACAGGAAGCTGGGGGGCGAATGTTTGAGTTGCGTTGACACTTTCTAAGCAATCAATTGTGTAAAGTAGCCGGTTTGACTGTTTTTGTATTTCTTTCTTTCTTTATTTCAGCTGAGAACATGGGTTTTAAATGCTGCAGGGGATTGCTCGGATGTAGCACAGATTCTGCTTTATTTCACCACAGCTGGCCCCAAAATATTGTGTGACAATCAACCGGGAGCTATTTAAAAACCGGCTCAATTATGTCACAGCAACAGTGAGGGCAAAAAACCCATCCTGTGGTTGTGTTGTGTCATTGGCATGTTGTGTGTTGGTCACGGTTATGAAAAAGTTCAACCAACCAAACACGCATCAAGTCACAGCTCTGTATATGTTCGACCACCGTGGGTGATGCTATTATTAGCACCCTGCTGTTTGAGGAATGCCCCCACACTTTGATATGGACTTCATTTTTATCTGCTGGTGCCTTTGACTGTTTTTTGTTTTGTTTTTTTACCCCTCAAGACATGCATGTGACTGCAGTGATCCTTCATCCCCGGGGACAAACTAGCAGAACTCACACACTGAAGTTCCTCCTGAGGGTATTTCTTGAGCTCCAAGGCTCATGTAAGCTGATGTGGAATGCAGCGCTTGATTATTTGGCCAACGTGGAAAGCAACTTGTTTAGATCACAGGACCTTTCTTTGTTCGCTGCTAAGCACAATTAATCTGGTGTTTTTTCTGACTTTTGGTAGGATTAATTGTGTTACAGTGTTGATTCTTCCATGACACGACTAGTTTTTGTTTTTCCATTTCCTAAAATAGTAACAACCTGTCGCATGCTAGAGTGTATTTGCAGGAAAGGCTACCACGAAAGCTTTACACGTACAAGCAAATAGTCCAGGTGAACTCCAAAAACATTGATGTATATATTTGAAATGCTGTGTGGAAAAGTCAGCACCCACGAGAATATCAAAAGTCATTCCCAGTTAATAATTTAAGACATATTAGGGAACATGTCGGGGCTTTCCCACAGATATTAACACACGAATAAACATCCTGTTCAAATTTATAAACATGCAGCTCTAAAGTAGACTTTCAATGCTTTTATTTCAAACTTGATTTCAGAGGATGAATTACAAATTCATCGCATTACGGATGCTCAAAAGCTTCCTAGCAACATGTCAATGCCCTTAATGAGAAGTCAAGTAGCCGATGTTCTGGAGAAAGCCGTACATAACAACTCACTCGCTGTCTTTCGGTCTGTGTTCTTAGAAATGAGAGAAGTTGATGATTTTTCTGCAAATGGGGGTAAACCAGGCTTAATTTTTAATTTTATAAGCCTTTTTATTACCAGCTAGTCACCTATTGTCTGCGTGCCGCAGAATGAGTTTGAGTCAGGCTTGCAGACTGGAAAAGCTTGCAACCTTTTTTTTAAGAATAGAAACAGCCTTTCCGCATGGGGAACACTGAGCGTGATCATCATGTGATTTAAAGGACCAAGCAATGTTTTGGAATTTGGTACGTGGCGCTACGGGGAGGTTTTAGTTGGTAAATGTTTATTTATAATTTCCGTCAGGACTTTGTGTAAAACGCCACTTAGTAAATGTTCGAATGTTAACCTGCTAAGAGAAGATGATAAATCTACACGACTGGCTTGCTAAGCATCAGCATGTTAGCCGTATCATTGTGAGCATCTTTTTAAATAGCGGTGTTAGCATTTAGCTCGGCGCCTTTTTTGTTACACAGGGCTCAAGCCCCCCTGAATGTGCTAACACGGTGCTAGCGTAGACGCTAACATGCCGCTGATCACGTGCTCACAATAACATGCTTAGCTTAGCGGGTTAGCATGCAAATACATAATCACTTTATTATACTGTTGTCGTGGGTCTAAAAATGGCAAATCAGTGTGTCTCCACCTCAGGGTCGAGACCTCAAAACGAACCTTCCACAGTAAATGTTTCCAAGATGATTCATAGATGGCGAGCAGAAAAATCCTACTTCGGCCACCGTGTTATGCTTATTTTTTTCAAACCTGGTTCTAATCCTTAATTTCTCGATAATCACTTTTTCAGGACGATACAAAATCATCAAATAAAGTGAAAAATTATCATTTTTCATCCACTGGAAGGGGGACCCGTCGTCTAAAACGGGGGTCCCCAACCTTTTTTGCCTCCTGCTAAACAATTTTCAAAATAAATTCAAATGACCAGAAAAAATAAATGATTCTTTCTGTGAAAAGAAAAAAATAAATAAATCTAGACCGGTACCACTCCCAACCCGGTGGTTGGGGACCCCTGTTCTAAAACATGTTACAGTTGTGACAGATATTAGTCATTGGGGTCATTGGGGTCGAGGTCATCTGTGTGTGACAAATGGGTCGATTTGTGTGTGTGTGTGTGTGTGTGCTCTGACTCAGTTTTGAATGGGCGTTTGAGTCACATGGCTACTTGTCAGCAGGCTGGAGGAGGAAACATAATCCTGAAGAGGAAGGCTGCTTCCTTCAGTCCGTGCATGTTGGTCTGAGAGAGAAAGAGAGGGAGAGAAAAAGGGCTCTGGACTCGTCAAGACGCTTGACTGCACATGATCGGCACAACATCTCCAACTCTCGTTTCGTTTGTCTCCCTGTCTCACCCTTCTCCTGTTTGTTTTCGCCCTGCACTCTGACCAGGGTCCCCCTCCACAGCGGCGTTCACAGTTGCCCTACGATGTCTGCGCTGGTGTCCCTGCTGTGAGCACACAAAGGTAAGGCACAGTTATGGACATCTCTTTATGTGCTTCCTTGTTTGTCACTTCATAACTTCTTGCTGTTCTTTTTCCATTTCATTTACTGTGTGTGGGTTCGGGAGACCAGACCAAACTCTGATATTCTTTCTGTCAGTGTTTGCTTGGTTACAGAAGAAAAAAAATATAAACAAACCCCTTTGAGCCCACTTGAGTTTTAGCAGCGTAAATACTTTTACACTCCTGAATCCTGAATGTGAGCCTTTAAAGGGCATGTTTTGGGGGACGTGATGGCACTCTACATGCTGTCCTTGAATCAAAATTGACACTTCATGGTAACAAAAAAAACAGACTTTATTTAAGCGTTGTGTCTTTTTTTTGTTGCACCACTCTCAGTTCTACCCGCTGTCTGTCGTGCACGTCAGATTTCACCCAGAAGCTGTTTACTGTGAATTCATGTCAGAATCTTCAGGCACGTTAGATACAACACGAAGGCCGTAATTCACCTTGACGTCATTGCAGCTATCAGGGCAACGCAATCGGGAGAAAAAAAGCAAAAGAAAAGCCTTGTCAACTCTCATTGTCTGCTGAAATGTAACAAATGAATCCGTCGCGGTCTGGTTTTCTGTAAGCGCAGTTCCCCAATGAAACCTTTCCCCTCTCCTTCCTGTCCCCGTCCTGCTTCTCTAAGTACAGGGCTCTCGGTTGAGGTTTGGACAGTGTGATCAACCGGCTATTTCTGGACGGGAATTTGTATTTGTGCGTTTTATCGAACTGTTCTTTAATTATGTTCTTTTTGGATGAGGTCAGTAGAGGATCAGTAGAGGATCGTGCTGGGCCAACATGCGTGTGGCCTTGTGTCCGTGACTGGCTCATGGCCTCCGTCCTGTCGTCTGACCGTCTCGCTCCGGCCCCTTTTTAAAGTCGTTATGGGATTTCAGTGACACAGGCTGAAGGAGAAAATTTATATTTTATGTCTTTGACATTTTTGTGGTGGTCAATATTGTCTCTCGGCTCCAGTTCTCTCCTCCGTGTCCCCGATTTGGAGCATGTCGTCCTTCTTCCTTTAAGGAAAACCGTTTTATTGATGCTGGAAATTTACAACATACCAAGGAGACTTTGTCAGGTGTATTTGCACTGCGCAGGGAACATCAGTCACCGCTTTTATTAGTTAATGCCTTTGTCTGAAGATATGACGCAAATGTCAACATCCGAGTGATTCAGTTTCAGACTAGATCGATTTATTTAAAGGACCTGTTAGTTATTGCAATGGTATTTCAATGTTACTCATTGTCTGAGATTTCTTTTTCTAAGGCTTCACCTGATATCTACCATGTGACCTCTAAAGCTCACAGGCCTGATGCACTGTAGTTGGTTTTTACCTTCCCTATATGAGCGTTTCTCTCAGGTCAAAGGTTTCGTCTTCGCACGTGTCCTCCTACTCTCTGCAGGAGGGACCGTGACGCTTGTTTGACATTAGGACATTTGGTTGAAACACGTCCAAGCAGGCCTCTTTTTCTGAAATCAAACATTATGTAGGCTTGAAAGAATTCCAGAGGGCCCGGTTTCTTGAAAAAAAAGGAAAAAAAAAGAGAGGAATAATTGATTAGTTTACAGCTCCTCCTGACAGTCTTCCTGTTTTCAAACTTACTTCCTCCGCAGAAGGATAGTTTTCCAAAACCCGGTGTGCACAAGGTTTTTGAGGCTGTGGCCTTCTGGATCACTCACTGTGAAGACATGGCCAACGTCTTCTAGGCGAAACACAGAGTGTCTTGTCCTCACTTCCTCTCACACTGTCTGCATTCATCCATGTCATTTTTGTCCTTTTGGTTATTACATAACAGACAACCACTTTTTTTTTTTATTCTATCCCCCGACGGATCGTACCGCACTGCAGACAACAATGTTTAGATCATCGAGGACAATGCGTTTTTTTAATTTTTTTATAGAATAGATATGTAATAGAAAACAACCTGCTTGCTCACCAAGAACCTGGTCATCGTTTTCTCCTTTGTTCATCACTGTATTGTGAGGTAGATAAGCTGGTTCCCATGCTTTTCGCTCTGTGTCCCAGGGTTCTGTAACTTCATCCCTGTGTAGCCCGGCCTGCCCCTCGCACACTGGGGGGATCTAGGTTTACTGAGAAAGTAGTCTTCAAACACACCCAAACTTATGCCCTTTCTTGCCAGCACTACAAGGATCAGATTGTCCCAAACAAGTTAAAGTGGCTGAGCTGCTGCTCTGTAATCAACATTTGGCGCAGCGATCACCGTTTTGGCAGAGCAGAGGAGGAACGCTGCCAGAACCGCGTGTCGTCTGCTCGCCGTCTCGCCTTCAGGTCGCTTTGGCAGATGATGCCTTTTTTTTTTTTTTTCAGCACTTAATCTCTTGTCATTGATTGATTGGGTTTTTGGTGAAATACAGATCTCACAAATTCCTCAATGTCAACCAGGTCATTGGTATGACTGCAGTCCGGCAGCAGAGGGGCTTATCGGTTTCTTTGATAGGCGCGGTCAGGGAGCCACGGCGTGATTTCTGAACCGGATGAGGGACCTCCCGTGCTTTGAGCCTGTCGTGTTAACAACACCGCCTCGGTCTCATTTGGGTCGCACGCGGTAACGCTACCGCTTTATATCAAGAACTAGGGCTGCAAGTAACAATTAACAAGGTGACTTCTTCCAATGTCCCGGTTTTGGCTGACTAACATTCAGAATATTTTGAAAAGAGTGAAAGAAATTGTGAGAAGCTTTATCAAGATCTACAATGCTTTCATTAACGGCTACATTTCAGCACATTGGGTACTTTTAATGTTTCCTTTTAGAGCATCTCTAGCATCGCTAGCAACTCTCCTCCTCCTCCTCCTCGAGCCGACAGAACTCTGACTACGTTTTGGATTCCTGTGGTTGCACGTCGTGAAACGGCGTCTCGACAGTGGCGAAGGTGGCGGTTAGCTGAAGTGCGTGTCGCCGCTTATCAAAAGGTCCTCTACACAGTAGCACTGTAATCTGGCCCTTATCTGGTTGGTAACCTTGAGTGACAAATCGGAATCGCTCCAGGCCTTGAAATCATAGGAATAACAACAAAATGGACGTGGCACGTTGATGTGCTCTTCAGTTGTTGCCGTTGTCCTTCATGTGGAATGTCCTTTGTAATTCATCATAAAAACAGTTCACCTAAGGTCTTCTGTGATTCTGGGACTCAAAGGGTCTTGAGTGTCTTCCAGTGAATCCTGAAACTGTTAACTTCTTAGTGTTGCTTTGCGTTGTGATGATGCTCAACGCAATAAAGCCTCACAGATGGCAACCTTAGTTTTGCTATTCTAGGAACGAATTCAACAGGATCTCAATAAATCTGCATGTTTTTTCATGTTTGGTTTCAATTGTTTGCAGTTAATGATGTTTGAACGGCCAGATTTTAACAAACACTTGAATCCCTTATTTGATGTTTCGGCCTTCAGCCTCGTCCTCACCAGTGAAACACTCCGTATACTGGAAACCCATGTAGGCCAGGGGGCCAAACAGAAAAGTCTTTGTGTGTTTTTAGGATCATGTTCCTGAGAACAATGTGTGATGTGATATGTTCGAGTCCTGCACCGCTCATATCGCAGCTTTTGCCTCACGCTGTAAATCTCTAGCCTAACTTGAATGAACCCCGGATCTGTGTCTGTCTCCAGGTTATGCTGCCCAAAAGCTGCCTGAGTCCCAGTGAGAAAGAGAAGGGCTAAAGCCGCACGGACCCGAACCAGCTCTCCAGAGGCCCTCCAGCAGCGACTCCCCTGTGGAGCCATGAGCAGCCCCAGCACTCCCAGCCACGAGACGGATGCCCGTGCATCGGTTAATCACAGTGTAAGTCCACACGGACGAGCCTCGGTCCTCCCTGTAGGATCAGGCTTCACAGCCTGGGGGGTCCGGGGGTTCATTCGCGGATTAATGTCTGTTAAATATAGTACGGTGAAAGGTTTGTTTATGCCGTGATAAATACGGCCCAAGGCACCCTACGCATGGGGCAGTTTTTGCTTCAGTGCTCCTCAGCAGGAGATTAAGCTCACAATTGGCAGTTTATTGTCTTTTCGCGCACAAGTCTGTAGGTATTTATTGTGTAATTTTCTTCTACTTCATTTCAGTTTACGCACTGGATTTATGCCGTATTGGCTTTCTCGGTCCTCTCTGGCATCAGACAGTGTATCTCGGACAGGGCTGTTCCCTCTAGAACGATGAGTGTAGAAAGCTAGTCTCATCCTAGAGCCAATTACCTGGAAACGGTACTTCTGAGTGCAAAAATTAAAAACGTTAATAGTTCAACAGCACTTCAGATCTGCACAGAGCGAGCTGCTTCTAGAGAATGAAACGGTTCCACTACTGAAACAGTTTTCTTCCTCTTTTATTTAAGTCAATAGCCAGCATTGGAAACAATGAAGAAATATTGGCGACTAATGAGAAACATAATTGGGTGCTGGTGGGTTCGGTGGGATTTAAATGCTGCCTGCAGGGCAGCTGGTCTGCTGCCAAACTGCATTCCTCAACTCCAGAGGTTCTCTACAAATTCATTTCAGGATGATTTAGATGCTGAAGCAGGAAATATCACAAGCTTAACCGAAACCCTGACCACCGCCAAGAAAAGCCTCATATATATATATATATATATATATGAGGTATTATAATTTTGTGACGGTGAATGAATTCCAGGGAATATTACAACTGATCAGCTGATTATCGGGATTGCATTTTCTTCACCAAGTTTTCACATGATCTTTTTTATTAAGTAAAGTATTTTTATGTCTCTGAACGCCTTTCCAGTGGGTTGAATCTGTACACGTTTGGATTTCTGCAGGAAGAATACGCAATCTTGTTTTCTTGTAGACGTGCTCTTTGTGTTCAGAGCTGCTTTGCTCTTCATTGCGATGTCAAACTGACAAATGTGTGAAATGCTTGCTTTGCATTTTCTTTTTGTCAGCTGCTTCCTTTTCCAGTGTTGCACAACTGTGTGATCACCATGCAGACAACCACTGCATCTACCTGCAGGACGTACGCAACAAAAGTGCAGTCAGTCTGTAATCCAACCGCCTCGAGTCTGGGCCTTAGAATGCAGAGTATTTCGGGGGGGAAAGTGCATACCCGACCCTTTAACGACTGATCCGTGAAAGAGGTGCAGAGAGAAAGAGGACAAAGGTTTTACTTGTCATAATTTGGATGACTTATTTATTTGATTTAATTTCTCAGATTTTCATTATATTAAAACAGCTGGGCAAACATTTAGTTGTTTTATATCTAAAGCAACACATTTAACTTATTCATTATCTTCCTAAGTGGATACTTTCTGCACAAAATACCACATATGAGCGACAATATGTAACATTGCATCAGCTGATCTCATTTAACTTAAACAGTAGTATTTTCAATTCAACCGACATCAGGGATAATAAAACAGGATTCAGTTTGTTTGCTCTTACCTTCTTGCCCCCTTCTGTAGTTTATGCAAAGGATTTACACTGTGAATCTCTTGCAAGTAAGTGCTAAGTACAACTTCTTAAAATGCTTTTAAAATAAAGTTGGACACATTTGTCCTCAAGCAGTTCCCAACATGATATATCCATTTAGTTGCATACATTACTCAAAACGAGAGAAGATTCTATCGTAACTCCGGCCACATTGATCTCTTGCAAAAAATGTTAATTAAATTTAGAAACCCTGTTCAGTCGTCATTTCTTTTGCAGCCGGTAGGACAGTTCACCGCCATGAAGCGCTTGGGGATTGGGACTCTGCTATATTTAGACTGGATAGCAGCATGATGACCGAGAAGCTCCCCGGAGATAAAAATGTTTGCTGAACGACAGTACCGCTTTTCTATTGGTTGTTCCACCGGCTTCAACCAAGTTAATTATTATCTCCATAAGAATGTTTGTGTGTTCAGGGAGAGTTCAGATAATCCTGTTTCAAGGGCTAATCGTCAGACTGGGTAACGTCTTCTTCCCCGGTCACGTGGCGGGGGGGGCTAACTGAAATGGGAAACTGGTCGCCTTTCGTGAAAGTGGTGAACACGTCTCACTTTTGCTTTTGACGTTGTAAAAGCTGTCGCTGTACTTCATGCGGCAGCAACGCACACGTGTGTAATCTGATGGACTATCTGTATTCTTTGAAGGTGAGTTTTTTTTTGAGGACTCCACGTGTCGTTCTGCTTGTTATATTTTGTTCTTTTTCTTATCTTTCCCAATCAGTTCTTAGATTGTCCTGCATTTGGCAAAAGGACAGTTTTTTTTAAATTTATTTTTTAAGTCCACGACTGACTTTCTCCTTCTGACTTTGCTTCTTGAGATAAAGTCGACCTCAACACAAACTCAGCAGCTGGTTAATGTTCAGTCCACTTCTGGAGGGCCGCGATGCACTTTTACTCTGTCAACAGACTTTTCTCAGGGAATAAATATCCTAGGTAACAATTACAGCCTAATGTTATTTAATAATGGTCCACTAGTTACGGATGGTCTCCCCTCTAATGTTGTCAGAGGGATTATGAATTATTTCTTTAAAGGTGAGCCCTGTGAATATTTCCACTGGTTTCCTTTAATAAGCAACAAGTAACACTCACAAACCTGCTGTGCTGCTGGTTCAGAGTGAAATGCTTTGCAAAGGTTTGTTTGCTTTGCAGAGCCACTGGATCTCCCCCCCAGGGCATTTCATCATGGCAACAATCCGTTAAATTAAAAAAAAAAACATCTATATCATTGGTTTTCAACCTATTTGGCTTGAGTCCCCTGAAAAGAAATTAAAGTAATGCGGCTATATACTTCCTTGCTGAAAGTTTGAATAGAAATCCCTAACTTCTGTCTGTATGGTAAATAATGGAGGCGGAACCAAAGACTGTTTGCTTAGCTTAGCATAAACTCTGGACAGCAGGAAACGCCTGGCTCTGTTCAGAGGTCAAACCAGGTCAAACAAGTCCACCTGCATGCACCTCTAAAACACATCAATCGATGTTACATCTCCTTTGTTTCATATTTTCCCAAAAGGTTTCACTATTACGTCTCCCCATTATAGCTCGAACCAGCATCCGGTTAGCTTAGCACGGATGGATTAAACCAACAACATATGCATTGGTTATTAGTGAGCTTTAGAGGTGCTGGCGGATTTAGTTCCCTTTGTGCACAGACTGGTTTCCAGTCTTTATGCTAAGCAAGTCGGCTTCTGACCGGCGCTTTGTATTTCGTATTTCCTCCCCCGCTTTTGTGTTTTATTACCTGACTTCCTGTGACGTGGGTCTGGCAGCTTCTTCACCATCTCCCTCGCTCCACACAGCTTATCAATTGGACCTCTTCAACTGAGATAAAACTGGTGTGGGAGAACGCTATCTCTGGAGAATGATCTCTGTGTGTTTAGCTACTGGACACCCTGTTGCATAATGTCAAATGACAAAGCTGATAAGCTCAATTTCCACCGCAAATTGAATCTGTCAAACGACTGGAAGCTAAAACAAACACATTGGAGACTTATTTTCCGGTCTCTGACAGATTGGATTGAATTGACTGACAGACATGATGTCAAAGATTTAATTTTAAGCATTGTGAGTACACCTTTTTTTTAATTGATAATTTAACAGAAGTTATGTGAATCGGTACTTACAAAAGTCCATGTTCGCTCGGGTTACAACCCACACTCCTTAATGGACTAACCGGCCTCCAGAAGCATATTGTGCACCAGGATCTACTCGCAGACTGCTTTTGAGATAAGTAGGAATGCAGTGACTCATCAGTCACACGGTGGTACATCCGCTGCCTCTCTCCTCCTTTCCCCTGCAAATGCTGACTGTGTAGATCTCCTCTGCAGCGTCCACCTCCTTACGTAACGCAGCGCAGTCGCACTCCTAATTCTCACCACTCCGCTTAGATGAAGTGAAGCTAAAAGACGGGAAGTGTAAGAACTTTGGAAATCCCTTGACCTTCATCTACCGCCGTCTGTCTCAAGGTCAAAATGTACAATTTCTTTAGCTTGTGACAAAGTAGCTGCTGACAAATGTCTTTCCCTTTCAGCCTCCAGCAAAGGCTAGGATGCTAATGTACTGAACTAAGAAGCCGAACGTGGTAAACATTGCTTGGATTTACATTATTTACATGATTCTACTGGTTTCTGAAACCCTGTTATTGGCACAATATTCAATATTTATGAGAATGCTGTTGAAGGGTCCCAACAGGCCTGCAGTAATTTAAACTTGGAGACGGACATTCTTTAAAGATGAAAGAATTGTAGATAAGACTATTGTTATTCGGTTGATTCCTCAATGGGTTCATTTGTCATCTGCGGTTTCATCACACGCAAACTTTTATTCTCATTTCATTGCAGCCTGCAAAATATCATTTTAAAAAATGCTCATTTAGTTCCTATGTCTTTGCATTGTCCTTGGAGGCCGACTGTGACCACCTTAGTCAATATTACGTCAAACTGTGGAGATGAATGTCAACGGGAGGTTTTTGTTCACGGGTGTTCAAACACGGCGTGTCCTCCAGGCGAGAACCACAGTCTTGTTTATTCTGCCCCGCTACAATGGGCAGACTGGTGAAGGTGGCCGGGCGGCCGATAGGGCTCTGATTAGGGCATCACGAGGCTCTGATAAGCCGAGTGGGCGAGGGACGTCTCCCGCCCGCACTTCTTAACCGAGGCCTCCCAGGGTCAGCGCTCCAGTGACACTCGCTGCCACCAAAACGCTCGCGTTGCCATGAGCGAGGTAAGTCCCCGAAACGCTCCAGTTTACGGCTCTTGGTCGTCCAGTCGGTCTTGAATTTTGAAAATTTTTTTTCTTCCTCCCCTCTGCTTGTTTTTGCACGCGGTTTCGGTTGTGGAAAAATCCCACGTACATCTCTCCCACCTGCAGGGTTTCATTGTGAAACCGTGATATGAATGAGGGCTGTGTGAAAATAAACTGCTGGATAGTGTAGCGGCACACATCTGGATCAGATGGGGTTCTCAACACTCATCTTATTAAATGTCGATGGTTTCTCTTCCATTTGTTGTGATAATGGCTGATTTGATCTATCAAGTTTCTCCAATTTGTAGTTTACAAAGCCGTGTTTTGTTTGGGCTTTTAGAAATCAGCTTCTTCCACATGTTGAGGCTCTAAAGGCAGTTTATCTCTGTTTGTTCCGCAGGTCGCTCAGGTGAACGTATGGTTTGTTCACTTCTTTTCTTTCTTGAACTTTTGTTGATCCGTCAGGTAAAATAGGCTACATGAAGAATTGAAACTTGGGTCAACATTGAATGTGTACCTAAGAGGCCGACCTGTCTTTCTTCGGTACTTGTGAGTCTCGGCCTGTCCACAGTTCAGCGCAGAGCTTTCTGCTTCTCTCGTGTGTGTGTGTGTGTGTGTGTGTGTGTGTGTGTCATGGGAATCAGTTCTTCACACTTTCTGTGCACATGCCTCGACCCGTCTGGAGCTGTATGTACGATCGATTCAGGAGGATCTCCAGTTCAAATGTTCTTCTTGGGTTTATGCGCTTAATAGAATTCAAAAGTGGAAGAAGCAAAGTAGCAGAGCTGCTTCACATCATTGATTGAACGCGTTTGATTTAATAATATAACCAGATTTTTTTTTTTGAGGCTTTGTTATAGTTTCTGGTGCAAAAAATATTTGCAGTCCTTTACTTGAGTAACTGTACCAATACGACCATGTAGAATCTCTGTAACGAGAAACTGTTCGGCATCCACGTTATTAAAGTTTCATCAGCAAAATATACTTAATGTCAAAAGTAAAAGTACTCATCTTCTACAACGGATTCTTATTGATAAGCATATTATAAATATTTTAAAGAAGGAAGTATTTCTCTTGTGAAATGTTGTGGATTATTGAGTAACCCTAAAATGGAAATACCAAAGAACTGTTTAGAGGTGTATATGTACTGGAGTCACTCTGCAGCGGTGATTTTGAACACCTCCCACAGCATGTAAGCGCGAGCTGCAGGTGTGCGGTGGGTCACCACGTGCTCTCTCCCTAATCTGCTATTGACACGTCGCGTGTCCTGAGCACCATTCACGATGGCTGAGCGCACCTGCGCAGTTGTCATGGCAACGTTTACGCCCAGGTGGCTCCAGCCCGATCCCGTTGATCCGCTCGCCGATCCTTATCACAACATCCCACCGGCGGAGCACCGCGCGGCGGGTCCCCGGCATCCTGCTGCAAGATAACAGATCCCTTATCACCCACGTGATCCCACTCGTAACCGATCGGGCGCGTTTACCGTGAGGTGCGGATGAGAGGAGGCGTCACGTGATGTCCCGCCTGCGTGGAGGAGTTAGAGAGACTGGACTCCCTCTAGTGTCGGTTTGGCTGAACTGCAGCGCGCCGCGTCCACTGCGTACATGTGCGTAAAATAAACGGTGCTGTTATTCTCCCAGAATGCAATGCAGGGAGGAAACGCCAAAAAGTACTGTTGTTACTGTTTGAAGCCCCGAAGAGACGTCTAGGATGCGGTCGAAACTGCTGCAGAAACACCACAAGGGACCAAATTAGTTTTTTTTCTGCTCTGTTTGGTTTAATAGGCCACAGCATTAGGTCACACTTTTAATGCCTTTGCATGAATGATTTCCTGCTCTGGAAGAATCTTTTGAGCACTTTGTATGAACATTGAAATTAATCTGAAATTCAGATTAATCCACATATTTTTTGTTTTTTTTTGTTTTATTGTATTTGTTCATTCGTTGTGTTGCAGCCAGAGGCCCCTACTGCCTCAACACAACACGGGGCTCCGCACCCTGAAGAGGACGATGAAGGGGACCTGAACAAAGCCTTGGGGGTCCAGCGCTTCCAGCAGATCCTCAGCCCTGCTGCAGCCGTACCTGATGAGCAGCACCACAACTACCACGAGGAGGACATTGAATGTAAGCACGCGTGTCCTCCTTGTGCAACTTTCAGCAAGCCAGAATGACTTTGAATTTTATATAAATGTGGCTTATTTCTTCTCCACAGACCACCGCCACTCCTCTCACCACATCCACCGACCTCTGTCCAAACTGCCCTACGAGGGACGCAGGAAGAAGAGCAGCAAGAAAAAGAGAAAGGACAAGGATCACGCCAGTGACAACCATGTTCCCAGTGGCGGTCCCATAGAGGAGGGAGAGGATGAAGAGGAAGAGGAGGATGAGGCAACAGAGACGACGCCAGTTCCATCAGAGTCTGAGAGAGTGAAAGATGTGGAGGTAATTGTTCAACTTTGTATTCATCTTTAACTTAATTTATGACAGGAACTAACGTCTCCATTGACACGTTTTCTGTTTTTGTTCAAATTGTGACTTTTGACACTGTATTTGGAGTAAAAATATTCTAATAAATATTTTCGGGCAGTATTCCTTTTAGGTTTTATATTGTGTTTATTTAGAAACTATGCAAGTAAGTATTCTCAACTCTGATGAATCTGCTGAGTATCTTGTGTTTTTTTCCAATAAAACATAATAAAATAGGAAAAAATTGTTTATATTGGTTTAAATCGTTTGAGTCCTACATTTTTCATTCATTCAACCAAAACCCCCAAAATATCTAATTTAATGTACGGTATCCAATTTTCTGTGTTATGTGCTGCACTCCTATTAATTCAACGGCATAATTACCCTTGTTTGATATGTTGGCCCTCTTGTTTTATGGACCACTTTCTGTGAGTGAGTGAGCGTTCAGGCACGCGTTGCTGCCCTGATGCGCAGCCGCCTGGATCACTGTTGTTGCATTAACTCTTTTTCATCTATGAATATTTCAGTATAGTCATTAATCAGTGGGTTTCATGTTTGTTTATCATCCTTCACAAAATGACATTCAACAATTGAGCTGCCTCCTTTCTAACAGAAGATTGAGGGGAGCTGTTGTCTCGGTGTTTAGTCACTTTGTGCTCAAAACTCATCAAAGCTGGTTACACATTTGCCCCCCTAGTTTACTTGGATTCCTTTTTATAAAACCGTGCCTGATTTCAAGATCAAATCCTTTTAATTCATTAAAACTCTTCAATTCTCTCCCTTGGGCTAATGTGCGCGTGGCGGTTTGGTGTTCTCATGCTCTGTGTCCCCCTCCTCAGTTCTTTGTTTCAGATGAAGACCAGGTGGCCGTACGGGGCAGAGAGAGCCCGCGTTTGTCCCGTAAGCTTCACGTCGTGCCACAGACTGCGGGGCGAGCGCATCCTGAAGACTCATCTTCCTCTGAGTGAGTGAACGCGAGTTTGCGGATTAAAAAGAAAAAATGGGGGGGGGGGGGTAAAGCGTGCTTTACCTGCTGGGATGATCGCGTGTTTTACTCATCTCGCTGAAACGTTCTCACAGATGCTCTCAATGGGGTAAACGTCTCGGGCGTGTTTTTGATTGGTCGGGGGAGCACACACTGTACGTTACCACGTCTCAGGCATCCAGTGGGCCTGCTGGGCATGATGTGGTGGACCGGAGTAACCCTCTCTCTGGAGACCCATATATCACCTGTCGCTATAGACGACGCAGCACACCTCAGCAGCCCGAGGCTCCATCCCTGACATTTACTGGGCCACCACATGAGGGTTTCATCTCTGCTGGGATAAAACTGCGTACATGCACCGTCTGCCTGTTTTAGACCATCGCAGTGCAACAGAATAACAGCTGATCTGTTTTTGTTAAAACATCCTGCAACAAGCGGCAAACAATTAAGGAAAAGGGTTGCTTTTGAAATGCTGTGGGCATCCGACGTTTGAAGGACGGTGAGTTCGGCGAGCATTCTTTTGCCACCTTTCTTTGCAGCTAATTTCATTTAGTACTTTAGCACAGTTTTTCGCTGAGAGATGCAAGCCAGTTTTTCAAAGAGCAGCGTTACTGGGGTTTAATAAATCAATAAAAACATGGTGATTTAAAGTGTGGAGGTATATAATGCCGGCCTAACAACCCAAATCACCAAGTATCTGAGGAAAAAAGGAGAGAGGTGGAGGAAAAATCTTTACAGATCAACAAGAGGAAGTTTGCGTTCATTTTTATTTTTATTTTTATTTTATTTTTTTTACCGTTTCTTCTTTGTCTTTGGTAAAGAAAATAACCAACGCAACCACAAACGGCTTTGTTGTTTCTCTGCTTATATCTAGTAACCCGCCCTCATCCGACGCCGCCAGCCCCCCGCCCCATTCAGGGCCACCTGAACTCATACCACTGGCCCGGGTTTCCTCCACCAGCCGCGGCTACGACCTGCAAGAGCGCAGACGCACCGGCAACATGACGGGAGCCGAGCAGGCCAAGTACCAGCGCGTCCCCACCGACGAGAGCGAGGCTCAGACGCTGGCCTCCGCCGACCTGGACGGCATCAAGAGTGAGTGCCGGAAACATTTCAAGTGGGATTTTATAAATCCAGCTAAAAATTTACGTTGTTGATCGTCAGAGTTTCTCCCGCGTGTGCGACTGTTTGTGTTTCGATGCGGTCGGTGGTGTTTTCGGGTCGTCTATCCCGCAGCAAGGCTTGGATTCGTTGATGCTCAGATTCCTCCAGAAGCCTCGGGGGGCCCCGGGCCCCAGCGTGGGCTCGTGTTTAGGTCCGGGGAGATTTACTGAAGGGAGCCGACCCATGAGCAGAGAGCAGCAGTTCATCAGAGCGTGTGGCGACAGGCCCACGTTATTGAATTAGCCGTTCCCGCTGTCAGCTGAGGCCCTTGGCCTTTTGCCCAAGCCAACATTGGTGGCTAATTGTGAAACCTGCCTCTTATCTTCATTCATTAGTGGAATGAAACGAGGGGGAGTTAAGTGAGCTCGAAGGCAAAATGAAGAAGCTGTGTATGGAGGTAAGGGCTTATGGATCAGCTCCGTCACCACGTACCCTCTGTGTCTTCTTTTATCTCAGTACGCCACTTTCCCAGGATGATTTACGCCACCGTAAATCATCCTGGGAAAGTGTCTCCGTCTCTGGCTGCTGCTCAACAATAGGAATTATTAGATCACTCTTTATTGGAATTATTAGATCACGTCCCCTTTTGTGCGACCTGAGCAAATTATCACCTGGCTCACTGATTCATTGTGATAGCTTCAGCGGGGTCAGGCGCCGGTCACAAAACAGCAACCTTTTTCTTTTTTTCTTCTTTGTTAAAAAAAACGGTAGAAGTTGTGTGCTAGAGTCCGAAGGCGTCACGTAGTCAGACCAACCCTCGTCCTCTTTCAAAGCCTCATTCTCATCAGCCCTATTTTACTGCAGGCTCCGCCCCCAAACGACCTGACAAAAGACCATTTCAGTTAAAGTGGAAGCTGAAAATCTCGGTTTTGAGATATTTCTTCTGAACCTGCAATGACTTGAAACCTTAATGAAGACCCATAAAAGCATCACTGTTTGTTTCATAGGACTTACAAACTCTGATAAAGGTAAGATGATAGTTAGTCATGGAGGGAATTTAACATATTGCTGAACCTGTATTTTTAAAAGATTTTTTTATTTTATTTTTTTTCAATATAATGATTGAGTGATTTTGAGAAGAGACATTCCGTTCACTATGGTGGCTTTGACTTCCCTTGTTTTAATTTTTTGACCTTTTGAACTCTGAAGACTGATGCGACGCATTGCGTCCGTGGCATCCGGTGTTTCTCCCCACATCCTTTTTGAGTAACTACTCCCTGCAAGGGGACCACAGAGACTGAAGCAATGTGTCCCGGCTGAGATTTGAACTTTGGGTTTAAGGTCAACGTGTGCACGTCGGGGGCTGCAGAAGCACAAAATACAGCTGTAACGATTGTATTTGGATGTCCGATTCGTTGAGTTGCATGCGGTCTGCTTCTGGTTAAAGTTGGTATCTGTATTGTGATCTTCAGCGCATCTCACACTTCCTCTTGCCATCTCGCTCTCTTCCAGGTCATCGTTTTGAAGATGTTCCCGGCGTGCGCAGGCACCTCGTCAGAAAGAGCACCAAGGGGCAGGTGGTGCACACGGGAAAGGACCACAAAGAGCCGAGCACTCGAATCCGCAAGCAGGACCGGACTCCGCATGAGGTGAGGCGCAAAGCCTTTTCTTTTTCTTTTTTGTTGCGCAGCCGAGCTAGATGCTTTCGGACCATGTGTAGTTTCATTACCATGAATTCCTTTTTAGTTTGTTAACTTTTGAGACACCAGCAGTCTACCTTTATGATCACAGAAATCAAAACTTTTTAATATTTTTGTAGCTCAACTGTTTTTGCAATAAATTGATTGGGATCAACTGTTTGACTAAAAAAGTTCTTCAAAATACAAATACAATACATTGTATTCATTTGGTTTGAAAAATGAATGAACACCTTTTTCCATTCATAAATTATTTATATCACTTTTTTTTTTTTTTACTTTTCTATGCGTTAAATTCTAATATTTTGCATTTCAGACTACGATTTTTCTTTTCTTTTTTTAAATTTAGCAGTGTATTATTCTGTATCCTGGGAACTGTTTTCTGATCTGATTCAGCACTGTCTCCTTTGTGGATGGGACAGGGAGGGGAGGAGACAATTAAAAATGTATGAATGAATGAATGAATAAGATCTTTCCTTTCACACGGAGAAGAAAAAGCGGGCAGAGACGAGCTTTGGTAACCAGACACTGAATAGCAGAGGGGGAGAGGCCTATGTTTTATTAACGTTTGTGTACACAGCTCCGCCCGCGTAATCCACAGGTCGCGGTCAGGTGTGTGTGTGTGTGTGTGATATGAGGAATAATGTGTGTAAAAGTCCGGGTCCCGTCCTTTTTGTGCCGCTGTATCGGTGTCCTCTCCTGCGCTCCTCCAGTCGGTACCGGTGGTTCTGTACCGCTCTGCCTCGCGTCTCGAGGCCGTCCCGCTGGACGTGGACTCCCCGATGGCTCGGTACCAGAAGGTGAGGGCGGGGTGACCGTCCAGAGGCAGGTTGTATCCGTGTGAGCGTGATGCAGCGTGTTAAGGGAGAGTTTTCAAAGAGGATTGAGACTGACGAGCATGGTGATCACTTAATAACTCCTTAACAGAGATTTGAAGCTGGGACGGTTCAAACATCTGGGCCGATAATGTGGACTATATCTTTTGTGTTTGGGTGTGGAGTGAATTTAAATAAATCACCTTATAATCCGGTCAGCATGGAGTCTGTGTTCTAATGCTGACGTGCAAAATGCTCCACTGAATCAACTGGCTGAATACAAAGTGCTTCGGCTATTGTTTTGAATATTTGGCACACGCTGGGCGGGTGGACAGTACGGACATTTCTGTGTCTCACCTGCTCGGGTTCCTGTGTGCTGCCGTCTCCAGGTGTTTGTGGAGCTGAATGAGCTGACCATAGACAAGAACCAGGAGATGCAGTGGAAGGAGACCGCTCGATGGATCAAGTTTGAGGAAGACGTGGAGGAGGAGACCGACCGCTGGGGGAAACCTCACGTGGCCTCGCTGTCATTCCGCAGTTTGCTGGAGCTCCGAAAGACCATTTCACACGGTAGGAATCGAAGCGCATTAAATTCTTTTTAAGCGTCGAAGTCGGCGACGCAGTTCGCAGAGCTCAGTACGTGTGCGCCACAGGTGCGGTGCTGCTGGATCTGGACCAGACGACCCTGCCCAACATCGCCAACCAGGTGGTGGAACAGATGATCATATCCGACCAGATCAAAGCCGAGGACCGATCCAACGTCCTGAGGGCCCTGCTGCTGAAACACAGGTGACCTGCAGCCCCGGACTCCAACAAACAAGCCATTTTGTTCGGGGCATTACGTGACCGAATAATTCCCAGTAACAGTAAAATACTTTTCTGTCACCGTTGCTACTTGCGGTCTTCACGCCTTGTCGCTGTCTCCCTCTTCCCGCCTCCCACAGTCACCCGAGTGACGAGAAGGAGCACAGTAGCCCGTTCCCCAGGAACATCTCCGCGGCCAGCCTGGGCAGCCTGATCACGCACCACCACAGTGCCAATCACGGCCATCACCCGGAGCCGTCAGTGACCGACCCGCTGATGGGCGGCGTCCACGCCACGGGGGACACGGAGATGCGCGTCGATATTGAGAAGAACGAGGCACAGGTGGGTCTGGTGCTGATTTTCCCACCCACAGAAAAGACCCGGGAACGAGTGTGTTTTGTCATCCTGACTTGGATTTGTCCACAGAAGGAGATGGTGTCCGGAATGCATCGCTCCAAATCCAAACACGAGCTGAAGCTGCTGGAGAAGATCCCTGAAAATGCCGAGGCCACTGTTGTCCTTGTGGGTGAGTCTTGAAAACCACACACACACGTACCTGAAACAGATCAGCATTTTTTTACTTTACTTTGACGTACTGGCGTTTCTTTTTTTTTAACTGTTACGTCCCGTCCATCTTCCAGGAAGCGTGGACTTCCTGGAGCAGACCACCATGGCGTTTGTGCGTCTGTTGGAGGCCGTGGAGCTCGAGTCTGTCCTGGAGGTCCCCGTACCGGTCAGGTTTCTCTTCGTTCTGCTGGGGCCCCCCAGCACCAACATGGACTATCACCAGATAGGGCGCTCCATCTCCACACTCATGTCTGACAAGGTGAGCGAGCCGTAGATATCAAGGGATGGTCATCATGTATATAAAAACACAAGTCGAATAAATTCAAGGAAACAAAACAAAAATCCTTCTCTTCATGCCCTTCTGTCTTATGTCTAATTGAATTACCAGAGTGATATAAAATGGATTCTTGTCACATAAACTAACTAAATCTAAAAGAGATGGAGAACAATAGTCTCAAGTTCTCTCTGTATTTCCACTCAGCAATTCCACGAGGCGGCTTACATGGCAGACGACAGGCATGACCTGCTGAGCGCCATCAACAGCTTCCTGGACTGCAGCATCGTGCTGCCGCCCTCGGAGATGGGAGGCGATGAGCTGCTGCGCTCCGTCGCACGCTTCCAGAGGGAGATGCTGGCCAAGAGGCAGGAGCAGGGGGTCAAGCTGGTCAAGGAGCCTAAAAGCATGGAAGAAAAAGGTAACTCGTCGAATAACCTAATAAAGCCGTACCGCCGGAAACGTCGCCTCCTGTTTCACGTGATTTTATCTATCGCCGTTGACGACCCGCTCCTCCCGGTCACACAGAGGCCCTCCTCACGCCCATGAAGAAGTCGGACGACCCTCTAAAGCGCACCGGGCGCCCCTTCGGAGGGCTCGTGCGAGACGTGCGCCGCCGTTACCCAAAGTACCTCAGTGACTTCAAGGACGCCCTGGACAGCCAGTGCATGGCTGCCGTCATCTTCATCTACTTCGCTGCGCTCTCTCCGGCCATAACATTCGGCGGCCTGCTGGGTGAGCGGCTCGAGTTACTAGAGATTCGCAGTTCATCGACTCATGTGTCCGAACCCCTTTTCAACGTCTCTCGTCTCGATCGTTCACTCGATTAAACCTGGCTGGTGTTTGTTGACCAGGTGAGAAGACCGACGGGCTGATCGGTGTCTCTGAGCTGATCGTGTCGACGGCGGTGCAGGGTGTGATCTTCTGCTTGCTCGGAGCGCAGCCGCTGCTCATTGTGGGATTCTCTGGACCCCTGCTGGTCTTTGAAGAAGCCTTCTTCAGCGTAAGTTGATACGACGACGATGACGTCTAACGATGAGGGTTCTAGTCAATAACAAATGGCCGACATTGTAAAATCCAGTTTATAATTACTCCCGAGGTTCATTTAAAAAATGTAGTATTTACTGTACGACTCATGTCTCACTGTGTTTTCCAGCTGACGACTTTCTTCCTTGTTACAGTTCTGCAAAGCCAACGACATGGAGTACCTGACCGGCCGCGTCTGGATCGGGTTTTGGCTCATTGTCATCGTGATCGTCATGGTGGCCTTCGAGGGGAGCTTCATGGTCCGCTTCGTCTCCCGCTTCACGCAGGAGATCTTCTCCTTCCTCATCTCCCTCATCTTCATCTGCGAGACCTTCATCAAGCTCGCCAGGGTACGTCATGGACACTAAACCAAACGGACTAATCTTTGGACAGAATTCAAATGTTTTTATAACAAGTGCATTTGGAATCTTTTGTGATTGATTGTCCTTGAAAGTTAAACGGATTAAAAGTTGAACTATTATCCAGGCTTGAGACTTTGGAAGTTGTTCCTTTTTGTTGTTTTAAGGCACAGACTTAGGCCGTCTTGGCTCTGTATGCGTGTGGTTGTGGTTCCTAAAAGAGTCATAGATGATGATCCTCATATCTGCGACGGGTTATATTTTGGAATTAATTTGAACCCTCCGTGTCGTCTGCCAGATTTTCAACGAGCACCCGCTGAGAAGTTGCTCCCTCGGCAACGGCACAGACGCCTCGCCGGCAAATGTCACGCTCGCTCTGGGCAACAGCACCGTGCCGGCGGCGGTCCTGAACCAGCCCAACACCGCGCTGCTCTCCCTGGTCCTCATGGCCGGAACCTTCTTCATCGCCTTCTACCTGCGCAAGTTCAAGAACAGCGCCTTCTTCCCTGGAAGGGTGAGGAGCATTAACCCTGATCCATCCTCCATCTCGCTCCAATCCCCCTATTTGATGCCGAATGTGAAGCTGATTGTTTTGCTCAATCTATCTCTTCTTACGCGTTAAGTTGCGCAGGGTCATCGGAGATTTCGGCGTCCCGATTGCCATCCTCATCATGGTCCTGGTGGACTACAGCATAAGCGACACTTACACACAGGTGACACTCGAATGCGACTGCTCTGCTTTATGAATGTTTGACCTTTTCCGCTGCTTAAGATTCACCGTCGTCTCCGTTCGTGTTCAGAAACTGAGCGTTCCTCACGGTTTCTCTGTGACGAGTCCCTCGAAGCGCGGCTGGATCATCAGTCCTCTGGGCACCGACGGACAGTTCCCCGTGTGGATGATGTTTGCCTGCTGTTTGCCCGCTCTGCTGGTTTTCATCCTCATCTTCATGGAGACCCAGATCACCACGTGAGTCGCAAGTCGCGTTGAAAGCGGCTTATGGTGGGAATCACTTGAATATGACTGCTTAGAATATCAACATCATTTTGATGGATAGAATTTTAAAATGGTAGATTGCCATGCATATGCCATTAACCCTATTTATTTAACCGTTAACCTACACAGGCTCATAGTGAGCAAGAAGGAGCGGATGCTGGTGAAGGGCTCCGGGTTCCATCTGGACCTGCTGCTGATCGTGGCGCTGGGCGGCTGCTCGGCTCTGTTCGGCCTGCCGTGGATGGCCGCCGCGACCGTCCGCTCGGTGACCCACGTCAACGCCCTCACAGTCATGAGCAAGGCTGTCGCCCCTGGAGACAAGCCCCGCATCCAGGAGGTGAAGGAGCAGAGGGTCACCGGGCTCCTGGTGGCCGTCATGGTTGGTGAGTGTCGGACGATGTTGACTTGTTCTAGATAATATCAGTTTGAAAAGAAGGAACATGCAGCATTTTATTTACCGCCCCCCCCCCAACAGGTATGTCCATTGTGATCGGTGACCTGCTGCGTCAGATCCCCCTGGCGGTGCTGTTTGGCATCTTCCTCTACATGGGTGTGATGTCCCTCAACGGTATCCAGCTAACCGAGCGCATGATGCTGCTGCTCATGCCTCCAAAGTACCACCCAGACCACACCTACGTACGCAAGGTGAGCAGACTCCTGTTTGACATTTTGTTCACCACTTGACAAATAATCTCAGCTCTTAACTGTTACAACTGAGAAATATAAGAATCTCTGAACCGTTGTTGTCGATTGCTGGTGAGTTTTCATGAACGATCCGTTTGCTGCAGGTCCGCACGCTGCGCATGCATCTGTTCACCTGCATCCAGGTGGTGTGTTTGGCGTCTCTGTGGGCCGTCATGTCCACGCAGGCCTCGCTCGCTTTCCCCTTCGTCCTCATCCTCACCATCCCCGTCAAGATGTTCCTGCTGAGCCGCATCTTCACCAGCAGGGAGATAGCATGCGTAAGTCAGCCACTGGGGGGCGCCACCGCCGCCGTGCACACACACACCACCAGCTTGTTCACCACAAACTCCCCCCTGTGATGGTCTGATTGGCCCTGACAGTGAGAATAGTTTCAGGATAATAATCTATATTTGAATTTGCTGAAACTTTGGAGAGATTAAGTGGAATTGATTTTCCTTCATAACAAAGAGCGTAGGAAATTTCTTCAGTGGACTAAACCATATGAAAATGAATAAGTAAATCAAGAAACAAAATATATTACCTCAGTTTTCTGTAAGATGTGAAATTGGCAGTGAGATAAAGAATCCTGACGCGTCTTCTCCCTCCTGCAGCTGGACGCAGACGACGCAGAGCCCAAGTTTGACGAGCGCGAGTGTCACGACGAGTACTCGGAGATGCAAATGCCCGTGTAACCCGTGGCGACCCCTCACATCACCACCAAAAAAGAGGTTTCAACTCCTCCTCAGCACCACCGAGACACCAGGGGGTAACCTGGCGGCCGTCTGGTTAGTTGTTCGGTCGACTTGTTAACTTTTTTTTTTTTAAATCTGGGGGCCTTTTGTGCCGGTTTATCAGCGGAATTAAAACGGTCGACACATGAAATGCTTTTAAGGAAATCTATATATATATTTCAGTGGACAAGAGATTCCAAATCACTTAATGCGATCTCGAGCTCGAAAATTGAATGTGATTCCATTCGATAGATTTGCAGTTGAGTTATTAATTTTTAGCCCTGAAAAGTTGCTCTGATTCACATTGAAGTGGAGGAAATATGGGAGTTAGCGTTCGTCTTTTATATTAACACACAAGTTTGGTTTTTGTCCATGTTTTAAGCTCACCAAGCGCCTTTTATGAAGTAACGTAAAAAGTTATACTGAGGCGTTTTATTCCTCCTCATCGCTTTACCCTCCCCGCGCTCGTGGCACTTTTTAAGACCCCAAATCTGAACAATGGCTGTATTTTTTTTATGTGACAATTGTAACATCTTCGCATCCTCTTTCATTCCTTATATATCAATGTTGCTTTTGTTTGTTTCTCATACGACCATCTGTGACCATCTTCTTTTTTTTTTCTTATTTGGGAGATTTAATAATATGAAAACATAGTTCTGATCATAACACGAGATTAATACAGCGGCATAATATATATATACATGTATTACTCTACATGTCTCCATGCACATGTTTAGGGAACTAATGTATCGGTTTGTTTGTTTCACTCGGTGTGTCAACGGGAATCGTAATTTATTGGTTTCTTTGTCCAAGTGCCAAATGTTGTGTAAATAGTTTTGTGATCAGAACAATAAGCTGCAGCTCAGCCATCTCCCATCCACTACTGTAACGACAATTCTCTTTAAGGAGAATTAACACCATTCCTTGTTTTATCATAACTTTGCTATATTTCTTTTGGCATCCACTAATTTAAACATTTCATTCGCACTTGTAAACTCGGTCGACCAAATTTACACACAAGCTGTATAGACAATCTCAATACTGAAGCGTGACTGGGAAGGAAGGCTTTTAGAGATATACATGTTTATTCATTTTGGTTTTGTTTTATGTCACGTTGTATCAGTGTGACATGGATTGGTTAAAGCTTTGACTGTGTCAAATGACTGAAATGTTCCGTCCTCTGTTACTCTCGAGTGTGTATTTCACTTCTTTCCCTTCTGAACTGTCCCGTCTCAGCCTGTTTGGAGAGGCGCACAAAGTCTCAAGTGCCTCTGGGACCAGGAAGTGTTTGTTGAACCACACGCGTTACAATAGTTTGCACTTTCCAAGACGCTCAAAAATCAAACATCTCTCCATTATTTATCCTTTGCAATATGAGGCATTATTGCTGCCTCTGTAGGTTATGTCTTGTTTTTGATGTACACATTTGGCTGCGTCCTATCCGGGGACGTTGGAGTGAAGTGTGTGTTTTGTGTTTGCTTAGTGTGCCTGTGGATGGAGTGAAGTCGGTCCGTGTGTGTCGAAAGTATCTGTCAAAGCTGCGAAATGCTCAAACAATATTTTGTCCTATTTCAAACGCAATAGACGGTCTGAAAGGCTGCTGAAGTTCCATTGTACATTAAAGGTTGAAATATTGATGACAAATAAAAGGTATTTTATATTTGTTCTGTCTGTTATGGGGTTTTTTTGTGGATCAAAGCAAATGCATGTAAGTAGAGAAAGTGTCTCTGCCGATGTTCTAACCGGTAGAAAACACAGTAGACGTGACGCAAATACGGGAAACAAGCAATACATACGATGCAAATACAACCCAGAAACTTTATTAGTTTTTCAAATGATAAACTACAAAAAAAAGGTTTTCCTGGACCACTTGTCATATTCCAGACGTATGACCTGTTTGCAGATGTCCTCCCAAAACCCTCAAATGGTTTAATGTGACGTTGGTGAAAGGTTGATTAATCCCAAACATCTCCAAAGCCTTCTGTTCCATCTGACTGCATGGCTTTCTGTAGACTGTAAACAACAAAAAACACTTCTCTCCTCGATTTTCTAGCGTGAAAGAAAATGAGCCTCTGGGCCACTGTACTAAACCCCCGCTGCTGTGAATCAACATATCACGAGTCCAGACAGGCCTCGTCCCGCGGAGAGGAGGTGCCGGGTGGGCGTTCAGGAAAACAACACCGTGTGGGTGGGCCGTTGCGTAATCCCCTCGCTCCCTTTGTTGCACACGCGGGGAGAAAGATGGCTGCGTTGTTGATGCTCCTCTTCGGCCTCGGGGCTTTGTTCGTTTCCTCCGACGCGCAGGGGGCTTACGATAAACTCCCCGAAACCTACAGGAAAGGAGTGGACCTGGCCCTGGAGAAGCTCCACTCCCACGCGGGGATCCAGCACCATTTCCGCTTCTTCAGAAGTATCGACAAGTCCGACATCGAGGTACTGTGCGTCCGTCGTTGTCTTCACCGTGGATTCTCCTCCCTGGATGTCGTTAATTGCTCAAGTTTCATGTCCCCTTTGTCCCCAGGCTGGTTTTGATGTGACTTACATCTACCACCACTTCTACCTCAAAGCCACAAAGTGTCCGAGAGGAACGGTCGACGCCACGTCCTGTCGGTTCAGAAACGATAGAGTACGTTTTGTTTTATTCTCATTTGCCGAAACCTTTTTTTGTAATTTGTTTGCCAAGGCCTCGTCTGACTCGTCTATGCTGATGTGTGTGTGTGTGTGTGTGCAGCCGGTGATCGACTGCGCCGTCTGTTACAAAACGTTCGGTGGAGGAATCGAACAGGAGCCCAAACCGTATGTTCACTGTGTGCACAAACCTGCCCTTACAGAGGTCAGTGTGCTCACCCGAAGGTCACACTCGCGGTTCTCTATGACTAAAGCTCGCCCATAAAACAGAAAAATGAGATTGTGTCTGATGGTCCCTGTTTGTTGTGAATGGCAGGAGATGACGGCGGACCGAGTGAATCACTGCAACGCGATGGGCTACAGCAGCGGAGCCCCCACTCTTCTGGCTTCAGCAAGAGCCGAGTGAACACGTCGTCGACTGGGACACGGTCTCTTTGCGCCTTTTCTGTTGGTTTGATGTAATTTATAAGCCTCATAAGTTTTATTTCTGTAGTTTATACTTGTTTTTGTTGCATTTGAGTGACATTTTTATTTCTACAATTGTATTGTTTACTCCAGTGCAAATTTGTTTGTTTCGATTCATTTTGTCAATAAAGTTTCACTTGCGAAAAGGTTTTTTTCCAATGCGTACTCTACTATTCCGAGTGAGCGTGCCTGAACTCATTTGATTACGGTTCGCATTTCAAAAGAGAAGGTGGATTTTCTTTTTTTTTATCCTGTACAAAACTAACACCTGCAATAAATTTGTATGTCACAATGTCAGTTGTCATAAGATTCTTTTCTTTTTAGTGTAACAGAAATTCTCTTTAACAGTGTTTGGTAAACTCAACAAAAACCTCCTTAGTTTCCAACTGGTGCCCTCTCGACAGGCTGCAACAGTTGGGAAAACCAAACAAAGCCTCATATGATGGTGTGTGTGCGTGTGCGTGTGTGTGTGTGTGTGTGTGTGTGTGTGTGTGTGTGTGTGCGCCTCATTAACGTCCCTGTCAAGTCACAGTTTTCAAATAAATGACCTACTTCTCCCTCCATTCAACAACAAAGGAGCTGGTGGAGCAGAGCCTGAGGAGGTCGTCCACCCACTGACCTTTGAGGCCAAAGGCTCTTTTTTTTTTTTTTTAATGGCTCGCTGGGCTTGTTTCCAAGATTGGGGATTATCAAAGTCTTTCATTGTAATCGAAATAAAAGGGATATAATTCTACTTTCGCTTCTGCTGAGCTGCTCCTCATTCTGTGGAAACTCCCCACTGAGTGTTTTGTTACGACCAGATGTTCCCCTGGTGTCTTACGGGAAGTTTCAGATAACAAAGAGAGGGAGCGAGGGCCTGTTGACGTTGCTGGTGTTTGGCTCCACGGCCATAATAGGACTTGTTGTTGCATGTGAATATCGATCCCGCAGGGAGGGAGAGAGGGAGAGTCCACCCTCCGAGCCCGAAGAGCCCCGGCTCACACGCACACGCTCGACGATGAAGATGGCCGCCGGGTCGCTGTTGCTGGTTTGTGCCGTGGTCCTGTGCTCGGTCCGGGCCCAGGACGCTTACGACCAGCTGCCCGACGACTACAAGAAGGGGGTGGATCTGGCGCTGGAGCTTCTCGAAACGCACGCCGGCGTGAACCACCGCTATCGCTTCCTGAGGAGCCTGGAGAAGTCGGACACCGAGGTAGACCTGGAGTTTTGTGTCACTTCTTTTGGCCTCACAGGGTTGAGACGGGCCAGCTGTGCTTGCTCTGTCTCTGTGGGGACGTTTACAGGCGCGGCGTCCGTAGCAAATGTTCCCCTGAGGGGCCTCAGGAGGGAATGTAAATTCCTGCCTGCTTTACTTCATGAATGCCGTTGGTGTTTTGCCAACCCGCCTCTTCCCGCGGGGAGTTCTAGTAAATTCTGGCATGTGCTTTTAACTACTGATTCTCAAATTTCAACATGTTTTCAGGACGTTTTCCAGGAGGTGGGGCGTGTCTTTGTGTAATGTAAAGGTCATCGACCTTATACTGATCTGTGTGAACGGCAGAAGTTTTTCTCCTTTTGAATGTTCCTGGTAAAATGGGAAAAGCCACCTCCTGGAAAACTAGACAGGTGGAAAAAAAATGTTTTTTCTCATGTTGCAGAAGAACACATTACCATTCGAGACAAATATGACCTGATTTCCAAAGCAGATAGTATCGCTCTCTAGATTTGAGACCAGGCATCCGCCAGCTGCACTGTAAAGTTCCTCCAATCCCTCCTCTCTCATATTGGACTGAAGTCGAGCGCTAAGAAGTCGTTAGTTTCATGCTTTTATTATTACACTCAACATTTGACTGACTGGTGCACACGTTGCCTGTAAACAGGAAAGCATTACTTTTGCACATACAAGGAATTTGACTTAGTGATTGGTGCATTAGCGAAAGCACTCCAATGGTATAAGACGAGATCTGAAATATTTAAAATAATGTCTGTGTTAAAGTATCTTGGTGGTCGACAGACTTTTTGAAACTGAACCTAAAAAGGCAAATGTTCGCTTTCAAGAGACAAAGTCCTCGAGGGTTTGAGTAGAAAAAACAGGACTTTACTTTGCTGTTTCAATGACATTTAGCAAACAAACAAACCGGTCCAGGATTGTGATCAACTATATTTCATGTTTTCTCAGAGAGACTCAACTCTTTATTTGTTTTCGATCCCACTACAGGCAGAAGGATTCCTGATAGTTATTTTCTAACAATAATTAATAAACTCACACTAAAATGACCTTTTTCTCTGCTGCAGTCTGGATTCGGAGTGAAATACCTCTACCACCACTTTTTCCTGAAACCCACCACGTGTGCCAGGGGCACGCCGGCGTCCAGCCCTCAGACGTGCCCCTTCAGGAACGACAGAGTGAGTTCTATTCATTTTAAATCAGTGTACAGCATCCGGATTCCTCTTTTTTTTTTTAATACTTTTGAATGACTCCACAGCCGATGATTGACTGTGCGGTTTGCTACAAAACGTCCGCGGACCAGATTGAATCGAGGCCCAAGCCGTATGTCCACTGCATCCAGAGGCCGAGACTCTCACCGGTTTGATTCCTCCTCTTTTAATCTCCCCTCAAAGTTTCTCTGCAAAACACTGGAGCTTTGTTTTTTTTGTAGTGTATCCACCTGAAAGGCCCCTATTGTTCATACGTGATTATGTAATCTTTCATATGTTTCACGTTACTTGCAGCTGTCTTGTGTTAAGTAAAAAAAAAAAAAGGAAAAGGAAAACACATGAGATCTCTCACTTAGAATTTAAATAGCAGTTTTGGTGAGGTCATTGAAGCTCCCCCCATCCCCCCCGCCTCCCCTTGCATTGAAGCTCAGTGGTCTGCAGCTTGCTCTGTGTGGCCCTGAAATGAATTGTCGTCTTTGTGTTGCTTCAGGAAATGAGGACAACCAGGACGCAGCACTGCAAGAAAATGAGCTACAACAGCGGAGCTCCAACGCTGCTGGCTCAGACTGGGAAACATTAAATATCACCTATTACGAAGCAGCCAAAGAATCTGCACCTAGCATGTTGCATGCTTCTTTCACCATAGTGACGTAAAGTTGAAATGCAGATTTCTCGTCAACGCTTCACAAATAATATGAAAATACAAACGCAGCAGATTTTCACCTGCAAAATGTCTGTTCACGTCGTCTTAAAATAACGCTTGTGATTCACTCTCGCTTTGAGCTCCTCTATGCTGTGACAAATGAGTTAACCTTTGCTTGGTGTGGAATAAAAAAAACAATCATCTTGTGTGTAGACTTGTGGGAGATCCAGATTCTTTGTACGTTGAATTCCTCCTCAGACATCCTCCCAACCCGGAGTCAAGCTCGCTCTTTGGCCGCACTGGAGGGCGAGTCTGTATTTTATCCTTGTTTCTGGAAACATTGCTGCCATGCATAGTCTGCTGTGTGCATCCTAGACACGAAGGTGGATGCAACATGGCGTATATGTGCTTTACCTAATGCACAAAGCTCTGCAAGTAGAAGGGCTGTTTACTTGATTTATATATAGTGAAAAGCTTGGCCACACTGCCTGACGGAACATGTAATTATGAAATGTCAAGCGTGTACATGCTTGACATTCCTCTGTCAAAGGGAATCTCAGGGGGATGAAGTTCTCATGGTGCTTTGCTGTGTGTTTTCAGCTAATTATAGTGTTTATCACTGATAAGTACCTGCAGACATCTCTTACACCTGCTCAGTTGTTTTGTCAATCCGGGCTTATTAGCTTATCACCACACACTCATTGGCCACAGGAGCGACGAACTCAGAGGCCACGCAGAATCCTGCAAACACCAGCGTTACCTGTGCCGCCCTCACCTGACCAGGCAAAGTGAAGACATTTAAAACGTAGTTTTCCACAATGCATGAATGAGTTCCTCCCTTCTCTGTGTAGCGACAGTCCGGCTCTCTGTGTCTCGGCTCAACACAATTGAAACATGCAAACTGAGATGAGATACAAGTCGTGTCACAGTCCGAAATTAGATGTAAAACACAGTGAAGCAGCATGAAAATAAACTGAATGTTGATGGTGGCTCCCGTCACGGCAAGAGTTCAGCACAAGTAGCAATAATATAATGTAAAAATCCCTCATCCTGCAGTCAGAATATCATCTGCGATCTATAATTTTGCCCCCCTGCCGTGGGTTTTCTCAATAGGTTTGGGAAAGTTGAAGGACTGTGCAGTTTGAAACCAGGTGGGACAGCAGCTCGGAGTTTTTTTCAGGTTTTCATGCTGTGTCTTGTTTCCTCTTTTGTGATACAAAACAAATCTCGCTAAATGTCAGGATGCAAATTGTTGGATTCATTGCCAAAAGGTGAGAGGAAACCAGCACTGAAACTGGTTCTGACCCGTTAATGATTCAGACTGAGATTCAGACAACTCGATATTGTATATTGATATTGATATCAGTCTCAAGCTTTTAGCAGTTTTTAGCTCTCAGCTCTCTGGTTGCATTCACCAGGGAATAACTTTTGAACAGTCTACAAGCTCTCAACTTAACTCAGAGGAGTGTTGAGCCCGCTTTGCCCCAGTGCTCCCAGGTTCGGTGCACAGCGGTCGGTCTGGCTGCCACATTGCTAGCCAGCACGAGCCCACCTGTTTCTTTCCTTCTGGTGTGTATTTTATTGATGTTTCTGGAAACATAGCTGCCATGCATAGTCTGCTCACAGCTGAAAAGCAAAATCAAAGATGTCCGGATGTGTGAAAGGTGACCCTCTGTTTCTGGAAACCTAGTCTGCTGTGTGCATCCTACACATGAACCTGGATGCAATATGGTGTATATATTGCTCTTTAGGAAGGCCGTGGCACATGGAGCAGAGAGGGTGCACCGGGAACCGCAGGGTTGGAACCCCGGCTGCTCCATGTCTTGTGCCAAAGTGTCCCTGAGTAACACACCTGACCCCTAATTTCTCCCTGGACGCCTTTCCGGCAGCACACTGCTCCCACTGTGTGGGACGCGTTAAACGCAAAGCATTTCGTTGTCACAGTACCTGTACTCTATGCAATGACAAAAAGTTGAATCGTATTCTTCTTTACATACCGTGCTTTACTCAAAGCACAAAGCTCTGCAAGTGGAAGGTTACGTGGGGCCTTTACAGTTATCGACCACACCTCTCACTTGAGGGCCATAACATGGAATTAGGAAATGTCAAGCGTGTTCAAGCTTGTTATCAACGGGGCTCTCAGGAGGATGTTCTCATAGTGCTTTCCGGCGTGTTTGTGCACGATCTGAACTCCCCACCCCAAAATGTAGTCTTCCAAACTACTTCAACATGATTGGAAAAAATGGAAAAAGTACTAAAACATCACAGTCAGGTAGGTTCTTTGAACTTTCTTGTGCATGTTTTCGTGCAGGTTTTCATACTTGTGCTAAGTCACAGTCCTTCTGTCAATCACGCCCCCATTGAAAGATCATCCTCTTTCTGAGAAAAAAACCCTGAAAACCCTGCACGGTAATGATGGTGTTTTTTTTTTTTTAAAAGACTTGAAAATCCTGATACCTCTAGGAGGTGGTGTCACTCCCCTCCCTCTCTCCACCCTGAGGTCGAGTGTATAAAAGTGGAAGAAAATCACACTTGCTGCACATCACTCATTTTGCTCTGCCTGCAGTCTGACTGGACCTTCAACCCTGTAAGTATTCTATGCTTTTACACTGATGGATTAATTAAAACAAGTAGTCATTGCAGCTTACTGTTCAATCCATGCTGTTGAAATTAAAATAATATAACCGCATGTTCTTCAGTAGTATTTTCAATGTTTTAGACGAAAACAACAGATCTTTTTCTTGTTGCAGAATCATGAGTAAGAACTACTTGTCCAAGAATGATGAACTCCGCAAGGGAGACTTTCTGATCTCCAACAACAGGGAGTGGAAGGCCGTCTTCCAGGTAAGTAACTCTGAATGTGTGTGCGCTGCCGTCACTCATCATGAGCACTGGTCCTTGTAAAGGTAAAATATTCTAAAAAACAATCACTTTTCCCTGCCTGCAGGAGGATGGTAACTTTGTCATCTATGGCTGGAAGCCTTTTTGGGCTTCAGATACTTCCGGATCAGACGGAATGCGCGTGTGTATGCAGGAGGATTGCAACCTGGTCATGTACAACAAGAGCGATCAACCCAAGTGGCACACAAACTCCTCCAAACCTAAATCCAACATGTGCCGCCTTCGACTGACCGATGACGGAAAACTGGTGGTCAGCAGGGAAAGTGAGGAGCTCTGGAACTCCGATAAAAACAAAGGCATGAAGTGATTCATTGTGAACGTTACACTTTGTGATAATCTTGAGTTACCAGTAAACCTTCCTACTGTATAATCTGTGACAAATAAATACTATTTGTCACAAAGCAGGAATGAGTTTCTCCTCTTTGTGGTGATGAAGCGAGGCTCTGCGTCTCAGGTGAACAAACAACTCTTAAAACAGACTGAAGTTTGACGTAATGAATGGATACACTGATTTTCTCTGATTATCTGGTCCTGGGTCTTAGTGTTGGGAGAATTAAGTGCGAGTAGCAATACCATAATGTAAAACTACTCCGGAGTAAAAGTCCTGCATTCAAAATCTTGCTTGAAAATAAAAAAGTGTAACCAGCAAAATGTTCTCATTATGGAGTAGAAAGGCCTGCCTGGAGTTACATCATCAGATATCCAAAATGTAGTCTTCTAAACTTCTAGATTGAAGTCCTAGTTTCATTTAAACAAGCACTTAAAACATCACAGCCAGATTTAAAAAGGTGCGGTAAATGTCTCACACTTTCTTATTTATACTATTGGTGGCTAATTAAGGCTAAATCACAGAATGGAATGTGAAAAAATATTAAATACATTTGTTCCTCCTTCACATCCACTCAGTCTTCTGGGCATGTAAGATATGGGAAACACCCACATAGCTTAAATGGGGGGAGTGGTACATTTTGAAGGTTTTCGCTGAGCGCTCCGTGGAACACACCTGGGCTTTCCTGGTAACCCATTGGACGTCTGGTCCGTGTGTAGCCACGCCCATCAAAGGAGAAGCCTGCGTCCCCATCTGCTCGGGTCCTCTGAGGCCGCTGGGAGTGTCGAAAGTTGTCGTCAGGCGTGCCAAGAACTCTACCACCGGAAAAGAGGTTTGCAGGATCAACAAAAAGGCAACTTTTCTCACAGCCTTCGCTGAGCCTGCGAGCGGGTCACAGGAGGTGAAAAGGTCGTCCGGCCCGTCGGAGGTTGAATCTGGCTGCGCTCCTCGTGGGCTGTTGTCAAGTCGAGGAAGGTTTGCCTGTGCAGCATCCTGCTGAGGAGACTGCTGGCTCAGTCAGAGGAGCCGGGGGGGAGGAGGGGGGACGAAGGGGCAGTTCAGATCCGCGTCCAATGAATTCCTCTGCATCGCCGAAAAACAAGGACAAAGTGTTTTGTTTTGCAGGCTTGTTGGTCTTTAATGAATTGAATGCTTTCAGCCTCTGTCTCCCCATTGACTGCGACTCCCTCATCTTGAAAGCTTCCCAGTCTGGCTTGAAATGCCACATTCTTTCTTTCGGACAGGCCTGCATGCTGAGCAGCGCCGCTCTTCTCCTTTCCCCTTAGTTGTAATTTCAAACTTCCCTTTGAAGGAAACCCCAATTCAACCCATGTTTGCATTTGATTCAAACTGCCAGGACAACGCTCTGACATGAATTTACACAATGGTGACAGGACATTAGTGTCATAGTTTGCACCCGTCTCCCCATTTCTAGTTATCTGTGCCTGGTGTGATTCACCAGATGCATAACTAAGGCAGTGGCCGTTGCTTTCTTTAGCCGTGTGGTCTGCAGCATTTAACCAAAGGTGCACCAATGAATCACCAGAATCCCCCGGACGCATGCAACTCGTGTCAAGCCGTTAAATCATTTTAATCTCTCACCGCGAGTTTGTCGGGACGGCAGCTTTTTACCCGCCGGGAGAAATCAACGGTAGCACACGACCTTCTGTCCGTCCGAACAAGCCCAGATCGCGCGCCCGTCCCATCCTCGCTGCCGAGTCTCTGGTGGCGATTAGTGGAAGCATCTTAAGCTTGTTTGTGATGAAGTAGTTATTACAAACTTAGCATATAGAAAAATAACAAAACCAAAATCACCAAACACAAGCCGTAAGTCCGGACAGAAAAGGTCCCAGTCCGCCACTCAGCGCTCCTTCTCTGACTAAGCTTCTCGGTGTGGAGAGCAGCTTTAACATCGGAGCTTCCACGTGATTGACGACACCGTACGAGGGAGGGGGAGCAGAAAGCAAATGTAATTCACACATTGACCCCCTCGCCCTCCCCCCCTCAGTCTGACTGTAAGCAGAAACACACACATACTGTGATTGGGTTTTGCATTTGTGTCTCACACTGTGACATTGTGAATCCCGGAGGTCACAGGTGGACCAGGAGAACTCACGGCATGCATGACGAGCAAAGCCGACGGAAGGAAGCAGCGCGAGGGGGCCGAACCGGGGACGAGGAAAGGGGGGGACAATCGATGCTCAGAGACTTTGGAAAAACAGGAACAGCAGCTGCGGACGTTGTGTGCGATCACTATGGCAACGTGGAGGTTGGAGCAGAGAGGACGGAGGGCTCACATTTGCTGTGGGCTGAGGGGGCGGACATCCCCACACACACACACACACACACACACACACACACACATAACAACACACACACACGCACATAACGACCCAGTGGGTGAGTTAACTTTAGTTTATGACTTGACAAAATTGCACATATAACATGCACACACGTCCTTTCAGTGGAATGCTGCAATCACGGTTTGGCAAGTGAAAGAATTTGGCATTGACCTCGTTTATCTTGATCTCCATGGCAGCATCGCCCCTCGATGTTGGTGGGCGCCTTCTAATACTTGGTGTCGGAGGACTACAGCAGCCGAATGCTGATGAGAATTGCTCTTGATGCCCTGACCGATTGTATCGAGGCCTCAAGGGCCTTATTTGAATAGAATTATGAAACCAGATTATGAAACAACAGTGATATTATTGTTTCACTATTGTTTCACACATTGTCTTCTGGGTCAAATGATAATCAAGATGTTTGTGCGTCGATGTTTATAATCTCGTGGTGCCAAAGCTTTACATCCGACGGACGCTTACTACTAGTTTGTTTTTGCCCAGAGACCTTCGAGTAGCACTGATGCATGACCTGCGTGTGTGTCAATCCTGTCTTCTGCTCGCAAACAAAACTGCAGAGAAAAATCACACATTTTCTCAAACGAGGTGAGGGATATCCGCGGCTCCAAACAGCTGCAGTCACACCACTCCCAATGGGGCTGAGTCCCCTTTCCTTTGAATCCTAGAAACGCCTCCGGTACCTCCCCTCCCTCCCTCTCTCTACCCCGAGTTTACTATAAAAGTGGAAAAAACCACACTTGCTGCGCAAACAACTTTTTGCTCTGCTTGCAGTCTGACCGGACCTCCAACCTGTAAGTATTCTATACTTTTACGCTGATGGATTGATTAATACATTTCTGTGTTTGATGCATGAAGGAGTCATTGCAGTTTACTGTTTAGTTTGTGCGGTTAAATTCAAAATAATATATAATAATGACATAATAACATAATTGGGTCACACCTTTATGATCAAATGTGAAAGTTTATCACTGGTGGTGTACAAATGAAACGGAAAACCAACCAACAAAGCATGTTTTCAAAGCATTTTCGGTGTTTTAAATGAAAACAACAGACGTTTTTCTTTTTGCAGAATCATGAGTAAGAACTACTTGTCCAAAAACGATGAACTCCGCAAGGGAGACTTTCTGATCTCCAACAACAGGGAGTGGAAGGCCGTCTTCCAGGTGAGCAACTCTCAATGTTTGCGCTGCCGTCACTCATCATGAGCTCTGGTCTTTGTTAAGGGAAATTCTTCTGATAAATCCTTTTCCTGCCTGCAGGAGGATGGTAACTTCGTCATCTATGGCTGGAAGCCTTTTTGGTCTTCAGACACTTCCGGATCAGACGGAATGCGCGTGTGCATGCAGGCCGATTGCAACCTGGTCATGTACAACAAGAGTGATCAACCCCAGTGGCACACAAACTCCTCCAAACCTAAATGCAACATGTGCCGCCTTCACCTGACCGATGAGGGAAAACTGGTGGTCAGCAGGGAAAGTGATGAGATCTGGAACTCCGATAAAGACAAAGGCATGAAGTGAATCATTGTGAGCGTTACGCCTTGTGATCAGCTTGAGTTACCAGTAAACCCTCCTTGTGTATAATCTTCAAATAAAAGACATTTGTCACAAAGCATGAATGAGTTTCTTCTCTTTGTTATGAGCGATGATCGTGAAGTGTGTCTCCCATGGGAAAAAAAAGTAAAAATATTTTTGTCCCACTAGGTAATGGAAGAAATAATCTCTTGTTTGGCAAATTAGTTTTGATGGAATTTCTTTTAAAAATATGTTTGGTCTAAAAATATTAGTTGAAGAAATATTAAACCGTCAAAATCTTTCGAAAAATGTAATGAAAGAAAAATCCAACTATATTACATGGAAAAAATTTGATGAAAAAGGAAGTCAAGCAATTTGGTTAAAAAATGTCATGGAATAAAATGTTAAAATATATTAGATGGAAATATATAATGAAAATAAAGTTCTAATATATTAGATCGAAAATGCCATGGAAAAAACAAGTCATTTTATGCCCAAATGTCAAAATAAATCCCTAAAATGCATCTTATGAATCTATGAGGATGTGAAAGTGCACATGCTATAACTTACTGTTGCCACCAGGTTGTGCTCTAAGTGTCTAAATTGATGAGCAGGATGTTATGACACATGACACTTTCATTTGTCTCATCATGAGAGACAAAGTACGGCTTACAACCACTTCCTGTTTCATGGGAAATGGTGTTTTATTTCCCGCCCAGACCAGAACGTCATTGAAAAAAACGTTTGACAGTTGAAGATCATCTCATCATTTTCCGTGCTGTCGGGTAGTGTGACTGGTGACAGCGTGTCTCTGCATCTCAGCTCCTTGTGAACCAGGAGAATCTCTGTCCTCCGTCTGCACCCTCAGCTTATTGAGAAAATTCATTCATCAATTATCATGTTCAACAGTCATTTCAAATTAAGGTAAAATGCTAACCGACAACTTGATGTTTTGGTGTGATGTTGAACAGATGAAGAACAGTCAGATGCGTCTACGACTATCTTCTGACTTTAACTTTAACATATAAGTGAGCATGTTTTATTTGTTTTGAATTCATCACAAATTTGGCTAAATAACACAGTGTATGGATTCCATGTGTTAAACCTTCGCTCTGTTTTAAGTCACAGAGTTGTTTGTTCACAAGGAGCTGAGATGCAGAGACGCACTTCATGATCATCGCTCACCACAAAGAGAAGAAACTCATTCCTGCTTTGTGATAAATGTCTTTTATTTCATCACAGATTATACAGAAGGTTCACTAGTAACTCAATATTATCACAAGGCGTAACGCTCACAGTGAATCACTTCTTGCCATGGTCTTTATCGGAGTTCCAGAGCTCCTCACTTTCCCTGCTGACCACCAGTTTTCCCTCATCGGTCAGGTGAAGGCGGCACATTTTGGATGTGGGTCTGTAGGAGTTTGTGTGCCACTTGGGTTGATCACACTTGTTGTACATGACCAGGTTGCAATCCTCCTGCATACACACGCGCATTCCGTCTGATCCGGAAGTATCTGAAGCCCAAAAAGGCTTCCAGCCATAGATGACGAAGTTACCATCCTCCTACAGGCAGGAAAACGATTTATCAGAATGATTTCCCTTTAGAAAGACCAGGGCTCACAACGGGAGACGGGAGCGCACACATTGAGAGTTGCTCACCTGGAAGATGGCCTTCCACTGTCTGTTGTTGGAGATCAGAAAGTCCCCCTTGCGGAGTTCATCGTTTTTGGACAAGTAGTTCTTACTCATGATTCTGGAACAAAAAAGATGTTTGCGTCTAAAACACGGAAAATGCTTTGAAAACATGCTTTGTTAGTTGGTTTTCTGTTTCATTTGTACAACAAACCTTTCACATTTGATCATAAAGTTAGGAACCGATTATGTAAAAGTATAGAATACTTACAGGGTTGAAGATCCAGTCAAACTGCAAGCGGAGCCAAATGAGTGATGTGCAGCAAGTGTGATTTTCTTCCACTTTTATACACAAAAGCTTGGGGTGGAGAGAGGGAGGGGAGTGACACCTCCTCATGAGCACTGGCCTTTGTGAAGGTAAATTATTCTGATAACAGTCAAATATCTCTTTTTCCTGCCTGCAGGAGGATGGTAACTACGTCATCTATGGCTGGAAGCCTTTTTTGGGCTTCGGGCACCTACGGACCCGACACCGTCCGGGTCTGCATGCTGGAGGATTGCAACATGGTCATGTAGAACAAGAGAGGCACACAAACCCCTCCAAGCCTGCATCCAAACATAAAGGAGATGTACAAACATTTAATTAATTGAAACATAATAGTTTTGTTTTTTTTGCAATATCACAAATGGTCGATTAAATGCAGCAGTAAACGGGAAGTTCTTTAATCTGGATTTAAAGGAGCTGAGGGACTCAGCAGACCTGCATCTCTCTGGGTCTTTGTTCCAGATATGTGGAGCAGAAAAATTGAACGCTGCTTCTCCATGTTTGGTTTTGACTCTGGGAACAGAAAGTAGACCAGTCCCAGATGACTTCGTTCGTGGCGGTTTATAAGCAGATCAGAAATGTACTTTGGCCCTAAACCAGTCTGTGCTTTATAAAAGAAGCAAGTTAAAAGATGACCAGTTAGGATAAGCAAGCTGGATAAAGACAAATATTTAGCATAGCATTTAAACTCATGCTGATATAGCCGGCAGAGCGTGGTTTTTTAATAGTTAACCAAAGCCTGAATGTTAGCATGGTTTCTGAGTAGATGAAAGAAGACATGAAGACAGAAGGATTCTGGACACTCCCTTCTCTGTCCTCCCTCTGTCTGCACCATCAGCTTAGATATATATATAATAAAAATACAGTTATGTTGGCGCATACATTTTAAACTCTTCATGTCAACCAAATTGACCCAAGTTAAAGAGTAAATTCAATTAGGGGTTAGGTGTCTTGCTCAGGGACACTTCAACATGGAACATGGTGCAGCTGGGGCTCAAGCCGCCAACCTTGCGGTTCCAGGCGCACCCTCTCTACTCCATGCGCCACCGTCAACGAATCGCTTCTTTCCTTTGTCTTCATCAGAGTTCCAAATCTCCTCGCTGTCCCTGGTCAACACCAGTTTGCTATACGGTAAGTTGAAGACGGCACGTAATGCCCCGCCTCATGAAGGTGCTTGAGTCCCACCTGGGGGTGTCGGCCATGTTGTGAAGGGTCAGAAGGCATCGGATTTGTAATTGTCTGAAGCCCAAAAAAGGCTTCCAGCCATTGATGACGAAGTTACCATCCTTCTGCAGGCAGTAAAAAGAGACATTTGACTGCTATCAGAATAATTTACCTTTGCATGAGCACTGTTCTTCGTGAAAGTGAATAATTCTGATAACAGTCAAATGTCTCTTTTTCCTGCCTGCAGGAGGATGGTAACTTTGTCATATGGGTGGAAGCCTGTGTGGGCTTCAGGCACTTGAGGATTAGACGGCATCCGCATGTGCATGCAGGAGGCCTGTAACCTGTTCATGTACAACAAGAACTAGAAAATGCATTTCTTGCTGAAAATGCTAAAAGCTGAAATTAATTTCGAATTCAAATTGCTGAAAATACAGAAATGGGAGAAACTGAAATGAATTTGAAAAAAACACAAAAAAAGAAACGCTGAGAAGAGTTTAAAAAAAATGTATTTTTGTAGTCAAATTAATAGAATTATATAGTCGTAATTGTGCTACTAGTAGTACTATAAGTATAAGAAGTAAGCAGAAAAACTAGAAGTAGTAGTATTATCAGCTGTAATACTAGTTAGTCATAGTAGTATTTGTAATATTATTATTAGTTGTTGAAATATTAGTAGCAGTATAAATACTAATAGTACTTTTTATAGTAGTAAGAGTTGCAGTCTCACTACTACTGGTAGTAATAGTATTTTTAGTACTACTACTAATAGTATTGGTAGTAGTAAGAGTCATTTTAGTATTAATACCAGTTGAAATACTATAGTAGTAGTAGCATTAGTAATGGTAGTAGAAGTCTCAGTTGTAGTAGTACTACTAAAAGTACTAGTAATATTAGTAGTGGTATTTGAAAGAGCATTCATGTGGTTTATATGTCTGCCCGGTAATAAATATGTCTCTACTGGCAGTTTACAAAACGTGTACCTTCTGTTTTTCTGAGAAATATGTCGGCAGATTTGTTTTGGAGCCTGTGGGGCTTGAGGCAGATATTGTCTCACTCTCGGGCTCCTCAGGCTAAAAGCAAATGTCTGTTTGATTCCATAGCCACATGAGTCTAACCAGCACAACCACACCCATCATTTTGATCCAACAATGAAGCCTGATGAGTGAATATTGTGGCAATAAGGGCAGAAGTGCAACATTTTTTAACTTCTGACGCTGCTGCGCTCTAGATCTTCAGGCCTCAGTCTAACGCAATACACACTAGTGTAAAACTCAGAGACGGACTGAAAAACTAATGAAACATAATCAGTGATTATGAAAAAAGTAGAATAGATATCAACAAGCTGTTTCAGAAAATAGTTTAGACTTTTGTCTACATTTTAAAGTTTAAATGGTGTCTGTAGCTGAAAGATTGGCAAAGATTAAGTTTAAGAGGATTTGAAAATGAACTCCATTGGAAAACCATGTTAAAATATTAATGGTTATTTTATATAAATTCAAGCATAAGAATAAGTTATAAAGCTGAAAAGTCATAGCACCCTTCTCCTGAATGAGCTGAACATCTTTAACGGTTTTAATAGCTGAAAGTACGAAGGAGTTGAAAAAATAGAAGAATACTAATATTAATATGAAGAAGAGATTCGAAGAACAATACTTGGAATGCTTCAAAGCATTCCAACAATAACAAACAAAGCAGAGGTTTCACACAAACTCCTACAGACCCACATCCAACATGTGCCGCCTTCGCCTGACCGATGAGGTAAACTGGTGGTCAGCAGGGAAAGTGATGAGATCTGGAACTCCGATAAAGACAAAGGCATGAATATCTATATAATAATATAATATATAATCTGGTATAAAAAAAAAGACATTTGTCACAAAGCATGAATGAGTTTCTTCTCTTTGTAGTGAATATTGATCATGGTATGTCTCATGGAAAAAAAAGTTTAAATATTTTAAATCCCACTAGGCACAAAAAAAAGTGAAAAATATTTGGTTAAAAAAATCTCTTAAATGTTTGGCAAAACGAGTTTTGATATATTTTTTTTATATGTTTGAAAACTTTTATTGAAAAAAAGTAAAAAAGTTTAAAAAACGGTCAACATATATTGGGTCGAAATGTCTTTTAAATGGAAAAATGTATATATCTAAATATATTACGTGGAAAAATTGTATGGAAAATAAAGTCCAAATATATTAATGTAAAAATAGTATTGCCCATGTGAGCCCCTAAAATGGATCTTATTAATCTGTGAGGATGTGAAAGTGCACATCCTATGACTTGCTGTTGCCACCAGGTTGTGCTCTTACAATAAGTCTAAATCGTGTTCATGATGTTAGGACACGTGAGAGTCTCATGTGTTTCCTGATGAGACATTTGGAGCTGATTAAACAGAGTACGGCCGACTTACAACTTCCTGTTTCATGGGAAATGGTGCTTTATTTGCTGCGCAGGCCATGCATACATAGTCTGGTAGCCATTTGAGCTTTGGATACATTTCCACTGCTACAATCTCCAGGAGGAGTTCGGACGGGGCCTTCGATGTACTGCATCTAGTAAACGGATGCAACCGCTTTGAATGTGCAATTTAGTAACTGTAACTCTATTTCTGTTTATTTAACAGAGTATCATAAAATCTGGTGAAATAAACTAAAGTAACTGAAAGCTCAGGTGATCAAAAGAAGATATTTCTATTGAACTTAAATCAATGATTAAAGAACTTGGAGAAAGGGAAAACTTTTCCATGCGTACATGAGGAAACAACAAGGATGTAACGCCAATGAGTCTGAAAAACTGAAAGAAAACGCAACGAAAGAAGTCACTGCAACTGCAACAAGGCACCACATGATGTCCCTCTAATCCAACTGCAGTTTCTGTGTCCACATGTAGGACTCACCGTGAACGGAAATACCTGTACATCAAACAGCACAGAGTTATTTTTGATTGATTAATTTATCTTTAAGAGACAAATACCTCTCTGAAAGTGAAAAACTTTCTGGCAACTTTCCTCTCCATGTAAAATCGATCCTCCGCAGTCTTTAACTTCTCGGTTCCCCTTCCGACTTCAAACGTAATACTATTCTTAGTGATCTTGTTGAAATGTTTCAATGATGTGCAGACAGTTTAATACTTTAGACTTCTATGTTGGAATTATAACCACTTCTTTTAAATGAATTAAACTGTGATGGGCCTTTGTGAGCAACCCTGCATCTATTTTCTTTTTTTCTATAAAGGCTTTTCTTTGGGCTACATTGTTTGAATGTATGTCGGGCGAGGATTTCGCTATTTGTTCCATGTAGGTTGGCTCAGCATTCGTGTCTGTATTCATGAAAGCCTCTTAGAATACAGGCCCTGCTTATTAAGGAACAAAGGCCCTTTCTCTTTTTATTACCATAATACACAGCCAAGCCCTTCTGCCCTGTTCTGCTGCGAAGGGACTATTTCTGCACTCTGGGTCTGAAACCAGCTTAAGTTTGTATACTCTCATAAATAAACCACATATTTACAAATATTCACCAAAACCAAATAAGAGTCAAACCAAAATGAAGGAAACATCTCGAAACTAACATGGGACCAGAAAGTGTAGGACAAAAAAGTATAATGTGGAATCACATGAATAAGAATCAGAACTGTTTCTCAATTAAATATTGAAAAACAAATATAATATATGTATGAAAACAAGTTTGTTAGCCAGTTTATATTGACTGCCAGAAAAATATATTATTTATGTTTACAAATTGCATCCATCGAAGTGCCCCAGTCTGGCCCTCCAACAAAAAAACCGTTCTTGCTTCAGGATGAGGAGACGCGATGAGCCTTACGTGACGTACGTGACTCTTGTTAAGCGGCTCTGGTTTCGTGGACGCTCCCGTTTGACGTCGAGCGACCACTTTACGTGCGCGTTCCCGTAGCGTCACGCGCACACACGTGACGCCACGCTCTCTCTCTCTCTCTCTCTCTCTCTGACGCGTGGAGGACGGTCCGTCATATAATTAAAAAACCCAGCAGACAGCGGAGGTGCGCGAGGACCGCAGCGGACTCAAAAAGCAAAACAAAAAAATCCATATTGTTTTTGTGCATCAAGTCCGGGATTCGTTTCCCTCCGGTCCGGCGAGCCCGCAGCGCGCCGCCTGCGTCGCCGGTGTGTGTCTGCAGGACGCGCGCGACTGTGCGCTCGCGTGTTTTTACCGGTATCGGGCTCTTTCATGTTTTGAGCGCAAAGGGGGCTGAAGAGCGGCTGCCGTCGTCGGGTGGAGAAGGGTGGCGGTGGGTGGAGGGCGCTCTTCACTGCGCATAGGAGCGGCGGGTCGTCTCTGCTTGGACCGGTTCCACGGCGCTCCACGGAGGGGGAGCCGGAGAAGCTCTTCTGCGGGAGGAGAAGGAGGAGAAGGAGGAGAGAGACGGAGAGGGGGGGCGGGAGCGTTTTTTTTTTTTTTTTTTGTTCTTCCTTTTTCTTGGTGAAATAAATCTGGAAATATACGGTGGTTGAAAAAATGACGATGTCCGTCCCGGAGAGGAAATCAGGATCGGAGGGGAAGGAGGAGGAGAGCGAGGATGAGAGCGAGATCTTGGAGGAGAGCCCAGTGCGGCCGCTGGCAGAACCGAAAAGAACCAGTTGTTCTGTGTGCGTGTTGTGTGTGTGTGTGTGTGTGTGTCCCGTGTGTGTGCTACAATTTCTCGGGGATTCGAGAAACGACCACGGTCCCCCCCCCCCCCCCCCGTGATCGCGCTGGACATCCTCTGTTACGCAACTCCTGAGTCACACCGAGGTTCGCTGGTCACCATCACCGCCACGAGCCCCACGCGGCGCGGCAGACATCCGGCGCGCGGCCCACGCGGAGGACGTGGACGCCTCACTGTGCGCGGAGAGTTGCCACAACTGTCAAACAGCTGCTGGTGTCAGTTTCTGAGCCGTTTTCTTTAAGCGTGTTGATTATAATCAATGATTGCTGGTTGGACGCAAGATGTCACCGTTGTTTGAGTTGATGTGAATACATTTAATGCACAAAACGATGAGGATGAATCCGGAAAACAATCGAGGTATGTGGGGTAAGCGACATCATCACGATTCAGAAGCTGAAGCTTTGGAAATAAAGTAAAGGTTTAACAAAATAGGTTCTTTCCATTTTCCCTCACTCCGCTAACTGATTACTCAACTATTTTTTTCAGCTCCTATTTGATTTTTCACAGCAAAGAAATGAGCCTCAGGTGGATTCACAATCCATATTTACATATTTCATATAGAAGGAAACAGAAAAGAGAGGGGCAGGTTTTTGGTGCAACTCTTCTGGAGTCTCCAGACGATACATTACCAGCATTAAAAAACCTGGCGGCCTTCAACCTACTTTAACCACAAATACTCCTTGTTTGTTTAAGGCCAACATCTCCCTGTTCCTGTGCAACACATCCCTGGGCATTAAAAAACACCAGCTGCTATCACAGCCAATGAACAGCCAATCCACAAGGCCTTTTTGGTGAGGAAGTGGGCGTCGGCCACACCAACCGGCTCCAGATAAAGTTACGAGTTTTAAGTTGAAGGTTATCTCCCGAACGCACACGCCGACCTCTGAACGCCGCGACCACGTGAGCTCTCTGCTCTTTCTGTGTTGTTAAGCGCACACACACACACACACACACACACAGCCTTCCCCACCCTGGTGTTGTTCCACCCATCGATTATCTTTCGGGGCTGCCGTTTGTCCGTTCACCCGCCCGCTGAGAGCATCTGACGCGTGGGGCCGGTCGCTGCAGTGAAGATCCATATCAGGACATCTGTACTTTGATGATGTCATAAGAGTAACACATAACATAACATTATGTTCAGTGTGAAGAACTCTGCGCCACTGGTTTCATTTGAAGACAAAAGTCCTTTATTCAGGAAGTTTTGTAGCCAACTTGGACTGTTTTTATTCACAATCTAACGTGTGAGTTAATTGAACCTTTGGTGGCATCAATCGTATGTCGTAGTGATTTTCCATTGTGTTGTCTAAATTGATAATAAGAAGCACATTTTAACTCAAATTTCAAAATCAATACTTTTCTATATTCTGATGGAATATTGCGCCCATATACACATTTGGCCAATTACATTTAAAGAAACATCAAAAAATGTCCATCGTAACACGAGAGAATCCCTTCAGTGGTTCACCTGGGTTTTGCTTATTGTTGCTTGCATACAGGCCTTTTTTAGATTTAGCCTTTAGTAGCCTTTCCTAAAATAAAGGTTGCAAAACGAGGCACAAACATTCATGCATGGACGTCGGGAATAACTAAATGAACCCGTGTGACATTATCTCCTGTGTGCCAACGCGTCGTTCGGCGGCTCCGGCCCGGTCACAGCCGTACCCGTCTGAACCGCTGAAGTCCCGTCTGGTGCTGAGGGGCAGTTTTGCGTGAGGGCCGATGGGTTCGGTTGTCGACACTCGGCAAATAAGTCAGTGGGGGAAAGTTCAGGGGACACGCAGCTATATCTGTTGTGCAGCTCGGATAATACAATAAACACAGGCCACGGTCACGTGGTCCTGTTTTCTCAGGTGGCGATGGTTTAAGTCCCTTAAGTGGATGAATGCGTTGCCTTCAAAGCCAGTTCATGCCCCAACATGCCGAGCGTTGAGGTTTATGATGCAAATCAGAATCTCTCCTGGCTGAGAGACAAGATGCGGCAATGAGTTAACGAAGCTGTTTAACATTTAGTTCTCTGTTCGAGGAAGCGACCGATTAACGTTGTTGTGGATAATTGTTGTGGACGTAATGCTTCTCTCTTTGTTCATGTGATTTACTGACTGACAAAACAGTGACACGTGACTGACGAAAGCTGCAGCTTAATCTTTGCAGAGGAATGTTACGCAAACTGTACAGAAATCCGACATCGGCGTCTCTGAAGTGGAGGTTTTCAAACCGTGACACAAATGTAGTGAATGTAGTGAAAGTTAAAGGTGCGTCCTGCAGCATGAAACCTGTACGGCCACAGAATCTACGCTCCTTCTCACAGTTACAAAGACATGACCCTCGAAAGAATGGACTCTCAGAAACGGAATCCATTTATTTGTGATCGGCTTCAGGGAAATTCATCCCGCCTTAACTGAGCCCGACAGAATGATGCCGCTTTTAACCTCCTTCCCTTTTTTAATCAACGAAAAAAACAACAACAGAGGCCCAACTTTGTAGCTGATGGCTTACTAACCGCTTCCCCCGACTGGCTCCTGTTCCCTTTTCTAAAGAGTGATAGTGATACCAGCACAGTGTGACCTGTCACACTGGGCTCTCTTTGATTATGGCTTTTACAGAAGGTTATCTAAGCTAATTAATAACACAATAAACAGGTTTTACAGGAAGAAAAATCTGTTTGTAAAATTTAAAAATTAAATTTTTCCGCTTGGAAAATGATAGCACACAATGTCCGGCTTTTTATTCAGTTGGGTCACAAGTTGTTGTTATTGTAAAATATTGCCTACTAATCAGGGAGGTTTTGCACCTAAAACACACACACAGGCTGACTTGTTCTGTGGGCCTCCACGGCGGGACGTGAAAGGTACAATTAGAAACAAGCAGATCAACAAGTCATCACAAAGGCAAATGACTATTTTTGTGTCAAGCTGTGGCTCGCAGTAAGCACTGCTTGCCCCCGAGGGGGTATCCTCCGAAATGACTCTCCCTGCATGGTGATCCAGCAAGTGTAGCGTGTTTGCAGCCTTGCCCTGCCGCCCCGTGAGGAATGACGTGCGCTCCGATTTCCCCAATCAGGGAAACGGAGCCGGTCCCGGTCGACTTTGGTACACCTGTTATTGCCGTCGCTCCGCCCAACGCTCTTCTAGGAAACATTCACACTCGTTGTATTCCTAGAATACAAAAATAAAGATATGTGCCGAATCGCCCCGGTGACCTTTGGTACAGAATTGTGACTCTGCCTGAAATCACTCGCCAACAAACCTTGCACAGAGGTTCATGTTCCCTGGACCTTTCGTCCCACCCGTGAGGGAGAACCCCGTTGGCTTTTCAGTAAAGTACCTCTACAACTATTGAACGGCTTGCCGAGTCATTCAGTCCTGATATCCATGGTACCCAGAGGATGACCCGGGAACACTTTTGTCTGACTTTTTCTGTAGCAACGTTAACAGGTCAAAGCCCTCATTTGCTGTCAAATATCTGAATAACTCCTGTGTAGATAGTTCGTATGGACATTCGTGGTTCCCAGAAGATGCATCCTAATGACTTTTGCCTGTCTTTACCATTTGTGCCACCAGGAGATGCATATTTGTGGTTTAGGCGAAGATGCCTCCACTGGATTGGCACAGTATTGTATCTTCACTGCTATGATCCCCGCAGGATGGATCCTAACTCTGATAATCGCTGACTGATTCAATTTGTACCATACTTTGGTTTATAACCACGGAACTGCTCGCGTTTGTTGCCGTTCAGACAAGCTGGTTGTTTTGAACCGATATGTGTTCTGGGTAAAGTTCTGTTACGCTTTAAGCAAACCTTTCGATCGCAGCGTCTGGTTCCATCGGGCCCAACGAGACTTTTCCCCCCATTGACTCACATTGCAGCACCTGCGTGAGGGCTTAAGGTGACCTTTACTTATGGATTGGCATCTAGACAAGGATGCTATCACTGACCTCCATCTTAAAGTAAATGTCCACCTTCAGACACAGACACACACATTGTTCTCAGCAGCTTGTAATATTGAGTGCATTCCAGGAGTTCATTATAGAGGAGGTGCGGTATCTGCAGATTTATTGCAGGTTGACAGATGAGAGGAGGGAAAAAAAATGCTTCACCAGCAGCGGTGCTCTGCTGCAAAGTTTATTTTGTATTTGCAAGATAATTGAATTAGAAAGACGATGTAGTTCTTGTCTGCATTGCACCTTGATTATTGGTTGAAGGCTTCAAACTCGTATGAGTCACAAACTCGTTGCATTCCTTCAATATAATCATTTGTGTCCTTAATTTGTTCCCTCATTCCCTGGGACCACATCTGTGTAACATTACACGGAGCATACATTTTTAATAGCAAAAAAGAAAGAGCTATTCAGATCAACCTCTCAGTGGTAGATATTCACAGGAAAGCAGTTTCCCTCCCGCAACTTGGGTAATAAATAGCAGAAGTGTCAACAAAACAAACAAGCCTATGTGTGTTAATGATTTACCTTTAAATCGTTAACACGCTGCTGTACTACATCATAACAACATAAAGAAAATAAAAGCCCAACTCAACTGATTTCTCATGTGAAAATGTGGCGTTTCAAAGATGCTCATGATGCTTTTGGTTTTGTGAGAAAGTGACTGTATACGACTTTTGTAGTTTACAAGACTCTACGTGCACTTTTTAAAGCAAACTGAGAGAAATATTACACCTTGAAACTCACTGGTTTACAGGACGTGACGTGAGTGTTTTATTTATTATAAGACTCAGAACAGCGTACATATTCGTGTTGGTCCATTTAGTTTCCTCCCTGCTGGAGCTTCTTTGTCGCTGTCCTGAATATGTCTTATGACAGTTAAGGACGACGAAGAACAAGATACAAATGCGTCAAAGTCGGTAACGTTTCACCTGACAGGCATCAGGCCTTCGCGTCTGACCTTTGTGCCCTCGGAGTGTTTACACGCTATCA